AATTATATTATCAATTGACACAGAGAAGACATTTCACAGGGTGGATTATCCTTTCTCACATTGATGTTGAAAACACTAGGATTTTGACTCAGATGGCAGGATTGGGTTTGAGCTATCTATTCTAGACCCACAGCTAAACTCAAAGTAAATAGTCAACTTTCTAAATCATGTAATATTTCGAATGGCACATACCAGGGTTGCACACTCTCTCCCCTTCTTTTTATCTTGGTTCCAGGCTATTAGGAAAAATGATTCTATCAAAGGTATAAAGATGGGTGACAGTGAATTTAAGGTCTCAGTCTTTGTAGATGACCTACTTTACTCTAACGAATCACATCACTCCTCCGTTGATCGCAGAGATCACTAAATATAGTATGTAAGTATGTGCCCGGTGCTCTTTCAGCCAAGTTTACATAAATATCTATGAAGAAAGGCACACACTGGACTTCTTAATCAGGAAAATGTGTCTTTATTAATCACATCATATCGATGTTTCAGTCATTATCAGGAATTTCATCAGGATTGCAGTAATTTTCATTCCTGGGCTGTCGTACATAGGCCACCATAGGCCCAGCAAACCAATCTGGCAAATGTCAACATGTTGTGTATACACAAAATACACAATACAGCGCACTCGCTCATTCACTAAACAGCGATTTCAAGTCTCACAGATTGCAATAGCTTTATTCAAAAACACCTCACCTAGGCAAAAAATTATGGGGGTTTAGTTACAGTATATGACCATGCATTGAATAAGCCTGCCATAACGTCAATGTACCCTATCTTTAGCAGGTCCTACTCTAGCAGTCTAATGCTTGCTTTTATGAGATTAATCCACTTACTTGGGAAATTCTTCCACTTGGGACTCACTGCAGGTCAAGGCTAAATAGGGCCCTCGAATCAGGCACCTGTGACAGAGAGGGGTGCAAAACCAAGGGGTTGGCTTGGACTCCCAAATATATAAATAAATGAAACCAAAGATGACTAGGGCTGCACTCACCTGAACATGCATATATTATAGCACCCTACTTCCAGTTTTTGATAAAACACAAAGAACAAAATTGTACACACATTCACATGTGCAAGGGAATGTGGACAAAAAAAAATACATGGGGTAGTATTTACAATTTAATTTAAAGCCCACTGATGAGAGATTGGAGGAGCTAATCTGAAAACAGTGCTGCGATGGCCCAGGAAAGACATTAGTACAACAAACATAAAAACATCTATTTGTTGATAGATAAAACCAGACAAATGCACAGGTTTTATTCTTGATTTTACTTCCTGCTAAAGACAACAGTGTGTCTACCACAAACATTCTTGAATGTTTACATTCTAAAAGACTGTACCATCTATTTTGGATTTCTGTTCCATGTACCTGCAACCTTTATGAAAAAATTATACATACTCCTGAGATTATCCAAACTTTTCCCTCTTTCCTAATTCAAATTTCCTAATATTTCAGATAATATCACCGTACATGTAGCACATTACTAATCCAGAAGCCAATGCAAATATTTATTCATTATACACACACCACCTATACACCGACGTGCAGTAAGTGTGCTAAAAAGTCAATCAATGTATAAGCAAGAGTATTTAGCTTCCAATGGAAAAACAGCTTCCCAGGGGTCCTTCTCAATAGATCCCCTTTAAATGACAGAATGTGGCAATATACAAATAAGGGATATAGCTGTATATCTGCAGTAAAATTAACCTTAAATTAATCATTTTGTGGATCTGTAGCTGTGGGTCTCCTCCACTTGTTTTACTGTCAGGAGTTTCGAGTCTCCCCAGATAAGACTTCTCAGAGATCAGGATAAAAAATGTAAAACAGAGTTTTGGGCTGCCTGAGACACATTTCCTGGAGGTGCAACTAGCCCCTGGCAATTAATAAAAATTTACCAAAATTAAAATTAATCTGCAGAAATACTGCCCATCCAGACTCCTACCACCACGACACCTTCAAAAAGCAGAAGTGGTTATGGTGGTCAGAGTAACCCTTTACAGTTAAAAAAGATAAAAAATAAACTTACAAAGACGTGTACAGAAGAATAATCAAACAAGTACAGTCATTTATCAGGCCAGAGCAATGAATACAAAAACAAAATATTCCAAACGGACTGTACTCTGATTAATTTGTACTTCTACAGGGTATCCTGCAAACTCTCCGTTTGTTCACTAAAACCAAGATTTGAGGAGAGAGAAGAAATGTAAATTGCAGGTTAAAAACAAGCAACAGGGTTATTCACAATAGCGAGAATTCAAAGTGACGTTCAAAATAAATGTAAAAATATCTGATCTGGAAGTCAGTTAGGCTTTCAGTTCGGCTACTCTGGCCCCAAATTTTAAATTCACTTTGAATTCTAGTAAAAAACCCTGTGAGAGTTCTTTGTCAGATTACTTTAGCACTTCAGTCTGCAATTGCCTTGTCAGTTCTCCATACTTCCCAATTTAGTCAATAAATCCCTAAAGTGTGCTTAAAGGGACACTATACTCACCAGAACAACAACAGCTTAATTTTTCTGCAGGCTGAGCACTGTAAACACTGCCTTTACAGAGAAAAGGCAGTGTTTACATTGCTGCCTAGTAACACCTCTAGTGGCAGTCACTCAGACAGCCACTAGAGGTGCTTCGTAACTCATTGCTGCACTGTGCAGCACTGGTGTTAAGCTGAAGGCTTCCTATAGAGATGCATTGATTCAATGCTTTACTATGAGGAGATGCTGATTGGCTCAGCGTGGCCTTTTGCCATGCATGCGCAACAGCCTCCCAATGTTTTCTTATGGGAAAGCATTGGATTGGCTAAGATCTCAGCCACGGAGACTAAGCCAGCTACAACAAAGGAGAAAAGGTGAACGAAATCACCTTTTCAATTACATCTAAGGGGGGCTGGGGACCTAAATAGCTAATTTAAAACTATAGGAATACATGTTTTTATTCCTGACAATATAGTGTTTATTTAAACATAAATCACTGAAAATGCATTAGAATACACATAAATAAAAAAATTAAAAAAATAAAATAAAATGTAAAAAAACAAATAAATAAAATGTATGTAAAGCACACTTGTTTAATCACTAAGCAATGACTGGCAGTGTACTGAAGACCAAATTTAGAAATTCAAGGCTATTCGGTAAAGTGATAATTCAAAATGAATGCAAGGCCAAAGTAGCCAATCTGGTAGTATAGGTCACGGCTTGACAAAGGAGCCAGCTAAAAATTTTATGGGCCAATATTTTTAAACTTACAAAGTTTTATTTTCAACTACAAATATACAATTTTTAAAGGGATATTATTGTCACCAGGACAACTACAGCTTAATGTAGTGGTTTTTCTGTCTATAGCCTGTGCCTGCAGACTTTTCAATGTAAAAAAAAAGCAGTGTCTACATTGCTGTCTAGTGACACCTCTAGTGGCAGTCACTCAGACAGCAACTTATGTGCTTCCTATCTTAGTGTTGCACAGTGTGCAGCATCTACATTCAGCACTTCCGCACCCTGCATGGAGGCGCTAAACGTTCCCCATAGAGATACATTGATTCAAAGCATCTCTAAGAGATGATGCTGATTGGCACAACTTTTTTGCAGTGCATACCCAATAACTTCCCAATAATTTCCTATGGGAAAGCATTGGTTTGGCAGAGATCATCAATCATGATTATCTCGGCCATAGAGACAGGGGCCAGCCATGGGGAGACCAGCACAGTGTGGGGGGAAAAAGGGGAGTGAAAACACGTGATTGGAGGCGTGCTGGTCGACCTAAACATACACACATACAATGAAACACATACACTGACAGACACATATGCCATGACAGAAACACACACACAAACACACATACACTGACAGACACACATACCATGACACACACACAAGAACACATTACTATTTGTTTTAATGCTATTCCACCCTGCCTCCCTACCTTTGGGAGAGCTGGAGTGGATCGTTTTTTCCTGGGATCCAGTGGGTGGTCAGCAGGGGGACAGTGAAGGCAGGCAGCCGGATGGAGGAGGGCGGCGAGGGAGCTGTGATCTTCCTGCTCTGCTCCCTTACGCAGCGCTTAGTGATGCTGGGGCCAGACTGACATCATATTCTGACTCCAGCATCACTAAGTGGCGCACGAGGGAGCAGAGCAGGGAGATCACAGCTCCATTGCCACCAGCCTACAGAACGCCCAGCCGGCCACCTGCCTCAGAGGGAACGGGCTCACAAATCCCAGGTGCCAGGACAAAAGTCCTGGTCACCATGGCGACCTGGGATTTGTCAAGCCCTGGAATAAGTTTAGCTAGGAATTTTCTAGTTTGGCTATTTTGCCCGTAAATTTGAAATTGACTTTGAATCCACAATGAATTCTCACTTTAGTGAATAACCTGGAGCTGTATTTTGGTATTGTTCCCAGATCACCTACTTTTGCCTAAACTTTGCAATTTAATTTTAAATTCACTGCAAACTTCTCTTTAGTTTAAAAAAAACAAAAACCTGCCAGTCTTTTCTCCAAGCAGGTTGAATGGGACATGAATTGGATTCCTTTGACACTAAGGTCATTCATTCTCTTTATCCTCTATCCCTGCCTGTGCTTGTACTCCTGAACTCACAGCTCAGGTTGTTCACTACACGCGCTGTCAATAAAGCTGTTACAAAGTGACCTTGAGCGTGCTCTCCTCCCTCCATCCGGGTTCTCTTTATAAGGAGGGTCGCGCGCTTGCGTGCTGTTCTCCACTCAGTTCGACCTCTGGTGCCGGTAAGAATGGATGCTCTCAGGCCTTGGTTGGCGGGGGGGGACCCTGGGTATCCATTGCCATCCGCCCCCTTCCCGACCTCCTGCTCGGGCTCTGCATGTCTGATGCTGCTCGGCAGACACTGTGCTCATTGAATCGCCCGCAGCTGGTCGCCATTTCCTTGTGTTTTGATGCTAATCCCTTTCTCTCCGCAGAGGGACTGTGACAGGCAGACATCTTACCCGACTCCCAGCCGAAGAACCCACAAAGCTCATACAGCATGTATGCCTGTGCGAAGTTCGTGTCCACCCCTTCCCTGGTGAGTACACAGAGCTCCTGTGGAGAGCCCAGGCCGGCCCGCAGGACAGCCTGGGCCTAGCTGCCGCAGGGAGGAGGCGTTGTAGGTCAAAGTCAGTGTCCCCTGACAGCCACTTCCGCCCAGCACCTCCTGCCTGTAAATCCCATGTCAGCCCCAGAATCCAGGCTTGTCTTCATTCTATTTATGTTTTGGAATAGAATTTATTTATTGTAAGCCTGAGACTTATAATTTTTTTTCTTGCTGACCTTAATACTGTGGCAGTCCAAGGACGCAGTGCAAGACAAGCTTGCGTTTGAATGGAGGCCTGTTATTCTTTAATGGTGGTGACATTGGTGTTTGTCTTGTTTGCCCTTGTGGATTTGCCGTGTTACCTTTTTATGTTAACTAAAGGTAATGAATGGTTGGTGCTTGCCTCTGCAATGCACAGGCACTGCTCAGTGAGTGACAGTTCTTCCATTATATGTTGCAGATGTGCTGTCATGTTCTGCAAAAATTTTTTTTTTTTTTTCCATTTCAATGTAATTTGTCAGGAAATGGGTTGAATGACTTGTTCATTTTAACAGATTAATTGTGCTGATATGAGCTAAAGCTGTATTGCTGTTATGATATACTGTTAAAAATTTGTTTTTGTTTTTTTAATGTCTGTTTTAGAACCTAAACCTTTGGGGTGTTTTTTTTTTTGTTTGTTTTTCTACTAGATCCGTGCTGGATCCAGAGTACTGTACAGACCAATCTCTGCATCAGTGTTGTCTCGACCAGAGGTCCGAACTGGAGAGGTAATACTTTAATTTCTCTCTCTGTAGGCTCACTGTAGAATTCACAGAATGCAGACCATTAATAGACTTCCATTTGATAACTATAGCTTGAAATGCAGTGCTACTGAAGACATTAGAATGCCTGTATATCTACTGTAAGGTCACTTACACAAAAGAGATGAACTTCAGTAGGCCATTACCTTGAAGGGCACCCTGAATAACTATTCAATGGGTTAATTCAAGGACCTTCCTCTTGGCTTGAACAGTGAGTCTATCATTTGAGGTAGTTTTTGAGAACCTACTCTATAAAGTTTATAGCTTTATTAAAATCAAAACTTATTCTTGTGCATTTTTGTTTTGTTTAGGGAAACACAACATTAAGTGGATCCCCAAATACCTGCACCCAAATTGTACTGAGGGGATTCCAGACCAGTGCAATCAGCAGGGATATTGACACTGCTGCCAAGTTTATTGGTGCTGGTGCTGCCACGGTTGGTGTCGCTGGCTCTGGTGCTGGTATTGGAACAGTTTTTGGCAGCCTCATTATTGGTTATGCCAGGTAAGTATCACAATGTACTCCTCTTATTAATAAGCATATTGCTTTTCTGCTAAATATCTATTCACTAAAATGTAGTAACTTAGAATTTGTTGCCAAGCTCCAACTATAACTGGAAAATATTAACATTGTTTTGAGGTCTTTGTATCCTGTAGAAATTTTTTTTTTTTTTTGAATTCTGTTCACAACTTGACTTCTCAGTCACACTTGTAGATGTGCCCACTTGCCTGGATGTTTAATAGATGGCAACTCTACTAAAGACTACACTTCTGTAATAGAATTGTCAGACTGTTGGCGTGGGTCACTGTAGTGTAACAAAACCTTAATGTTTAAGATCTGATGTAAATTTTCATTCAGGCACAGAAAGATTGTACCAACTTTGCAGTGCTTGCCTTAATGTGTTGCTCCAAACACTATGGCCACTTTAGTGACTTGAAGTGGCCCTAGTGATAGGAATTTGAATGTGCAGTGTTTCTACTCTAAACACTGCCAATCCAAAGTTCTGGTTAACTGTGCTGGGTGCTAGTTGCACCCCAGGCTACCTATTGTCAATTCTGTACCTAGTTCCTGAAGACTCACTAGTACCCAGGTAAGTGGCAAACATTGCAAAAGTTTGCCCCAACTGGGAAATGGGGTTAAGGTACTCATGGCATATAACACACTGTATAGCTTAATCTGTGCAATGTAGACTAGATTGACTTACCTGAAGCTGACTGCCATTGACATGTTCAGGACCAACATGCTCTGTACAGTGGATATACAAAGTCTTGACTACTTTGTTTTTCTAGCTTATGATTCCAATTAGCCAAGAATTATCTAAATTGTTACCAGCCTTAAAGATTGTAGTGTCCCTGATTTAAATTGCACCAGTGAGGTATTAATCTTTGAACACAATACTAGTCTACAAAAATTCCTTTGATTTATCATGGTAGGATATTGCAGTCCAACAAAATAAAGGGACTCTGTAGGCAGCCAGACCACTTCCACTCACTGAGTGGTCTGGGTGCAATGTCACTTGAGCCTACAGTGGTAGTTGCAGTTTCTGAGAAACTGCAATAATTACCTGAGGGTTAATTCCTCTAGTGGCTGTCTACCAGACTAAGCACCTGGAAGTCCCTCTAGTGGCAGACTCCTTTTGGTCATCCAAACTATGCTTGACATGCTATGCATGAGTACTTCCAGTGTCACCAGAATCCCCATAGGTAAGCATTGGATAATGCTTTCCAATGGGAAATACTAATGTGAGCGTGGTCATTGCATTAGGTCTCCCTTGCTGGCAGGGGAGGGGCATGGGTAGAGCCTGACTCAGTACCAAGGGACACTGGCACTGGATTTAGGTAAGTTTGAACCCCTTCAGCGCCTCAGAAGAGGGGCCACTGCAAGAGCCTATAGTGCCAGGAAAATGGCTTTGTTTTCCTGGCACTAGAGAATCACTAACTTATCTTCAGATTTGTACATAAATGGCAGGAGGTGAATTTGAAACTTATGTAATATAAATACAACTACATGCCTCTGAAATGTTTCTCTTTACAGGAATCCCTCCCTGAAACAGCAGCTGTTCTCCTATGCAATCTTAGGATTTGCCCTGTCTGAAGCTATGGGTCTGTTTTGTTTGATGGTTGCTTTCTTGATTTTGTTCGCCATGTAAATGCTCAACATTCAAATGAAGATGTAATCAATATTTCACTGTGGCTCCCGATAATATCGTGTTGTCAAGGAAATGTACAAAGTTTCCAAAGTCCTTTCATTAAAAATAGTAACAAAACTGAGAACCTGTATTGTTTTGTTATTTGCACTCTTGAGACATTGTAATCTAACTTATCCATAAAGCCATGTTTTCAAACAATCACTACTGTACTCTTTAAAAATGTACATTAACACAACATGCATTAAAGATTTCTCCAGATAGTCCTTGTCTCTGCAGTTGTTTACCAGATTTACTTATTACTTTGGTTTATTTTGCTTGCACAGATTGGTAAATGGCCTTACTGAAATTTGCCTTTTCAGTTTGCTAGAACTGTTCAGGGAAATTTTTTTCAGTTTACTTCTGTCTCTCATGCCGATTAATTTCCTTAAAGGGACATGAGTGACTACAACTACTACTTAATGTAGTGGTTCTGGTGGCTATAGCATGATCCTGCAGGCTTTTCAATGTACACTTTTCAGAAAAAAGGCGGTTTACATTGCTGCTTAGCAACACCTCGTGGCCACCAGAGATGCTTCCTGTTTCAGTGCTGCACTGTGGCATATTGCAGAGCATGCACAATAGCCTCTCTATGCTTTCTTAGGGTAAGCGTCTGGTTGAGATTGTAAAGATTGCCATGGAGGTGGGGCCAGCTGCAGGAAAAACAGCATAGCAAGGGAGAAATGGGGAAGTTTTTTTTTTTTATATATTCCTCCAATCAGACAAGAGCTAAAAATGTATTTCAGCCTTGTTAAGTGTACAGGTTTGTATTGCCAACTACTAGTGTACTTTTAGTCCTTAGTCAGCAGGGAGGTTTCAAAACTTGCATTTACACATGTGATGGCTTATGTAAACTGTAAGCTACAAAAATGTGATCTAGACTATCTTGGGCCCCCATAATTCAAGAGCACATAAGGTCAGGAAGACATATTGTTGTTCTATGGAACTATTGGCATTCAGATTTTGGTTTGCCTGCATTTTGCTACAGTTTGGAATATAATGGTAAATATGCCACTAGCATTTAAATATAAACGTTACATTACATCTTGCTTTACCACTTGTGAAGATTACTTTTACTCAAAGTCCTCTGATTTTATTCCTTAGAGGATTGCATCAGGGGACTCCTGGCTTCATATCCACTCCATCAATGCCAAATATAAATCCTCCCATGCCGCCCCCCCCCCCCATACACACATTCCATTGTTTTTTATTTCTGTCTGACACTAGTCAACAAAATATTTCTCTTCGGTGTTAAAAGATTGCAGAACACTGTGCTATAGAATGTTCATCTTATGTCATATTTTGTATGCATGCCACCATTGCTTTCTCATGTACATTTTGTAACCCTTTTATATTTATAGCAGTGTTCTGCAATCTTAACATATTTTCAAAAGTTCCTTGTTGGCTAAGGTATAAAGCCAGTCCATTTAAAAAGGAATTTGAATTTGGTTAAGAATAGAGTACGAGGCTGGTTCCAAACCTGAATGGCTTTGCAGACCACCGTTGCTACAATCATAGAAAAGTGTCTATTAGGCACTGGGTCACCATGAATGGGTCCCAATAATGGGAAACTGTGATTTAATGGTAAGGGTGTCATGTTAAGTATTGTGCAACCTCTCACCAGAAGGTCTGAATCGGGGACACTCCCAGACAGTGATCCAAAACTGCTTTGGTATGGGTGCATTTTAAGGAGGTAAAGGAGTCCTTCCTTGCCATGAAAAGTCTACATGAGTAAAATATGTGTAATTTTTCAGGAGCATCTCGATAAACCATGGGGAGCAGTTGACTTTGTGTGGTGTGATTTTAGGATGTTCTCAGGTGTGATCAAGGGAATCTTCCATTTCCTCAGACCTGTTTGTATTGTGTTCCAGTCAGGTGTGTATTGTAAAAAGGGCATATAGGGTAGATATGGAGTGAAAGTCTGGTGGATAAAAGATAATCCAGAGAATTACACCAATTGGAGACTGTACTGGAAAGAAGGCCAAGCGCTCCCTGAGGCAACCCACGGTAAGAATGAGTGTCAAAATCTACAAAAGAATTCAACGACCCGAGACCCTGCTCTGACCACATTGTGAATGGATGTGTGTTGAATCTATCCTAGATCTCTGGAGCAGGTGTATGGGGGAAAACAGCAGGCTCACTCACAAGCCAACTTTCAGGCTTTAATCAGGACGGCCACAGAGGGTTTGAGAGAATATCATCTGAAAGCAGGTTATGTGGTTTGTGTAATGAACTGGTAGGGAGTCCGGCTGCGCCAGAGAGGAGTCCAGGTCTGAGTATCTTGACTGCGATTGGATCCAGTCGAGTGCATGCCGCAGTTGAGCTGCCAAACTGTACTCTCTGGTTGGAAAATTAAGTCCTCCATTGCATTTGGTTTGGTGAAGTTTAGTTCGGCTCAGCCTAGCCCTCGGTCCCCGCCAAAGAAAGTGCCTCAACTTTTTTTTAGCTTAAAAGATTTTCATCTTTTTTTGGAGTGTAAGACTGGGAGTACCTTAAGAGGGTACAGAAACTTTGGGAAACTAATTTATAGAGATTGGCCCATCCGATGTATGAAAGAGGCAATTTGTGCCAATGTTCCAATTCATTAAGAATGGAGAGAACAGGAGGGACATTCAAGTTATACAGTAGGCCAATATTTCTTGGGATTTTGATCCCTAAATATTGATTGCTATTTCAATGGGACACTCCTAAACAACTTAGGAGGTGATCCCCTCCTGAGATGTAGAGCACTGGATTTCGACCAATTAACTGTATGTCCTGCCAAGGCATGACATTTGTCAAGGAGGGGTGGTATGGAAGAGGCTGGCTCCAAGGTATACAGGAGAAGGTCGTCAGCAAAAGCAGAGATTTTCATAGTGACATCCCCCAGGGGAATACCCCTGTAGCGACTCTATGGCTAGGTTAAATAGTAGTGGTAATATGGGGCATCCCTGCCGTACCCCTCGTCCTAGTGTGAAATATGGAGAGTCTAGTCCATTTGTCGTGATGCAAGCAGTTGTGTTGTAAGTTTTTAACAAAGGTGTGTCCCAAGTAGCATAGTTTTAGTATGCTTATCAAATGCCTTCTCAATATCAAGGCTGATAAGGGAAAGTCCACCCTCGCCCCTGTAAAGGCTGCCAACGCCCTTCGGACCCCTTGACCATCTGTATCCCCACCACAAACCCCAGTTGGTGACCCGTAAAGACCCTGGGAAAAATTGATTGAACTCTTAAGGCTATGATTTTAGTGAGAATTTTAAGGTCCAAATTGAGCAACGATATAGGGTAATAGGACGCCAAATCCTCCACATCCCTAGCCGGCTTCGGTAGCAGCATAGTGCATGCCTAATTAAGGGAATCTATCGAGAGTCCCTTCAGATAGATTTGGTCAAAAAGGGCCTTAAGGGAGGGACTAATTTGGTGTTTTAGAGTTTTATAAAATTCGGCAGTATATCCATCCCGGCCTGGAGCTTTACACGATTTAAGGGACGCGATGGCTAAATGAATTTGTTTTCCAATGATAGGGGAGCTAAGTAGTTCCCGGGAGTCCCCGTCTAAGTGAGCTATGTTCAGATTTGTTTAGGAAAGCCATATCATGATCAGTTGGGGCTATCAATATTTTTTTGAAAATAGTTGTGAAAAGCTTTGTTAATTACTGCATAAGCAGTAAGCCGGACTGCTTACGGCAAGTTAATTGCTGTTATTGGTTTGAACCTGGTTTTAGGATTGACCATATGGGCCAACAACCTCCCAGACCTTCCTCCATCTGAAAAAGTGCTGTCTAATTTTAATTGGGCATAATTAGTAATGTTAGTTTTTAGAGTGGATTTAGCATCAAGGTAAGTTTGTTTGTTTACGTCAGATGGATTAGCCAAATACCTCGTATGAGATTGTTTAAGCCCTTAAGGACACATGACATGTGTGACATGTCATGATTCCCTTTTATTCCAGAAGTTTGGTCCTTAAGGGGTTAAGGGCTGTTTCTAACACCGCATAGTCTTCTGCCATTTTTTCTTAGCAGATGAAGTATGGGAAATTATCTGTCCCCTCATGGCTGCCTTGGATGTCTCTCAGAGTAATTTTGGCTCCTCCATGTGTTCCAGATTGTCATCCAGAAAGTTTGCCCAGTGAGTCTGTAAGCGAGTATGGAACGGTGGCTAACTCGTGAGATATATTTTTATTTTATTTTATTAAAAAAATAAAATAAAAAAAGTAGCTAGTAAAGCTAAAAAAACAAAAACAAACTGTAATCTTGTCACTGATATCTCTTAGGAAATCAACCCTTCATAAAAATTAAACTCTTATATTGAATTTTAGTTTCTTTTGCAGAGGAAAATGTAAATTTCTTGCTTTGGGTACCTTTAGTGCTAAAGTAAACTTTGTTACCTTGATGTGCAGTAAATGATGCAAGTGACCTAGATATCAAATAGCATCTATCTGACTCTACAGTTAACGCATAGGATGTGTTTTTATAGTAACTATTTTTATCACCTCACAGTTACTGTGCTGATGGGGGACATCCTGTTGCTGTAAATGAGAAGCCAGCAGGGTCTCTTGGTAGGGAATGTGCTGTGAAATTGAAAAAAGCCACATGTGTTTAAGTTCAAAAATGCAACCAAAACTTTTACAAATGGATAGTGGAAGCAAACTGGTGACAAATGCAACACCAACATTCTAGGTCATGTATTCCATTAAAATCTGCAATGGCCACCTTTGAATGAGTGTGGTTTATGCAGTAATATTGGGTTCTATAACTGCATCTTACAGAAAAATCAGTAAAGCACGTCTAAATGCTGTTCTTGAAATTTACAGATTTTGCATGCTATAAGTAGTGCTATTTTTGCAATAAAAAAAAAATGAAAATAAGTTATTTGACAACTAAATAATAATGTGCCAGGTATACAAGCTGACAAATATTTGTAGCAAATAATTTTTTATTTATTGATACCATGAAAGTATCTTAAATACATTTTGTCACTGTTCAATTCTATTTTTTTATTTTTTTTTATGTAATAGACTACTGATATATATTAATTTTGTATGACAATTTGCCATGACTGGGTAATCAAATTTTGGGAGATTCTTTGTACTATAGAAACAGTCATAACATTCAACAGAATTCACAAGTAAGTTAACTGTTAGATTGCTTATTGGTGTTAGTGGAAATAAGAGGAACAAATAGCTTTAAAGGAACACCCCAATGTGAACAATATTCAGTTTTAATGTTTGGACTGTTCCTTTAACCATTTAGATGACTTGCACCCCCATCTCCTTCTTCTCCTCACCAAAATAAGAAATCACTTCCCTTGTCTCCAACAGTGAGTCCACATTTGCTGCTGATCCACTCCTTCACCTGGAGACTATCAATGATGACAGTTTCTGTTCCTATTCGGACCACTGCCATGAATGTGATCATCCAATAGAGAGCTACTTTCTCTAACAATCATTCAAGCAGAGTGAATCAGGAAGCCCTTCTGGCTTTCAGCTTAATTGCCAGGGGTGGGTGTTCCTAAATTAATTCAGAAAAGTGCCAATTTCTGTTTAAGTCAGCACTTCTATGAATGAGGTAAAGGGGGTGTGTGCTGTCTACCCCTATATCACTTATGCATGCTGTAGTGCCTTAGAGGTAAAAAATGTCCCTTAAAAGTGAACTTGTCATTTACAATGAGATTGGTGACAAGTTCACTTTGTATAACGGAGTATTGCAAATAAAAACTACAGAATAAAACTTTATCCCAAGGTGTGATATTTATCTTTGTCATCTCTCTCCCAATGCAAAGAGTTTTCCTCCTTGACAAAGGGCCTTTCAGCAAAGCAAGACTGTGTTTCATATCTAACTTGGCGGTTGAAGTGTTCTTCAGGTTGCCCCTATCAGGATTACTGTATGATCCAGCACATAGAACTGTATAGCATGGATGACAAATAAGTAACGCATTACCGGTCCTTAGAATGGCCGGATTTAACGTACATAGAATAGTCAAAATACTAGCCAAGGTCAGGGAACACAGAAAGGGACGCAACGATGAGGAAAGCCAGGAGTCAGGATACCAGAATACAGAGAAGTCAATAAGCAAAATCAAAAACCAGTAGAAAACTATTAACAGGAACGCGCTCTCGGACAACCACATGGGAAACCATGACAGGGCACTGAGTGGAGGTCAGACTAGGTTTTTATATCCATCCTCCCTTTCCCATTGGTCAGCCCGGTATTTTGGCTCCAAAATGTGCGTGTGTGGTGCGTGCGTTTACGTGCGCGGTGTTATTTCTGCCCGTGGATGTGCAACGGCCGGTGCCAGACTGTATGCTGAGACAGTCCGGCCGCTGAGCACCAGGTGAGGGAAAAGTGTCAGATGTATATATGACAGAGATGACTCAAAGGCAGCAGCCTCAGAGAAACTCAAAGGTTCCTTCACAAGTACAGGCACAGAGGAGATTGTGATATATTCTTGTTTGCTCATAAAGACAGTGGTACGTTCGAAAGTTTTACCCCTTAAGGACTATGGCTTTTTTGAGATGCAACGCATTAGTGACAAAGGCCTTTTTGCCATGCATTCATTCTACCATCCTATTTTATGTTTAAGTGCCCAAATACAAATATTAAATTATAAATTGATTTTCTCACCCCTCCTGGGTGTTTATTCCTCATTCTCGGGTCCTCTACAAGAGGCCTGGGAGTTTGAGGGTTCTGAGCAGTATCTTAGCTGTTTCTAGAACTCCACTCTTCTGGACAGCGATGTCCCACCTGGAATCTGTTGAAGCCACTCCCCCAACTTGGGAGTCACAACCCAGAGTGCTCCTATCACAACTGGGACTACTTCTGCCTTCACTTTCCTCATCCTTTCTAGTTCAGTTCTTTCAGTCCTTGGTATTTCTCCACCTTCTCATGTTCATTCTTCTTGGTTGGCCAGCACTTGCTTGTCTGTCTGGATCTTGAAGTCCCACAGGATCTTAGCCATGTCATTCTCAACTACAATTTGTGGTATCTCCCATCTGGACTTAAGCGGGTCCAATCCATATTCTGTGCAGATGTTTCAGTACACAATCCCAGCAACTTGGTTGTGTCTCTCCGTGTATGCTGTTCCTGCTAACATCTTGCATCCGGCTACTAGGTGCTGGACTGTCTCAGAGGCCTCTTTGCACAGCCTGTACCTTGGGTCTTGCCTGGTGTGGTAGACTCCAGCTTCTATTTATCTGGTGCTCAGTGCCTGTTCTTATGCTGCTAGGATTAGTGCCTCTGTGCGGTCTTTCAGCCCTGCCTTTTCCAACCACTGGAAGGATTTTGTTATGTGAGCCACATCCACTATCTGCCGGTGGTACACCCAACGGAGAGGTTTGTTTTGCCAAGGAACCTCCTCTATCTGTTGAAGTTTCAGACATTCCCTTAGCACAAGCAAAATATAGGAGGTGATCAGCGCTTAACCCATTACTGACCAAATTTTCTTACCGTTTGGGACCAGGGCTGTTTTTACATTTCTGCTGTATTTGTGTTTAGCTATAATTTTCCTCTTACTCATTTACTGTACCCACACATATTATATACCGTTTTTCTTGCCATTAAAATGGTCTTTCTAAAGATAACATTATTTTCATCATATAATTTACTATTAAAAAGTTATAATTTATGATGAAACAAAAACAAACAAACTTTTTCAAAATTTGATCCCCAAAATCTGTTGCGCATCTACAACTGCCAAAAAACACCTGTGCTAAATAGTTTCTAAATCTTGTCCTGAGTTTAGAATTACCCAATGTTAACATGTTCTTAGCTTTTTTTGGAAAGTTATAGGGCTATAAGTACAAGTAGCACTTTACTATTTCCAAACCATTTTTTTTTTCAAAATTAACGCAAGTTACATTGTAACACTGATATCTGATAGGAATTCTTGAATAACACTTCACATGTGTATAAAATATATAAATATATATATATATATATATATATATATATTTTTTTTTTTATTTTATTTTTTTAAAGAAGACAACCTAAGGTATTAAACTTGGGGTATTTTGACTCTTTTCATGCAACCATTTTACCACCTATCTATGCCAAATTTAAAAAAAATTAAAATAACTGGTGATTTTTTTGATACACGTAGCAATTTAAGAATACATGTTCTGATAACTTTAAGGGTTACTGCCAAAGAACACCCCAATATGTGTTCAGCAACATCTCCTGAATACAGTGATACCACGTATAGGTGTGTCGGGTTCTCTGGGGGCTAAAAGACCTTATTTGTAGGGTGCGCCTTCCAGTTTTCCCAACTTGGAATTTTCACAGCTGGTCATCATGCATCAATTTTTATTTATTTATTTTTTTAAAGTAGACCACTCAGGGTATTCAATATGGGGTATATCCCATCTTTTTAGTAGCCACTTAGTCACAAACACTAGCCAAAGTTTGCATTTATATTTGTTTGTGTGTTAAAAATGCAAAAAAAACCAATTATGAACGCTAACTTTGGCAAGTTTTTATGACTAAGTGGCTACTAAAAAAAAGACTGAAGATACCCCATTTGCAATACCTTGGGTTGTCTTCTTTTGCAAATGGTATGCCATCATGGGGGTAACTCACATTCCTGGGCTACCATATGCTCTCAAAGACAACATAACCAATCTGGCAAATGTCAATGTGAAAAAACGGCCCTATATTTGACCCTGTAACTTTCAAAAACACTATAAAACCTGTACATAAGGGGTACTGTTATACTCGGGAGACTTCGCTGAACACAAATATTAGTGTTTCAAAACAGTAAAACGTATTACAACAATGATATCATCAGTGAAAATGCCATTTGTTTGTGAAAAATGCAAAAAAAGTCACTTTCACTGACAATATCATCGCTGTGATATGTTTTACTGTTTTGAAACACTGATATTTGTGTTCAGCGAAGTCCACCGATTAAAACAGTACCCCCCATGTACAGGTTTTAGGGTGTCTTGGAAAGTTACAGGTTTAAATATAGTGCTAGCAAATTAAATACTCTAGCCTTTCGGCCTGGGTTGTCAGGCAGGTCCTCCAAACTGCAATCAATAAAATTACTTAATTATGTAAAAATATTGCATAAATATGCACATAGAATTTAAATATATATACATATATTTATATATTTGAAGTCTACGTGTAAATTTGTTAAAAGAAATACACTTAGTATGACGTTATATACAAGATATATATATATATCTCTCTATCTATCTCGGTTCAGGCAGTCCCTCTGCAGGAAACACTGTGGACACCTATTGCAGCCATGTGATCGTTCTGGCTCAGCTCTAATAAAGAGGCCTGGACGGAATAATCCCCGTCTATGAATATAAGTCTTATATACATAGACGGGGATTATTCCGTCCAGGCCTCCTTATTAGAGCTGAGACAGCTCTAAAATGTGAGTGTGCAATTTGCCTATATATACTCCCTCTAATCCTACCAATTGTACTGCACCATTATTTGTCTCTTGTTTTATATTCATAGATTTATAGACTAGAAACTACATCTGTACAGTATGTATATCTATATTAAGCGCTGATCAACGCCTGTATTATGCTTGTACGATATATTTCACAAGGGTGAGGGAACTCTTTTGTTGGTGAATTGCTGCTAGCTTTCGTTGATATTGAGCGCTAATTCACATGTGTTTTGTATATTTCCTTAGCAGTTCATCTTTGGGAGCCATCTTTGAGATGTACTTGTGCATGCTCTGTGTTTCATCCAGGACTTTGGCCTCGACACTCATCAGGCCTCGACCTCCTTCCTTCTGGAAGGTGTACAGTCTCTGGGTGCTGGATTTCAGGTGGAATCCTCCATTCATTGTGAGTAGTTTCCTGGTTTTGAAAACTGGGAAATGCATAAATCCTTGACTGTTCATGTGACTTGAGGACTGAGTTGGGAACCATTGACATATGACCTATTCTCCCTGTGTGCCTCAGAGGTTGTTGCGTTGTGGGCCTCTGCAAGGTTTTCAGATCCACTGTAAATAATGCTGCGCTCTAGTATATGTACATGGTGTCAAGGAGGTTCCTTAGGGATGCCTCATTTTATTTTCCTCTAGCAGCATATTAATTGCATGCACAGCCGTCATGGCAATTTCTGGTGCTGTCCAACATGAATAAACACTGAAAACAAGGTACTTGGGCAACCCTACTTCCACTTCTAGACTCAACATTTTTTTTGGAAAGAATAAATAACTCTGCAACATTAGTTCATGGTACTTATAATTTCAATATCAAAATCGGAACAGACTAAGAGACTTTGTGGTGGAAATTTTGACAGGTACACCTTAAATGATGGAATAAAATATATCAAAATAAAACTGATTTTCTCACCATTCCTAGGTGGTATATTTTCCTCATTCTCGGGGTCCTCTGACCCCCGAGAGTCTGAGTGTTTTGCGCAGTATCTTAGCTTGTCCTAGAACTGCATTCTTCTGGACAGCGATCTCAGATGTCCCACCTTAAATCTTGGAATCTGTTGATGACATAATATATATAATGAACTGATGTATTCTAGTACAGTCATGCAATTCATGCTATCAACTAGACATGTGAAATTTGTTTCGTTCCGAATGTCCGAAGTGCCAAAGTTCGGAATGCCGAACCGAATTTCCAAAGTGCTTCGGATTTCTGAAAAAACAGGAGAGGGTTGGTGGGTAGGGGTTGAGGTAGGGTTAGTGGGAGTAGGGATAGGGTAACCCTAACCCTATGCTAACCCTACACTTACCCAAGTCTCAAAGTCCCGAAGTGTCGAAGTCTCAAATTTTGGAATGCCGAAGTGCTTCGGATTTCTTAAAGGTGGCAAAACAGGAGAGGGTTTGGGTTAGGGATTGGGGTAGTGTTAGTGGTTGAGGTAGGGTTAGGGTAATCCTAACCCTATTCCTAACCCTACCCTTCCCCTACCCAAGTTCCAAATTTCGGAATACCGAACCGAATATTTTTCACATGCACATCCCTACTATCAACCCAAAACAGTGACGCGTGTTGCTTGAGGAATATCAAGAAACAGAGGACTGTGTGTAAAGAATAATTCAGGAGCAATGATCTAGAAGCCAAACAATCAGCAGGAACATTCCATTGGTTTCTACAGCAATTACTCAGATTCTAGAACTTTGGCCCATAATTACTCTTTATTCATGGCTTGGCATGGGTTAGTTAGAAGTCATTGCAGTAAAAAGGAAAGGAAAAAGTCAAGGTCTTTAGAGGGACACTTTAATGTTGGGGGTACTGCAGGAGATATGACTTAAGAAAACCATATACATACCAGAAAATTTAATGTATAAAAGAACAAAGGGGAAGAAAATAGCTAAATAAGGACAAATCACCATGGAAACAAAGGTCTCAAAATGTAGCACTTTGCACTCAAAATAGCACCTGTTTTATCTTAACAGATCTCCGCTAATGTGTCCGATTTAAAGGGACACTATAGTCACCTGAACAACTTTAGCTTAATGAGGCAATTTTGGTGTATAGAACATGCCCCTGCAGCCTCACTGCTCAATCCTCTGCCATTTAGGAGTTAAATTCCTTTGTTTATGAACGCTAGTCACACCTCCCTGCATGTGACTTGCACAGCCTTCCATAAACACTTCCTGTAAAGAGAGCCCTATTTAGGCTTTCTTTATTGCAAGTTCTGTTTAATTAAGATTTTCTTATCCCCTGCTATGTTAATAGCTTGCTAGACCCTGCAAGAGCCTCCTGTATGTGATTAAAGTTCAATTTAGAGATTGAGATACAATTATTTAAGGTAAATTGCATCTGTTTGAAAGTGAAACCAGTTTTGGTTTTTGTCATGCAGGCTCTGTCAATCATAGCCAGGGGAGGTGTGGCTAGGGCTGCATAAACAGAAACAAAGTGATTTAACTCCTAAATGACAGTGAATTGAGCAGTGAAATTGCAGGGGAATGATCTATACACTAAAACTGCTTTATTTAGCTAAAGTAATTTAGGTGACTATAGTGTTCCTTTAAATTAAACAGACTGATTTCCAAACACATTTATCATTTCACACATTGCAGTGGGTGACAGCTGACAGGTGAGTACACACCCTTCACTGCTATCTACACAGTCCAGGTCAGAACACGTCAACGGCCACGCCCACCGTGTGTCCAAGCGCCGCCATCTTTACTCCGGGCACAGCGCCATCTTGCCAGCTTATTTACAGTTGATGTCATCCTTTCCCAAACCGCTCCGTAACCCTCCCTGCCTCCCTACCCACCAGCTGAACCCCCCGCCCGGCTGTCAGGCGAGATATCGCGATACGTTACAGGAGCTGGTGGGATTTGGCCTTGAGCGAGGTACAGCCCTTCTGGGGGTAAGTTTGTAAACACGGAGGCTCGGACACGGAGAGCTGGCACGATGCCCATGCACCCTCTGCCCACTGGTGCCCAGTAATATGGCGGACCGGGCAGACCTGTAACGTTTAATGAGGTGTGGGAGGCCGGAGCTTCTCATGGGCTGAAGGACCCTCAAGAACAGTAACCCTCAGTGCCCAGATCTGTGTCAGGTAGGATGGAAGGGATGTCATGGTCTCGCTCCTCTGTGTATGTCTGGTACTGCAGGCTGCCTCCAGGCTGCCATCATGTCTCGTTACCAAGGCAGCAGCATCCTCCTTCACACAGCCCCCTGTACCACAGCCCAAGGCAACTGAGCTGGTCACACCTCACCTACCCCATCCTGTCAGAACCTCAAATAATCACACACCTCACCTACCCCATCCTGTCAGAACCTCAAATAATCACACACCTCACCTACCCCATCCTGTCAAACCCTCAAATAATCACACACCTCACCTACCCCATCCTGTCAAACCCTCAAATAATCACACACCTCACCTACCCCATCCTGTCAGAACCTCAAATAATCACACACACCTCACCTACCCCATCCTGTCAGAACCACAAATAATCACACACCTCACCTACCCCATCCTGTCAGAACCTCAAATAATCACACACCTCACCTACCCCATCCTGTCAGAACCTCAAATAATCACACACACCTCACCTACCCCATCCTGTCAGAACCACAAATAATCACACACCTCACCTACCCCATCCTGTCAGAACCTCAAATAATCACACACCTCACCTACCCCATCCTGTCAGAACCACAAATAATCACACACACCTCACCTACCCCATCCTTCCAGAACCTCAAATAATCACACACACCTCACCTACCCCATCCTGTCAGAACCTCAAATAATCACACACCTCACCTACCCCATCCTGTCAGAACCACAAATAATCACACACCTCACCTACCCCATCCTGTCAGAACCTCAAATAATCACACACACCTCACCTACCCCATCCTGTCAGAACCACAAATAATCACACACCTCACCTACCCCATCCTGTCAGAACCTCAAATAATCACACACCTCACCTACCCCATCCTGTCAGAACCTCAAATAATCACACACACCTCACCTACCCCATCCTGTCAGAACCACAAATAATCACACACCTCACCTACCCCATCCTGTCAGAACCTCAAATAATCACACACCTCACCTACCCCATCCTGTCAGAACCTCAAATAATCACACACACACACACACACACACACACACACCTCACCTACCCCATCCTTCCAGAACCTCAAATAATCACACACACCTCAGCTACCCCATCCTGTCAGAACCATAAATAATCACACACACATCACCTACCCCATCTTGTCAGAACCTCAAATAATCACACACCTCACCTACCCCATCCTTCCAGAACCACAAATAATCACACACCTCACCTACCCCATCCTGTCAGAACCTCAAATAATCACACACCTCAGCTACCCCATCCTGTCAGAACCATAAATAATCACACACCTCACCTACCCCATCCTGTCAGACCCTCAAATAATCACACACCTCACCTGCCCCATCCTGTCAGACCCTCAAATAATCCACACACACACCTCACCTACCCGTCCTGTCAGAACCACAAATAAGCACACACACCTCACCTACCCCATCCTGTCAGAACCACAAATAATCACACACCTCACCTACCCCATCCTGTCAGAACCTCAAATAATCACACACCTCACCTACCCCATCCTGTCAAACCCTCAAATAATCACACACCTCACCTACCCCATCCTGTCAGAACCACAAATAATCACACACACCTCACCTACCCCATCCTGTCAGAACCTCAAATAATCACACACACACCTCACCTACCCCATCCTGTCAGAACCTCAAATAATCACACCTCACCTACCCCATCCTGTCAGAACCTCAAATAATCACACACCTCACCTACCCCATCCTGTCAGAACCACAAATAATCACACACCTCACCTACCCCATCCTGTCAGAACCTCAAATAATCACACACCTCACCTACCCCATCCTTCCAGAACCACAAATAATCACACCTCACCTACCACTTTGTGTCTGAACCACAGCTAATCACACCTAATCTCCCCCTTCATGTAAAAAACACTACAGCTAATCACACCTAATCTGTCATTCTTGTCTGAACAAACCTCATCTGCCCCTTTATGTCAAAACCATGGCAGGTCAAGCCTAATCTGCCCCTTCATGTCAAAACCATGATCGATCAAACCTAATCTGCCCCATCATATCAAGAACAAGGCTGATTGCACCTTATCTGCCCCCTCATACAGATACCAAAGGTGATCATACCTACGAACCCTGATTCCGTCAAGCCCTCCTCTCCTCACAACTAAAATCAGAACTGATCACACCTACATTTCCACAATCTGAAGACAACTGCTGATGATCAGATTAAATCCACCAGTCCTATCTGGAGCACTGCAGATCATAAATTTACCTACCCCCTTGCAAAAGACTAGGCGGATCACATCTAATCTACACCATCATTTAAAGCACACAGGTCATCATGTGTAACCTCCCACCTACATCTAAACTACTGCAGATCACTAGAATTCAGTAATCACTAGCCTGTGTTACTCCTGATCTAGGTTTTCATGTTTTTTTTTTGTGGTTAAATGCTCATCCAGGCATGGCAATCCGATTGGTATGTTTAAAAATGAAGTTTGTTTTGTATCCTCTCTGTGCTTTCAGTACCAGAGGAAAACTACAATACTCCAAATCAAACCTTTAAATAATAGTGGGTTCCTTCGAGTGCCCTGATAGGCAATACAATTACCTAACGTTTCAGTTGTCCTAATTCTTGTATTCTTTCCATTTAACACTTCAGGCGCTGAAGGGACACACAGCACATTTAATTGGATTGTAATAAAATAAGGAAATTCCTTGGAGACCCTTATTATGCAAATTGATTTTTTTTTCCTCTTTGTCTCCTAGCAATAAAGTTGTTCTATAATTAGTAGTCATTAATGCTTGTCTTGCAGCTGCCCCAATCCATTTAGATTGTGTTGGAATTGTATATAACATTGACATATTCTCTTTGTCGTTCTACATAATTTTATGTCTCCTTTTTATGTGTTTAAATATTTGCAGTTGTCTCAAGTAAACACACCTGGCATCGCTATTTTCATTTCTTTTGTTAACATGTAAAGGATGTTATGACTCATTCCTACTTCTTTAAGGCTTTTTTTTATTTTTATAAAAGTAAGCATGACACCTTTGTGTTCAATGATTCTGTAAACCAGTCTTTTCAGACTTTTTTTCCCCATGCATTAGTAGCAAAAGATTTTTCAAGCCAAGAATGCTAAATATCACTCTTTTTAAATCTGGAATATAAATATATGCTTTCAAAAGGGCAATCCAAGTAAGAATTGTCTTCAATATTAATGCATGCAGTATTGGCTAATGCATTTAATATATGTAAAAACTAGGTAATAAAACAAGATAAAAAATAAAAAAAATACCAGTGTGAAAAAATGAAGTTTCTGTATATGCAAGAATTCCCCAGGATTTCCAAGTGAATACTACCCAGACCAGGAAGTAATTGGCCAATCAGGGCCCTTCAGTAATTTTCTGTGGCAGGTGCTGTAGGTATCCTATAAATGCCTGCAAAGGTTGGCTGTTTGAACAAGACTGGAGTTTGTGGGAGTTATTGTTCAGTTATCGGCTTTTACTGTTTAGCTGAATTTCATCTCCGAGAATGATGTTTGGTGTACACCCGAGTGACTGTTACAGCTTTGTTTTCGGATACATTGCAGATTGGACGAGATATACAGAAATGATGGGCTTATTGAACAAAACTATTTACGTAGTTAATAAAATTGTGCTTGTATTGCCCCTCTAACTAAACTAACTAAAGGGACACTCCAGGCACCCAGACCACTTCTGCCTATTGGAGTGGTCTGGGTGCCAACTCCCATCACTCTTAACTCTGCAAGTGTAATCATTTCAGTTTTTATAAACTGCAATCATTTCCTTGCATGGTTAAGTTCTCCTCTAGTGGCTGTCTATCAGACAGCCACTAGAGGGACTTCCATGTTCTTAGAACACGAAAAGTGTTTTAATTGACGCTGGACGTCCTCTCGTTATGCATGAGGACCTCCAGAGTTGCCGAAATCCCCATAGGAAAGCATTGAATAATGTTTTCCTATGGGGAGGTCCAATGTGTGCGCGGCAGGTCTCCCACGTCGGCGGGAGAGGACCATTGGCGGAGTCTGACCCAGCGCCGAGGGGCATCGACGCTGGATTCAGGTACGTCACTAAAGGTTTTTTTTACCCCTTCAGCAACATGGGATGGGGGCACTGCAGAGTCCATTTAAGGCCAGGGGGTAAAAACAATATATAAACTTTTTAATAATAAATGTAGTATCTGTCAGGATGGGTGCTATACCAGTGTCTTTTTGCACAAATTGTGCCTTGTGGGTCAGCTCTGGTTACTGTCTGTGCTCTACACGGGACCTGTGATATCTTGTAGTGCAGTAAAGTAGCAAGAAGGATGGATGAGGGATGGTGGGCAAGAGGAGGCCTGGCTGACATGCTAAATGCTATTTTTTTTTTTTTGCAGTGCATATAAACATTACAAGCTGGCCTGGAGTACCCCGAAAGCAGTCCTCAGGCTTTTTTTCCTCGCTAAACATGCGGGACCCATGAGTTACAAGCACAATTTTATAGTATAATGGTGTAATATAGGCAAGCGTAGTTAGTTATAGCATTGTTTAAGTTATCCAGATAAGTTTATCTTCTAGCAGTCAGATCATAAGCTGGCGTAAGGGATCTAACCAAAGACGTATGCATTTAGTTTCGTAATTTGCCTAACTTGCTAGACATTAAGACGTTTACAATATCAATTCTAAGGCTATACTCTCTTAACGGCAGTATTGTTTATGCTGAAGACTTAGGTATACGCATTCTTTGAGACAAGTATATATGTGTACTTCACAAGCCGAACAAGCGTCGGCTCTGCCAGGCTGCGTGTGAGAGGCGACCAAAACCGCCTAGGCGGTTTAGTTGCGTGTATGCCTCAAGCTATGCAGTAGTAAAAAGGAAATAAAATAAGCGTGAGAGTGTTATTGGGTAAGCAAAATAAGTCACTGTGGTCTGGGGTCAGCCCGGGTGTCGGACAGTCCATCAAGCCGCACAGTCTCTTTTGTGGGGTAGTTCAGGGCCATGGTAAAGGGTAGTCCCATTGCCCCGGGTATATGGGGTCTCAGGAAGAGTCCTCTTCAGCCAATACCTTTCCTCCAGTGACTGTCGGGGCCCATGCGCAGGACTCTGCGTTCCGCTGCCGTGCCGGTGTGCGAGAAGGTTTCCCCCAGGCAGGTGTGCAGGCTTTCATTCCTTGGCCACAAACTCTGTCAACTCTAGGGCCCGAGTTTTCTCCTCTTGCGGGAGTGGTGGAGGGTCTTGGGATCTTCCGACACTTGCGTCTTGTTTGCCTCCGTGTGTGTGGGCGATGCGTCCAGGTTATCCGCCCCGTGGCCTGCAGCCCGGGTGGGCCAGGTAGAGTCGTGGTTGCTTTGTGCCCAGGGTTTTGCCCCTCACCCCCTGCCAGCTGTGGTTCTGTTTATCTTCCTCTTTAGGTTTAGGGCCGTCGGTTCATTGACTGTCGCTTCTCAAGTTTGTCCCAGAAATGGGTTAAGAGTGCCTCTAGTCTTTGCGAAAGGTTAGACTGTTGCAGTGTCGACAGCTTGGTCTGCTGGTGCGTCAAGCAGTCCGCCGTCATCTTGGCTGTTCATCTTGGATGTGCCTTGTGCTGGCTTCCCCACCTCTGGCTCAGGCTTGTGGTGAGGCCTTGTCAGGCCGCCCCTGACGTCCAGTGAGGACTGGGATATCCCCCGCCTCTCCATGGGGGGGCTGGGTAGGGTACAAGCATGCCGAGGGTGCTATGTGTGTCTTTGCTGTCGGGGAGAGCGGCCGTGCTGGCTCGTGTAGGCCCCAGTGGCTTTTAAGGGTTCCTGGGGTGTGTGCGTCTCGCGTTTGGGGTCAATAGCTGTCCCCGGGGTTACCCTGCTTGCCTGTCTGCAGGTGTCCACTCCAGTTTTCGGGGTGTTTACCCCGGATTTGGTCACTTTGGTCGGGAGCTGTTTCCCGGTGCGTGTGTCCCGCTCGGCAGTCAGGCTCCGCCCCCCTGCTTTATTGTTTTTATTATATATGTATAGTTTGTATTTTATAATCTAAATATTAAATATATGTTGGTGCTGAAGTGCACTTAGAAGGTATTGTTTGTACTTCTCTCCACTCCTTCTCTACCTGACCCCTGGTGGAATACAAGTAAAGGTGTTCACCAGTAAAGTAATAATTTTGTCCTTCTCTACCCCTTTAAAGGGACACTCCAGGCACCCAGACCACTTCTGCCCATTGGAGTGGTCTGGGTATCAACTCCCACTACCCTTAACCCTGCAAGTGTAATTATTGCAGTTTTTTTTATACTACTAGACAGCCAATAGAGGGCACTTCCTGGTCCATAGCACAGAAAACCTGTGCTAGAGCGTCGCTGGACGTCCTCACGCTGTGTGAGGACCTCCAGCGTCGCTCAATTCCCCATAGGAAAGCATTGAAAAGCATTTTCAATGCTTTCCTATGGAGAGCTCTAGTGCGCATGCGCAGCATTGCCACACATGCGCATTAGGTCTCCGCGGCTTGCGGGCGGGATCAGTCTCGCCCACCGGCCGACGTTATGAAGAGGAGGAGCGGCGGCGACCAAACATCGGCGGAGTCTCAGGTAAGTGACTGAAGGGGTTTTCACCCCTTCAGCAACCGGGGATTGCGAGGTGGGAGGGAGAGGGGACCTGCAGTGCCAGGAAAAAGGATTGTTTTTCTGGCACTGGAGAGTCTCTTTAAGACCTGCTCTCAGCCATTTTTGTCCATCACTTCAAACCAGCCCTATTTTAAATGGCAGATTGAAATTTAACATGAGTGGATGAACTTTCAAATAGAGTATGGGTATGTATGGCCTTAAATTAGATTACTGGGAAGTTATACTAGTGTAGATATACAGATATCTGAAGGGTCATTGTAAACCCCAAAACCACATCCGCTTGCTGCAAGGACCCAGTCAACAATGTCTTCCATTTCAAAGTTCAAATAATCTGAAACTGGCTTTCTTTGATTTGGAGTGCGTATCTCCACCCCTGGCTGTCAATCAGATATCTTTACTTTTTATCTTTTCTGGTTAGCAAGATTAAAGGAACACTTAACTCACATCCTTTATGTGTCTAGAGACTGTTATATTTGTGATAGTGCATAAGGGTACCAATTTAATTGGCTCACAGAGCTAAGTAAGTGACTGGTGTGCTGGGTCGTCTTAATGCAAAGCCTTTGATGGGGTATTCACAATTGTTAATATATTTTATTTATTTAAACATACCTCAAAGAAAGCATGTCTCATTTCATGGGGGGTATATCTATTTTTAAATTGTAAAAAAAAAAATTAATGGAGTGTTCCTTTTTAATTTTGTTCAACTTTTTCACAATTACATGCATGTATAGTTGGCTTGACAAGTAATTGAACACAGGTGAGTAGTTGCTATCCGTTTTAAAGAGACTTTCCACTTCTACTCTTTGGGTTTAATTACTTATTGTTCCTGGACACGAGTTTATGGGATAAAAACAGACATTCCCCACCCCCAGACCAAAATCCGATGCACCTGATTGTATTGTCTCTTCCTGTTGATGGAGAGTTTGTCTGTATCTGAAGGCAGCCTCTCTAAACTGTGCCACTACAAGAAACTTTTATGAAGATGATTTTTTCCTGAATTTCAGCGCCGCTCTGTGGGTGTTCCTTTGTCACCTCCTGGATGTCCTCTGCTACACCAGAACTACTATAGATTAATGTACTGGTACTGCTTCCTACAGCCTATCACTGGAGGCAGAGATAAGGCAGAGTTTACATTAAATATAGTCCTAAATCACTCTGCCTAGTAACACCTCTAGTGGCAGTCATTCAAAGGATTACTAGAGGTGTTTCCTAGGCTAATGCTGCACAGCGTACAGCACTGGTGTTCATTGTCTCCATGTAGAGTGATTCAATGCATCTCTTTGAGGAGATGTTGACTGGTGCAGTGAGCCAAAGCCTTCCAATGATTTCCTATGGGAGAGTATTGGATTGGCTGAGATCTTAAATATTGATGATCTCCATCATGGAGGCAGAACAAGCCACAGTAAGACTGGCGCGGCATTGGAGAAAGGGTAAGTAAAATCACTCTTTTACTGAGAGCGGAGGGGAGCCGTTCACCTAATTAGCCAATTTAGGACTGTAGTGTCCGGAGTAAATGTTTGTATATTGTACACTTGTGTTCCTTTAACAGAAAACTTCCAGTTCCTTAAGGTTTCTGGAGTCCACACAAACGAATTTTAGTGATAAATGTAATATTTTTTTCAACATTCTGGTGTTACATGAACAAAGGTGGAAATCGTGGAGAAATTCCGGGGGGTGGACTGAGACTGTAGCTACTGTGCCACAAACTTTTTTTGAGAGGCTTGAAGGCCAGCTTCCTGCCCACAAACTATGGGCCTGATCCCAAGAACCCACAAAAGGGGCTCTTTTATTGTGAAGAGGGATATGGGGGCTCTGAACACTTACTGTGCTTCCAGCCGAAGACCTCTGGACTCATTTTTAAATCTTGAGTGCCTGACCAGGAGATACTCTGGAACTATTCTTTGGATGGGACTATGCCAAGACCCAATAAATCTTTTAGCAGGTATCGCTCAGCTCGGACCTCCAAATAGTGTTTTCAGGCAAGGACGGGGAGGCATCATATGTTACCTGGGGCTTGAGAGCTCTCCCTTCACTAGAGGTTCGAGAACATATTTTGTGGGATCAGAACTAAGCCGCGAAAGCACAGGACTTCTCGCTAGATTGGAGAATAGACTCAACCCTCCAAAGCGTTAACACGCTGTAACTTGGGCTCGGATTCTCCGACCGGGAACTCTACAGAAGAGACAGTCTCCGAGACCCCAGTCAAGTTTCGGCACCTGGGTCCCATGGTAGTAGCAAGTAACCTGACCTGGTGGAGGTTCTTGGTCTGAGTACCAGAGCTCTCTCTTTTAGGGACCTCCATGGGATGAGTTGACTAAACCAGGGCTCGACACATCCCAGGTCGCTGTGGCAACTAGGGATTTTCTCCTTGCGCCTGGGCTCCCAGCTTTCAAGCAAATTTGTAAAGCCCTTCACTAAACCTCAAATTGTTGTGAATTGAAAAATTAGTTATAAAACTTTTAAAGTGTTGCTTTAAACAAAACAAAAAAATCCCCAACTTGAACAGGTCACAAGATAACATAAATTTAGCAATTTGGTTTTCCGTTCATTACAATTTGGGATTTACTGAATGTATCCCACTGTGTTTGCCCATTTGTATAAGTGCAGTAAATGCATGAGCTATATATAATTTCATAGAATCCTCTTTTCAGCCAGCCAAGGCTAAAAGAAATTGAACCTTTTAGATTAAGAATGGTTCCATGTCTCCCAAAAAAATTATCTGTTTAATATGTCATTAACTATGTTATCAAAAGCGTGTTTACATGAATTTCCATATTCCTGGTCCTTGTTTTGTTAGGTATGTATTTGCATGTCTTGACTTGGTAAGCTTGCGATTTCTGCCTTGGCAGTTCACAAAAGCTTTTCCCTCTCCTAAATATTTATTTATTTATTTTTTAAATATCACTAAATAGAGATTAGAATACTACATGAGTTAGGCTATTTTGGCCTACATTTTGCAGTGAGGGCACAGTTTAACATCCTGTTATGTTTAATGAAAGAACGGGGTTTGATGAAGTGTGCATAAACTCTAGGAGCCAGAAAGGGATGTATATGATCTACAAGAAAAGGTTTGTGTAGAAATTAAGTTTTTATATTTTCATGGGTCATAGCGCTCGGTAATTAGATTTGTCTATCCCGAGGCTAAGGCATTTGTCTCTATATCAGTGACTAATTTCTACATCAATTAGCCTTTTTTTTTTTTGGAAGTGGTATATCTTATTGTGCGTATACGCTCCAAATCGGTCTTGGGTTTTCTATTCTTGTATTTAAACATATAAATCATCTCTTAAAGTCACCAAAACAACTACAACTTATTGTATTTCTCCTGTTGAGTATAATCCATACATTCAGGCCTTTTGCAGTAAACACTCTCTCTTTTCAGAGAAAATGCAGTGTTTACATTACAGCTTAGGGATACCTCCTGTGGCCATTCCTCAGTGTCTCCACCCTCTGCATAGAGATACTTAACTTTCCTCATAAAGAAGCATTGAATTAATACATTTCTATGAGGAGATGCTGATTGGCCACGGTTGTGTTTGGCTTGTCCTGGCCCCTGATCTGCCTCCTTGTCAAGGTCAGCCAAACTAATGCTTTCCTATGTGAAAGTACTGTGATTGGCTCAGAACACCACTTCTGATGTCTGCCAACAGGGCTGGTGCAAGGATTTTTGACTAAACAGGCGAAGATGCATTTTGCTGCACCCACCCACCAAATAAAAATGTATCTTCACCTGTGTGTCTTGTAACCCCCCTTTTGACTCTTATCCCCTTTAGTGTTTTATATCCCCTTTTTTAATGTCTTGCCCCCCTTTTCCTACTTGTGTGTCCCTCTTTGCGTTATTTTTATCCCTCGTGTGTCTTACAACCCCCGCCCCATTGTATATCTTTTACTTCCGTCTCTTTCTTCCTCCCCAGCCCTTTTGTGTGTATTTCATCCCCCTGCTCCTTTCGGTCTCTTTCTGTTTCCCCCAGCTCCTTTTGTGTGGCTTTTTCTCACCCCATCCCCTGTGTGTTTGTCCCCCCTCAACCCCTCTGTATGTCTGTGCCGCACCCAGCGCTCCTGTGCTTTTTTAATATCTCCCCTGTACCTTTTATTGTCCCCCTTGCCTCCTGTACCTTTTTATATTTACGCCCCCCTCCCCTCTTGTACCTCTTTTTTATTGTTATCCCCTATATCCTTTAATGTCCTGGTCTGACAGGAAGCAGCTTGTTGCATTTCCTGTCACATTCGGTTAGTAGCATTCCGCCTACTCGGCCATGCTACACACAGTGACCGGCAGGAGGGGAGCGATTTGAAGGGCGCTCTCCTCCTAACGGTCACCCGTAGATCGTGCACCCTAAGGTGGCAGTTTTGTGGTATCGCTGGCCCTGTCTGCCAAGCAGGCAGATCTGGGCAGAGCCAGTAGCAGCAGCAGACATGGAATAAAGGTATAATTTATTTATTGGGGGCAAGAGGATGGGGGACTAGATGGTAGTTTTAACACTATAGGGTCAGGAATACATGTTAATGTTCCTTTAATTGGTGTGTGTGTGTGTTTTGTTAGCCCCTCCGCACCCCTTTGGTAAGGAACAGTTCTGCACTGTAATCCCTACACTTGACCCACTGCGTTGGTTGTGGTGCAGGAGTACCCTGGCTCCATCCCATGTAAGTATTCAAACTGCTGGAGGTGCAGACCATATGGTCCCTGCCAGAGGGGGCCCTTTTAGTGGCTGCATGCTGCAGGCAAAAGGGAGGGAAACTGCCAACAATATGGATTACAGACCCCTACATAAAAGTGCCATTTAGAAAAGTTAGTGAGCTCGACCTGTGATTGTTTTAGAAGTTGGCAATGATTGTATGTAGCATGTAAGAATAACAGATCTTTTGATACTTTCATTCATTTTCACATTTATTTATTTTTTTTCTTCCAATTTTTAAATGAGAGAATATTACTTTTTGATATATATCCTCTTCTTTTGATCATTTTGATGGTATCTGGACTTGACAATGCCAGCTTTGTAAATGATGTAGTAATGTAGGTGGGGAAAAAGTCCAGCCTTTTAAACACCTCTGTTTTTGCTGTACCGAAGACATGCTTATTCTGCCATAATAGGATTTCACTTATTGGCTTTGTATTGGGCTGTCACATCCAGGTTGCCATAAGGCAGGCCTGTGTATTGTCTTGTCTTCTTGGGCTGTCAGATCCTGGGTGACAACATTCGTGAGCAAACTTCTCTAAAGCTGATGTTTCCCAAATTTGTGTACATTTATGGTCCTGAGCAAGATTTACTGAGTTGGTGCTTGAGTACATGTGTTTAAGTGGGCATAACCTAACCCATCAAGTCAGGGGCAGAGTCAAATTCATGGGATAAAGTACTGTATCACCGTATGGGGAGCTGTTATGACACTTGCCAGAACCCTTAAAGGGGCCCTATAATCACCAAAACAACTACAGCTTATTGTAGTTGTTCTGGTGTCTACATCCTGTCCCTGCAGGCTTTTTGTTGTAAACACTGCCTTTTTCTGAGAAAAAGCTGTATTCACATTACAACCTAGAAACACCTCCAGTGATCACTCCTCAGCCACTAGAGGTGCTTCCTGTGTCAGTTCTGCAGTGTTCTGTAATCATTGAATGCAAAGATTCTCTATGGCAAACCGGGATGGCCCTGCATGTGTGGGTATAATCACTACCGCACACCAGTTATGGTGCCACGAGTACCCTGGCTTTCTTTATGGGTGTGCGTGAAAGTTTGTTTGAAACTTAACTGGATCTCCTGGGCGCCTGCTGTCCCTTTCCTCTTCAGATATTGTAAAAGCAGGAACTTCTGATTTAGCATTGGTGATATCAATTACGCCCCTTCAGAAATGAATGGTTGAAACTGTGAATAAGCACTAAAAGTGACCTTGTCCTCTACACATTTTGGAGAGGACCAGTTAAGTTACATAATTTTAATTCCTCTCAAATCTTTGAATGCAGGAAATGTATGTGTTTTTATTTATTTATTGGGACTTCATCTATAGCTTCCGAGCACCAAAATAACTTCTAACATCTGTGGTTGTGTTACTTGAAGCATCCCATTAAATGATGAACTCAGCTGCCACAATTATAGTAAATTCGGCGATTAGACATTACAAATTAACACAAATTAGCAGATTCAACAGAACTAGATTGGAAGATTCCTGATTACACGGTAGGCACAGGATAATTGCAGCGTGTAGAGAGGTTGATCTTTAACTTGATACAATTTAATTGTTATTATTAACGTTTTATTTATATAGTAAAACCATTTTATTTTGTACTTGGACCACTAAAAAAAAAAATATTCTAAAACTCTATTTGACAAACTGATGGAAAACTATATACATAATGATCAGTGGGTGCAGCCTTCGGTGCCCATCCATATGTCTATACCCCACAATTCCCAGGATGCTCAAGTGTCATTTATGGTGAAGTACATTCTCTGCTCTAGAAAATATTGACATCTCACCGACCACTCTTCTGGATATCTGATATAACTTGTAAAATTGTTTTATTCTTTGATGCCTACACATTTTTCTTATATTTTTAGGTGAATACAAGAACCTGTGGAATATGAGTGATGACAAACCATTTGTATGCACTGCCCCTGGATGTGGCCAGGTAATATTAAACTTTGTGACACATCTCAAACCTGTATTATTATTGTATATTATAATGATAAACTCTACTAATCATTTGCTAGTAGAAATAAAGTGGGGTGGGAGGGGAGACATCACATCAGATTTTGCTCCTGTAAATGAGAAGTACAAGCAGTATAAGATTTACATTTCAAGACACCAGAGCAATATTGTATCTGTTTACTCCAATTTTGATTCTTGGCATATACGTGCTCATGAGTAACATGACACACTCTTTTCAAGTGACACCAAGCCATCTGCACATCTAGCCAAACTGGTAACAAATGAACAGCATAAAAGTTATTTCGGTATGAGTTATTTTGACAATCTTTTCCCACTGTGTGCTGTTGATATAAAAACTCTAAACTTTGAGGCCTAGAGGGGCTGCTGCACAGCCTCCCCATCTCCAGGTGACTTAGTGTCATTGCTATGCAACCAGTGGTGCATGCTGGGGAATTGTGAGATGATGCATGCATCAGTTAGTCTATCAAGCAGCCACTTGATGTGGCTCCATGTTTTAATGAAGAAGAATCCATTTGCAAGTAACTATTTTAATTTTACTAAGTAACTATTTTAATGCAATGCATTTTTGGCATCAGAAAATAGATTGTACTTGTTATCTGTACATTTTTTTTTTGCATGCCAGATTCAGTTGTAAAGGACACTCTGGCATAGAACCTTCCTTTTTATAGATATTGTATTATAATACTTATTTATGAATGTTATTAATAATAAAATAAATTTTGAGTCTTAATTTTATTGGCTGTAGATCTTTCTCTAGGGACTAGGATGTGGCTGAAAATTTCCAGCCAGTCTAGCTCTCACACATGTTCAGGCGCACACCCACAAGTGTGGGGGGTTTATTATAGCTATAGATATAATTAATAATGTGTAGGATGACCGGGTCAAGGATGCATCCTGTTCTGTAACCAGGGACAAATACACCAAAAAGTAATTTAGACAATAAATTCCTAAATAACCAAGATTTTTTGCTTATACACTTCACATTTTTGTTATGTTGCTGGGGTTTCTAATTTTATTTTTTTATTATTATTATTTATTTTTTTTTAATAGCGTTTTACCAATGAAGATCATCTGGCCGTACATAAGCATAAACATGAGATGACACTTAAGTTTGGACCAGCTCGAAATGACAGCGTTATTGTTGCAGGTACAGGAGAGCACCATGTGGATGAATAATTTTAAGCAAACCTGGCCGGATGAGAGATCTGCTCACAGATCTGTTTTGGGAAATGGTCTCTGCTCATCCTCTATTCTTGGATCCATTACTCTAATTTATGTCCAGAACATACTAGCAGAATGCTTGGTTGTATACGGAGAGGTATTAGGAGTAGAAAGAGGGAAGTGCTCATGCCATTGTACAGAACACTGGTGAGACCTCACATGGAGTATTGTACACAGTACTGGAGACCATATCTCAAGAAGAATATTGATACTGTAGAGAGTTCAGAGAAGGGCTACTAAACTGGATGGATTGCAGGGTAAAAATAACAAGGAAAGGTTAAAGGATCTTAACATGAAAGCTTGGAGGAAAGACGAGACAGTGGGGATATGATAGAAACATTTAAATACATAAAGGGAATCCACACAATAAATGAGTAGAGTATATTTAAAATGATAAAAACTACTACAGCACTAGAATATAGTCTTAAATTTGAGGGGCGAAGGTTTAAAAAGTATTACTTTACTGAGAATAACCCTACAGCTGAAGTGGTAGAAGTTAACACGGTGAAGGAGTTTAGGCAATAGTGGGATAGCTATATAAGGTTATGGAGTTTAGGAAATAGTGGGATAGCTATAAGGTTAATATATATTGTGTGTATGAATTTAGAAAACTGGGCCGACTATCTACAGTCACATTCTATCTAGATTATTTTAGATGGTAGACACACACAAAGGACATTATTCACTGCTGAATTGTATCGGATGGAAAACTGAACTCCAAAATTCATGCAAAAAGCTTTGATCCTATATTATAAACCTCTAAACAAGGATTTCCATCTGTGTCACCAAAGCCCAACAGCAGTAAAAGATTTGGTCAGTTCCCAATTGTTACCTTTTGGATACTGACAAAACCTGGGAAGTTGGTGTTCTTTGAGGATTGGTTTTGGAACCATAACTCTAATGTAATGACGTTTTTAACACTGGATCTAAATCTAGGAGAGAATATTCAGATACACAGAAACCTCCAATGACCAGAGGTTCTGTGGACAGAAATTTTTTGTGACACTGGTCAGCCATCAATTACGCAGTGTAGACCCCCAAACTCCAGGATTGTTTAAATTGTGTCAGTAGCCTTTTAAATGTTGAAATTAGAATGGCTTTCTGTAGTGAATGTTTGTTTTTTCCTGATTACATAAACTAAAACTATACATAGCCATCCATGCTACGATTCTGGAACTTGAGTAATTCTTCACACATTTCTTATTGTCATTGTTATGGCTTTTTGAATTGTACCAGTTCTTTAGTTTAAAGGGACACTAGAGTCACCTGAACAACTTTAGCTTAATGAAGCAGTTTTGGTGTATAGAACATGCCCCTGCAGCCTCACTGCTCAATCCTCTGCCATTTAGGAGTTAAATCCCTTTGTTTATGAACCCTAGTCACACCTCCCTGCATGTGACTTGCACAGCCTTCCATAAACACTTCCTGTAAAGAGAGCCCTATTTAGGCTTTCTTTATTGCAAGTTCTGTTTAATTAAGATTTTCTTATCCCCTGCTATGTTAATAGCTTGCTAGACCCTGCAAGAGCCTCCTGTATGTGATTAAAGTTCAATTTAGAGATTGAGATACAATTATTTAAGGTAAATTACATCTGTTTGAAAGTGAAACCAGTTTTTGTTTCATGCAGGCTCTGTCAATCATAGCCAGGGGAGGTGTGGCTAGGGCTGCATAAACAGAAACAAAGTGATTTAACTCCTAAATGACAGTGAATTGAGCAGTGAAATTGCAGGGGAATGATCTATACACTAAAACTGCTTTATTTAGCTAAAGTAATTTAGGTGACTATAGTGTTCCTTTAATATGTGGAATATATGTTTTTAACATATGATTACAATCTTATGTGTTCCCTACTCTCATACACGTAGACTTGCAAATTTGCTTATTTTTATTTATTTATATTTCTTTTACTCTTAAGATCAAACACCAACACCAACTCGATTTCTGAAAAACTGCGAAGAAGTCGGTCTATTTAACGAGCTTGCAAGTCCATTTGAAAATGACTTCAAGAAGGCCTCAGATGATGACATTAAGAAGGTATAATGGACAGTGGGATATATGGGATTCTTTTTTAATGCAATGTATTTATTTGAACACTCAAGGCATTTTTTTTTAAAGTGGGGACCTCTCTAGAGTTTTATTTGGTAAACCAGGAACTGTGAAGAATTGTAAAGGAAAAGCAAACTTAAAGGGGACCTGCCACTTCCCAGAATTACTACTACTATTCTGTTTACTGGGTTTTTTTTTTTTACAAGGTATGAAAATTTAAAAATTTAAAATGGATGTAAACATCCACAGCTCTTTATTTTGGAAAGCTACGTCTCCATCGTGGTTCCCTGTCAATCATTATCATAAACTCCTGTTTGCACCTGGGATTCAGAATAGAGAAAGCTTTTATATAGAAAAGAAGACAAACAAGTTTGCAATATTTGTCCTGATTCAACTAGATTGTGAGGTAATTGCTAAATCTTGTATATAAATATAAACGAAAACTTTGCATCTCATGATAAAATGATTGTTACAACAAGTGCTATTTTTTTTTATATATATTTTATAAATAGGAGACAGACGTAGGTTGTAGAGTTATTCCAATCTGGCTTTTATGACTTAAAAATTTAAATTGTCTTTTTTTAATTCTCAACAACTCCCCATTTTGTGTAGCAAACAAACCGTTCTAAAAAAAAAAAAGCTAATACAATGTCAATACCACATTTGTTTTTTTACTTTTACTCGTGTATGCCAAATTTGAAGTAATATTTTTATTGGAGCTTGAAGCGCACATGTAATCTTAAATTGGTGAGATATGGAGGAGTCTTCATAGCATGTATAATAGAAGATGCTGCCAGATTAAACTGTTTATTGGGAGCATTGATGTTCACACTAGAATACAGGGAATCTTATTTGGGGGTTTAAGAAGCTCTAATCTAAGCACTCTAGCTAGAGAAGCAGGTGGGGACCTTAATTTTTCCAACTGTAGGAGAGATGCATCAATAAATCAACATTCAGTTGCTAGTAATATATAAAACATTATTTTTTTTATTTTTTTTATCAGATGCCCTTGGATCTATCGCCTCTTGCAACACCTGTTATAAGAAATAAAATTGAAGAACCAGCAGTAGTTGAAACAACTCACCAAGACAGCCCATTACCTCATCCGGAGTCTACTACAAGTGATGAAAAGGCAAGAGTCATTTTTTTTTTTATTTTTTTTTTTTAAATCACATGTGTCATTAATAACGTGTGACTTGGCTATGTTGGCATTTAGCTACATGTAGCTCTTTAGCTGTTCACCTTAGTTCCCATAATTTAATGATTCAGGTTTAGCGCCATATTGCCAGTTGCTGGATTAGGACTTTGTATTTACTTGGAGATGGTATTTATTTTATGGCTGCTCTCCTGCATGACACCCTGACTCAGAGCTCTGTAAGGGTGTGTTGTTCTATCTCTTATTCTGGCATATCTTGAGAGAGCAAGGAGAGTTCAAGCTGTGTCTGCTACTGTAGCATGCAGAGACGTCTAGCTCCTTCTCTAAAGACCCAGGATAATGTAGCATCTTCCAGTGTCCTTTCCTCTATGCTCAGCCAACATGAGGAGAAATAATTAAATCTGTTTCGAGCATGTATAATTGGGTGGTGTGTGTACACTTCTACTCTGTGTCTATATTTTATACTTATATAAACCAGTTTCTATGAGTTTTTGGTTTACTAGTCTCATGCTTTAATTGATTATCACAATGCCATTAATGTAAATCTACAAAAGAGAACTGTATAGTGTTACGCCCTGAAATTGCTGCTGCAAATACACGCTCAAGAACGTCCTTGCGGAAGTGCATCTTGTAAGCAAACAGATGTTTACATGCTTGGAACCATAGGGGAGACAGACCATATGATAAATGAAAATAAACCCCACTTTATTTACTCGTGTTTAGAAATCCTAAAATGTGCACATTACATATAAGGGTTATGTAGGATGGCCATACTGCAGCAAGGCGTTCTTTCTTCCAGGTCATTGTACTTGATGCACACACTTTTGTCTGCATGCCATTGTGAGATTTTCTGAAAAGCACTTATGGAAATACACTCACACTGGAATTTCCTAGCATGTTTGTTTCACAGCATTTTAAGGGTGTCACTAACGGGGTTATTCACTAAAGGGACAATTCAAAGTGCATTTCGAATTTTAAGGGACAATTTCGTCACCAAAACAACTTTAGCGTAATGAAGCAGTTTTGGTGTATAGACCATGCCCCTGCAGTCTCACTGCTTAATTCTCTGCCATTTAGGTGTTCAATCACTTTGTTTATACAGCTCTAGGCACACCTCCCTGCATGTGACTTGCACAGACTTCTGAAACACTTCCTGTATTGCAAATTCTGTCTAATTTAGAATTTTTTTTCCTGCCCTGTTAATGGCTTGCCAAACCCTGCAGGAGCCTCCTGCATGTAATTAATGTTCAAATTAAAGAGCTGGAAATCAGGGCCGTCATATCCTATAGGCTAATTACGCGGTTGCCTTTTGGTGCTTCTTAAGGGGGGTGCTGGCAGCAGCTTTACTGCTGGTTTGGACCTTCCTACTATGTAGGACTAATTATGTGCTGCAGGCCGTTAGCTGAAGACTAGAGACAGGTGACATGTCCTGTGGCACGCGAAGATCTGAGACCCAGCCCTCCACATCTAATACGCCGGCAGTGCATGGACGCATCGTTCGATCGCTGCCACCCCTTTGCCCTGTTCTCTGAGTTAGGCAGCGGGATAGCGGACCTTAAGGCAGCCAGGCCCAATCCAGAAGCCTGGGACACACTAAGAGCCAATATGAAAAGAAGGCAAGAGGGGGCTTTTAGTGTTTGTTTTAAAGAATGTGTGTCCGCCTACTTCAATCATTATGTAACGATACCTTACCTTTACTCTTCGGACCCGCGCAGCACGGCGTTCACTTCACTCACTTCCGGTGAGCGGCACAGCCCTTCTGACGCCGGCCGCTCACAACACGCCCACATTTATAAAAAAAAAACTGCGCATGCGCACCGTAGTCGGCATCCCTGTCAGGTATCAGGCGCCCTAGTGTGGTTCTTGTTGGTTCCTCTAGTGCTTATTATTATCTTGAGTGTTTTTTCTGGTATTTTGACTATTGGCTTTCCGTTTTGACTATTCTGCTCTCTGGTTATCCGTATTTTGGCTTGGTTATATCATTTGTCCGTCTTCTGTACTCCCTTGACCTCTGGCTATCCCTTTGACTACTCTAAGACGTTAGTCCGGCCACTCTAAGGTCCGGTATACGTCTTCTTCTGGGTTATACTCTGTGTGAAGGGGTCACTATCGTGACACAGTATGGTTGTCTGCTTGAATCAGTGGGTCTGTCACTCTGCATGACTCTGCATGAATTTGTGTGTGCATTGGTCAATGATTCTGAGTGTGAGTGAATGAGTGTGTGTATCAGTGATGGCATTTGGGCAGAAAGGACTATTTTAATAAAAAATCCATACTCTTGATTGAACTCTATAGTGTTAGGAATATAAACCTGTACTCCGAATGCTTATAGTGTCTCTGTCCCTACATAGATTTTTAACCATAAAAATTATTAAAAAGAAAATAAAAAGTTTAATTTACGTTTTTTCAAGAAGCAAGACTACCCCTGCACTGCTTGCCTCTTTACCTCACACAGTGTCACTGATGGGGTAATGTTGATCCAATCCAATGTTCCTCATACAGAAGCATTGGGGACCTGATGTGCATAAGTGGAAAGTGCTATGCACTTCCAATGCTTCTCATAGTTAAACATGGCTATGTAGCGGAGGTGCCTCTAGTGGCTGTCAGTGTGACAGCTAATAGATGCTTGTTTAACCATCCTACAGGACCACTGTGGAGCGAATGGGGTGGCAACCTTTTTTTTTTTTTGCAGATGCAGGTTGTCGGTCACAGCTAGGGGAGGTGTGGCTAGGGCTGCATGGACAGAAATACAAGTGATTTAAACCCTTATTGGGAGTAAATTGAGCAATGAAACTTCAGAGAATTAATCTTTACACACAAATTGCTTCATAAAGCTAACATTTTGGTGAGTAAAGGTCCCTTTAAGGCTAAACTAGCCAAACGGAAAGAATAGGTTGCTTAGAAATTTTTTTCCAGTTTGGCTATTTTGACCTTTTTTAAATTTGAAATTCACATTGAATTCTCACTTTAGTAAATAACCCTGTGGATTTTTTTTTCTTTTTGTATACTTTTTCCTTGGTTGCATTGTGATAATATATAAAAAAGAGGAAACAAGGAATCTCATTTAAAGGGAGTATTGATTTACATGGAATGCTTAAAGGACCACTCTAGGCACCCAGACCACTTCAGCTTAATGAAGTGGTCTGGGTGCCAGGTCCAGCTAGGGTTAACCCATTTTTTAATAAACATAGTAGTTTCAGAGAAACTGCTATGTTTATTAATGGGTTAAGCCTTCCCCCAAAGCCTCTAGTGGCTGTCTCGTTGACAGCCACTAGAGGCGCTTGCGTGCTTCTCACTGTGATTTTCACAGTGAGAGCACGCCAGCGTCCATAGGAAAGCATTCTGAATGCTTTCCTATGCGACCGGCTGAATGCGCGCGCAGCTCTTGCCGCGCGTGCGCATTCAGCCGACGGGACGGGACGGGACGGAACGGAGGAGGAGAGGAGGAGAGAAGGAGGAGAGCTCTCCGCCCAGCGCTGGAAAAAGGTAAGTTTAAACCCCTTTCCCCCTTCCAGAGCCGGGCGGGAGTGGGACCCTGAAGGTGAGGGCACCCTCAGGGCACTATAGTGCCAGGAAAACGAGTATGTTTTCCTGGCACTATAGTGGTCCTTTAAGCTATGCATTTTACACATTACACCTTACATGCTAAATCGTGACTTGCACTTAACTTATAGAATACTTTAAATGTTTGCTCTATTGTGCACTTTAAATTTTGATATTTAGAGCATGTTAATCTTTGTGGACTTAGAACAGGTTTTTTTATTTTTTTATATATAATTATAATTTTTTTTATTATATTGCAAGCTATTGTATCACCATAAGTAATTTAGCAAAAAAAAAAATGTATTCCTCCATTTAAGCTTCTTCAAGATTAGATGATTTGCAAATGCTAATGTGAGTATTTCTCCCTTCCCCATTAGGAAGTAACATTGCCAACTGCACAGCCCACACCTACCATTGTTCGACCTGCTTCACTTCAGGTTCCAAATGTGCTGCTTACAAATTCTGATTCAAGTGTCATTATTCAACCGACTATACCTTCACCAACATCCAGTACTGTAATCACTCAAGCTCCATCTTCTAACAGACCTATAATGTAAGTAAACCATATTGTATTGAATTTTGAACTTCACACGTATAGTTCTGATTTTAAAATGTGTGTGTGTGTGTGTGTATATATATATATATATTTACATTTTTTACTTTTTTTTAAATTTTTTTTAAAATAAGCAATCTAACAAGAACAATATAGCAATGATTCATCCTCTGTGTTAAACATTCCATTGCCCAAATACAAAATAAATCAGTTTAGTGTGTATATATACTATAAATAAAAACCTGCATGTATTTAATTATGCAGATCTCTTGTCTGCAGCCTTTGCAAGTCCCACCTTCAGCCTGTGCCTGTCCAACTAGATATTTCCCAATGCAGCTCAATGAGAAGTCTTTACAAGGCAGGTGCTTTGGGCAATTGTACTGAGTTAAAGGGACAGTATAGTCACCAGAACAACTACAGCTTATTGTATTTTTTCTGGTGAGTGTAATCATTCCCTTTTCTGAGAAAATGAAGTGTTTTACATTACAGCCTAGGGATCACTCCACTGGCCACTCCTCAGATGGCTGCTAGAGGTGTTTCCTGGGGCAGTGCTGCACAATATCTCCACCCTCAGCGTGGAGACACTGAATTTTCCTGCTGGAAATGCTGATTGGCCAGGACTGTGTTTGACTTGTGCTGGCTCTGCCCCTGATCTGCCTCCTTGAAAGTCTCGGCCAATCCTATTGGAAAGTATTGTGACTGGCTCACATCACTTCTGATGCTAGGCAAATCAGAGGCAGAGCCAGCAGCTACAGACTTGAATACAAGTAAGATTTTACTATATTTAGGAGGACCAGGGTTGGGCGGGGGGAAGCTAGATGATGATTTTAACACACTAGGGTCAGGAATACATGTTTGTGTTCCTGACTCTATAGTGATACTTTAATTAGCAGGGCCAGTTCTATACACTGGGGGGTGTAACAAGGCTTTTTTATTTAAAGTGCTTTAGGGGTCTGGAGAACCCTTTTATGCTCTCTTATCAGGATAAGATAAAATTGATTGAAACTATAAGTTCAGAGATCATTGCCTACTGTTACAGAACTTTGAGACCAGGAATTTCCCTTCTTCTGCCAGTCTGTAAAGGAACAGGCTAAGCACCAGAGCCACTTGTCTTTTTTAAAAATGCTTGAGCGGTTTCTCCTGATACCTAGGGCCTGGCACCCGCTGCTGCTGTACAAAACCGTATGAAATTTCTGCATGATCATGGTCTCAGCAGAGGGTCTTTGAGTACTGGGAGAACCACCATTTTCAAATGAGTGGTTTATCACAACCTGACTGGCGTGGGATTGCAGGTAAGTAATGGATATATATATAACACTTGGAGTTAGCACAGGGGTTCCCAACCCAGTCCTCAAGTAACCCCTAAAAATCCAGGATTTAGGGATTACCCAGTTGTGTCTAAGGTGTTTTTTTAAAGAGAGGGGGAAAAAAAGACTTCAGACACAAAAGGGTAATCCCTAAATCTTGGCCTGGTAGGGGGTACTTGCGGACTATGTTGGGAACCACTGCACGGTTAGCAGATAAAAAAATTGCATCACCACCCATAGTATTCCTTTAAATAAAGCAAATCGTTTTAGTCACTTCCTTTTATTTTTTTTAATTTTATTTTTGCCGATGATTTTTTTCCCCCCTATTGCGACCAGATTATAACATCACTATATAAAAATAGATTATGCAATGTGTACTATAATTAAATGCATGTAAATATATAAAGATCTATATGTAAAATGTTTGAAAAATATGTATCTTGCAAACTAGTATCGTTTTGTTTTCATGCTTTTTGTATAGGACACGCACATAAGCACCAGTCTTAATAATATTGGTGTGCGCACATTTCGTGGTGTCTAATTCCAGCTACTCAGTCTTTAACGGGCTATAGTCTACATTGGTAAAGTGTTTGCTATGAAATTCTCATGGTGATTTGTGCATGTGCTGGTTGATACCTTTTTAAGCTTCATGCAATATTCACCAGAGTGCTGCGTAATATGCACTTGCTTTATAACAAGGCTTATATCATCTCCCTTTCTCCAGTTTCTTTGGATGTGCCAAGTCTGTGGTTTGTTTTTAAGGTTAGCATCCCTGCTTTTTTTTTTTTTTTTTCTATCCTCAGACCGGTTCCAGCTCCCTATCCTCTATTGTTACATCTACCTAATGGACAAACCATGCCTGTTGCTATTCCTGCCTCAATCACAAATTCCAATATACATATACCTGCTTCAGTCCCAGTAAGTTTGCATGTGTGTAAATTATTCATTCTCCTAGTAATGTTAATGTGTAGATAGACCTTCTGCAGTGTAAACTGTTTAATTCACCTTTCCTTGTGTTCATCATGTAACTAACATTTTCATTTATCAAAGTGTTTCTCCACGCACACATGGGAAATCATGAATATTTCTTTAGTTTATCAGTGGTATGTTTGTTACAAATTCAGTGAAATTATTTATTTTTTGCAAACTTCTTTTTAAAGAAGTTATAGAACATTCTGCAATATCTTACCCTACAGTTACCCTAAATATAGTAAAATCTTACTTTTGTTAAAGTCTGCAGCTGCTGGCTCTGCTCCTGATCTGCTTGCTTGGCTGACATCAGAAGTGGTGGTCTGAGCCAATCATAATGTTTTCCCATAGGATTGGCTAAGACTGTCAAGGAGGCAGATCAGAGGCCGAGTCAACACAGCCCTGGTCAATCTGAACTTTCCTTCTACAGATGCATTAATTCAATGCATTTCTATGAGGAGATGCTGACTCTCCATGCAGAGGGTGGAGACACTGAATGGCAGTGCTGCACGACGAGGAACAACCTTTTTCATAAAATGGTTTTGCTTATTTTTACACATCCATAAATAAAAAAAACTCAGAATCATATTTGAGTCCTGATTATTAAATACCTAGTATGTCTTGGGTCTAAAAACATTTTTGGGTAATTAACACTATATCTACACCAACCCCCATGCTAATGCTAGACCGATCCCTTACCCAATGTGAACACCAGCTCTAAATGTATACCTTAATCTTACCCTAAACCTTTAACCCCACACCAGGGGTAGACGACATTTTAGCAGCACTATGTCAAAATAAGATTGTGATGTCTCGTAGCGTGCCAGTCCTATTTTTTTAAATTAAGGGTGTGTATGTTGCCATATTCTGCCTGTTATTCATACTGCAGTTGCTTTGAATCGTTGTATTTGTGTGTATGTGAGCTATTATAGTGTATATGTTAATGAGTAGTTTGTGGTGTCGTGTACCTGTGTATGGTGACTGCCAGGGCCGGACTGGCCCACCGGGATACCGGGAAATTTCCCGGTGGGCCGCGGCACCTGGGGGCTGTGCTGACACATGGGTGCCACCGGGTGGCCGGTCCGGTGGCACTCTGAGAGGGGGCCGGCCGCGTTCCAGACTGGAGCCGCCGGGCCGGGTGGCAGCTTGGCCGGTCCGGCGGCACTCCAGTCACTGCTGGCTGATGGAGGAGGAGCCTGTCTACCATGCTCCCTCGCGGTGGAAGTCTGGAACGCGGCCGGCCCCCTTGCCTTCTTTAAGGTAAAATGGGGGGGTGGGAGGGAAAAGGGAGAGACACAGGGAAAGGGGGAGGGAGAAGGAGAGACACAGGAAAAGGGGGGAGGGAGGGAGGAGGAGACACAGGAAAGGGGAGAGAGGAGATGGGGAGAGACACAGGAAGGGGAGGAGTGGGAAGGGAGAGACACAGGAAAGGGGGGAGGGAGTGAGAGGAGAGACACAGGAAAGGGGTGGGAGGAGAAGGAGAGACACAGGAAAGGGGGGAGTGGGGAGGAGAAGGAGAGACACAGGGAAAGGGGGGGAGGAGGGGAGAGACACAGGGAAAGGGGGAGAGGGGAGAGAGGGAGGGAGAAGGGAGAGACACAGGGAAAGGGGAGGGAGAGATGGGAGGGGGGAGAAGGGAGAGACACAGGGAAAGGGGAGGAGAGAGGGAGGGGAGGAGACACAGGGAAAGGAGGGAGGGATGGGAGGGGAGAGATGGGAGAGACACAGGAAAGGGGGGAGGGAGGGAGGGAGGGAGAGAGACAGAGGGAAAAGGGAGGAGGAGAGAGATGGGAGAGACACAGGAAGGGGGGGAGGATGGCTGAGGGAGAGAGACACAGGGAAAGGGGGAGGAAGGGAGAGGGAGAGACAGGAAAGGGGGGGAGAGATGGGTTGGAAGGAGAGAGATGGGGAGAGGGGGAGAGAGATGGGTTGGAGGGAGAGAGATGGGGAGAGGGGAGAGACACAGGGAAAGGGGGGAGAGATGGGTTGGAGGGAGAGAGATGGGGGGAGGGAGAGAGATGGGGAGGAGGGGGAGACACAGGGAAAGGGGGGAGGAAGAGAGATGGGGAGGAGGGAGAGACACAGGGAAAGGGGGTGAAAGAGGCAGAGGGGGAAGAGAGAGACAAAGAGGGAGAAATGAGAGAGACACACAAGGGGAGGGGAAGAAAGAGGCAGAGGGGGAAGAGAGAGACTGGGAAGGAGAGGGGAGACATTGACACAGAGGAGCAGTGAGGGGGAGAAAGAGAGGACCCGGGGCAACGTTCCGGCTCTCACGAGGGTGAACTCTAGCCCTGGTGCTAGAGTTCACTCTCACCACTTCCTGGTGGTCGCAGTAGTAGGAGTGAACTCTAGCCCCATACACACACTGCCCACACGCACACACACCATACACATTCACACACTGCCCCCACACAAACACCATACACATTCACACACTGCCCCCACACACACCATACACATTCACACACTGTCCCCACACACACACACACACCATACACATTCACACACTGTCCCCACACACACACACCATACACATTCACACACTCCCCCCCCCACACACACACACCATACACATTCACACACTGTCCCCCACACCCACACACTGAACCTTTCACACACATTGCACCACTGCTCCTATACCCTACTACAGCCCCATATCCCAGCAGACTCCAGGTAAGTTGTCAAACTGTTCTTAAACGGTTTGACTACTTACTCTGGGAGGGGGTGCTGACACTCCTGGCACCATAACCACTACACAGAGGAGTAGTGGTTATTGTGCATGGAATATTTCTTTAAATAATCTACAAGTGTCCCTCCCAGGCTCAGGTTCTGGATCCGTCACTGATATATGACATGTATATTAATGTGTGTATATTAATTATATTTACACATATTAATGTACATTTATATATTCATAATACACAGAGAAATTTCATTAATATGTACCATATGTAATGAGCAGATATTGGCCCAATCTTGTTGCTAGGTGCATACTCCAGCACAATAACATATTTAAAGTGAAGAGCACACCCACAGGACTTCAAAATAAACATTTTTTACAGTTGTGCCCTAAATACATTCACCATTTCAGTCCCATTAACAAGCTTTCCTTAATATGTCAAGGTAGTTGGACTGAAACATTGATTACATGTAAAGGCACATCTGCTTAAAATAAATCTGCACTTTTGTTTATTTTGAAGCCTATGAGTGCGCTTTTTACATTGAAGTACTTTTTAATTTTAAGTTATCTGTTTTAACTCTGTATCTGCACACTATGCTGGCGCGACGCATTATGGGGCTGGTAAATATTTTTTTTCCAGGGCTGCTTTTAATTCCCAGTCCGGCCCTGGTGACTGCTTGCAGAATTGTGTGTGGATGGATATGTCACATTGTGTGTTTGGTGGGGTGTGTATGTGTGGGGCTGTTTGCAGTATTGCATGTGAGAGACTGCATGCGGTGTTGTGTGCATGTATGTGGATTGTTAGTGGTGTTGTGTTTGTTTGTGGGCTGTTTGTATTATTTGTATGAGGTGAGGGTTATTATGCATTTCTGTGTATATCTAGCAGTATGGTTGGCTTCTCTGGGGACCAGGCTGGCCGGGCAAGTGCTGCAATAGCTGTTGTGGGCTGCTCTACCCCAGTGCGGTTTCCCATTCACAAGTGCTGGAATGAAGTGATCTGAGATCACTTATCCTACGTGCTGCAATGCATAAATTGAGGATTGTCCATCACCTTTTCGTATTAGCAGATATCTGAAGTTTAACTAGGACTCCTGATAAGCCAGAGCATGTTTGTCTCTAGCAGCCTTGAGTGCTGTGCATGGCACACGTGCCATAGATTGCCTACCCCTGCCTTACACTATCCTTAAACCTAAAACTGCATTAACCCTTACCTTGCCAAAACCCCACCATTATCCCTAAGAAAACCCTCTGGTATCTGAAGATTGGTTGCCTATTAACAGTAGCTAGTGGTCTGTGAGCGGCATCTACTGGCTGTGTTCATAATTATATTATATTTGATTATGAATGGAGCGATTGGTGCTGGCAAAGCCCAGCCTTGATCACAATCTGCTTGGGACAGGCAGGGTGACGTTGGGGGACTCCACTTGCAAGCCTGCAGCCCAGATACAATAGCGTTAACCAGCGCTGCATATAGCCTTTTTCCAGTGCTGCAAAGAGCTCACTGGTCAGTCTGGGACCACTATAAATGGCAGAGAGGAGCCCCAAGTATCAATTGAAACCTTGGTTTCCTGGTGTGAGCAGGCATTTAACCTTGCACACACCAAAACTGCCAGTTGTTACATACCCTCTTAAAGGCATTAAAGCCCACTCTGTGTAGAATGGCATGAGTCCTAATTTCAGGAAGGGATTAATGCTGACCCCAACAGACTAGCATATTTGTCTTTTCAAGACCTGTATTTTATCATCTGCCATGTAGACTTTACCTCCACAGACAAAGGGCCTTCTAGCCCCCGTGTGCGTGCGTATGTTATACTTTGTTAAAAGGATTCTCCAGATGTTTTAATACTTCCATGCTTTGCTGGCCTTCTAGAGCATGATCATGCTTTTAGTCTAAACAGTTGGTGCTTTTTTCTTTGGCCAGCCCTCCTCTAGTATACTGTCTGTAGAACTGCTGTACTACCACCCACTTTTAATGTGCAAGCTATACTTGTTATACGTGTGAAAAATAATATCCAGGTATACATACTATATCATGGGGAATTAGATCTTTTTGTTGGTAATAAATATGTGTCTTAATATTTTTAAATGATGTATTGTGTCTTCTACTTATTTATACATTTATTTTGAGACTATGTTCTTTTCCTTTTTAGCTTGTCAGACCTGTCACCGTGGTGCCTACTATACCAGGAATCCCAGGGCCTTCCTCCCCACCACCTGTCCAGTCAGAGGCAAAACTGGTAATTACTCTTAAACCGAGTTATCACATAATTTGGGGTTTATCCGTTCTTTTTGTAAATCTGGTTTTAAACTATATTCTGCTACTTTTTGGTGAGGATATTTGTAATTTTATTCATTTACAACATTCTATGGAAATTTCACCTGGAAATTTTAATCTGAATACACTTCTGAGTTGCATATTGAACTCTATGCAGATTTAATCAAAAGTGTGTGTCTATATTTTTTTTCCTTATCTGTGCTTGACTGGTAATATCCTAGGCCACCACTAGAGGCAGTTTAGTGTTGCCTTTTTAACAAATGGCTCACGGCATAAGTGCCATAGGTCCTCATTGAACAACTGTAGGTGAATTTGTCTTTCGTTTATCTGCATAATTTCTATATTGTTCTCGTTGCATACTTTCATTTAAAATCTGTTAAGTCGAATGCCCCCATTATACTTCACTAATGATGTGGATACTATGGCTGTCTGAACCGACACTGACAAGGTTATGAATTCACTTTTTTCTTAAGTTAACTGTTTTTTAAAGGACCTTCTACTGTGTAGATGACTCTCGTCCTTGGATGAGGAAGTTGACCTGTTCATGTTGGTATTGCCATTGGTATTCTCCATGAATTGCTTTGATCCTGCTTTGGCTAGATTTAATCTCTTTACAATCCCCCTGTCCTGCCTCTGGTTTATGCTTCTCATGGTCCCCAGAAGATCTATTTGTGCTTGTGGCTGTGCTAGGTCCTCTTTCATGTGCATGAGTGCTTCTTTAACTCTCTGTGCATGCATTTTCCTGACTGGCAGAATAGAGGGTTGCCTGTGATGGCTTGGGTTCACATATGCATTAAGAGGGCACACCATTTGTGCCTTGGGTGCATCACCTTCACTCACTCTGCTTTGGTCATTCCCTCTGCAGCCAAGAGTTGTGAGGGACACATGTCGAGGTATATGTCACCACTCTTTTATGGTGAATTGAGTGTGGCTTGGACAGAAGGTGAATGGAATCCCTCTATGTATTTTAACTGCAACTGTCTTTGTACATGACTTCTAATGTTCTGAAAGTTGTGTAATTAAAGGTCCTTAAATGACTTCCACCTCTGTTTTAAACTGTACAGATATTTTAACCTTTAATGCTTTAGTATATTTATGAAAACATGTTTATTTTAATTAGGGTGATTAAAAACTGCAACTGTATTCATTTTAGATTAGTTTTACAGAATTTTAACATAACCTATAAAATTTATAAATAATTATTTGTAGCAAACATGGCATATTACGGGTGCTTGTGTATTCATGCACGGAACTCCACTTTATATCAGAGTGCTCTACTTAAACTTACTAAAAGACCTTAAGGGGGGGAACCCAATCAAGAGAACGTTAAATGGAGTTCCTCCCTGTGGGATTCACAATGTACAGACGTTTGTGACAAACTGTGAATTATCTTTCGACACAGTGTGCAGCCAGTAGGTTTACTGCAGGAGGCTTCTATTGAGAGCTGACAGAGGGCAACTTGGCAACTGTTCAGAAAGCTCCATTAACTTGGTTAAGCCCGGCATGGAACCTTGTGTTCAGCAGAATTCTTCTGACCTGCCTCTCTGCATGCCAAACTCATCAGCAAACACCTAATGAGCGCCCCTCCAAACAAACCCTTTCCCAACCTCCTTCATTTTCATATGTTCTCTGGGGTAGGAGAGACATGACTTCATGAGGACTGATGATGCTGCAAAGACCACAATAATGATAATTAACTTGCTGAATTTAGAAGATTATGCTGTTAATTAGTTGCAAAATAAAGATAAGTAAAAGAGCAGCAGATGGTAGGATAAAACCCAAGAGAGGGAGGGTTATTACTCTGATGAGCTTTTGTGGCAGATATGAAATATGGATCTGACTTTTTCATAAGTTGTTCCTGGAGAATATTACAGTTTTTCTGTAATCCGATGATGAAACGACCTATTCCCACCAAATTTTGACAGATGCGATAGGTTTTTGTTTTTCAAGGGTACAAAATACAAAACATGCTAAAATCTCTGTACACAAGCTTAATGACTAGAATGTAGGAAGACTGTATCTTTTTAACCACAGCAAATCATTGGCTGCTAACCTTGACATTCCCGATGTCTATGAACACAATTCCCATAAAGCTCTGCAAGCATCATGGGAAATGTTGACAAACGTCAACATGGTTTGTGGGCTATGTAAAAGCTTTGACCTGAATCTTACAGCTAAAAACATAGAATAAAGCAAAATGTATTAATGAAACTATTTCTGTTAAGGATGTGATAAATATTGTCGCTTTTTTGCAGCTAAATCAGTGGTTAATTTACTAAAGCTTCAAACTGAATTTTAATTGAATCCTATATTCTCAAAATTGAGGCTAAATAACTGCTGGGTAGCACCACGTAGAAAGAAAAAGCAGAAAATAGTAGTAAACTTTATTAGGATTCACTAATAACCACAAGGGGCAGGATTTAATCCTTCCTCTACATTTGTCCCACTTCCCATAGATGAAGGTGTTAATAAAATGGGGGCTAGTTCCTGGAGCCCTTATGTCATCCCAAGTGGTGAGTTTGCTGCATTCCACCCAGTTGACATGTGGAAGGGCAGTAAAAAAAGAAATAGGTAGCTGTCCCCAGAATTGCCTTTTAACTAGGGAGAGTATGCACAGTGTACAGGTAAATCTATATAGTGGGTTATTCACACCAAGCATTTGGATTTAGTTGCCATCCTGCTCCTTTTCCCTTTACTGACCATAAACAGATGTATCTTGAGACCCTACCTAAATGTTACTGACTCTTGGCTGGAGCACTGAACATTCAAGTCTGTTTCACATCCTCTTTCCTTGATACATTATTATTCTTATTGCCATTTATATGGCGCCAACATACTCCTCAGCACTTTACAATATTCTAAAGGGAGAAATTTGACAGTTACAGTTTGTTACAGGGACAGTAGGTTGATGAGGACTCTGCTCAAAAGAGCTTACAATCTAGAGAGGTAAGAGAATAGGTTGGTGCCTTAGAATCCCTTCTAATTATTAAAGGAACACAATACTGTTTGGAATATAAACAAAATGCTTCGGTGTTCTCATCTCTTATTAGATTCAGTGCCCTCCTAAATTTAAACTAAAACTGGGATAAAAGATATTACTTGGCCTTTTTCCCGCACCAAGATTCAGTCCTTCCAGTCACTTGATGTACCATCTACGTGTCCAATCCAGGAACAATGGTGACAAAAATCCAATGCACAGCCAATTAAATATTTGGCAATTGACATCAAATAAAGTTTATGTTCATGTTAAAGGCTTAAAGCACCATATCCACTGTAGTGCACTATAATTGTTGGGGTACCAGAAGTTACAATTTTAAGTAGGCAAACTATTTTAGAATAGTTTGACTTCTTATCTGGGGTCTGCCGGGCACCACTCTCCACCCCCTGCAGCTGCCTGTTAAAAGCTTCAATTACTTCTCCTGAGTTAAGCTCTGCAGTTCTGGTTTAGCAGATTGCTCACAGCCAATAAGACTACATACAATTTGGCAGGGGAAGGGCACTGTGGGCACCATAACTGCTGCAGCAGGGTGTTTCTTTTAAAGAGTAATTTTAATGAATAGAACCATGTATGCTTATGGTTTAAGGAGGTCTCCTTGCACAATGATCATAATTAGAGACTTGCAAAATCACCCAATCTCATATCTTTTGCCTATTTTTTATTTAGTACTCAAATTGTACACATCATGTAATCCCCGTTCTCCTCACTCTGACTCTCCGAGCTCCAACGCTGCTGCAGCCCCATTTACAAATCGCCCTCAAAGGATGATAGGCTGAGGTATATTCTGCTGGAAATTTAAAGTCTAACTATACCCATTGAGCTGTAACACCTTTTGGGGATTATTCCATGATCTGGAAATTGTGGTAACTGTACATATAACCGATTTGGGAACAACTTTTAATGTATTCCACGAAGGGGCTTGAAAGTTTGTTTGTTTTTGTTTGTTTTTTTGTTTTTTGTTTGTTTTTTTGTGTGTTTTTTTTCTAATGTTAATTTGCACAAACAAATGTCATATACTAATTATATGTATAATTCATAAAACAAGAGGGAAGGAATATCCAGTTTAAAATGTCCCTATCTGGCATGGAGAGAGGAACACATTACAGCACAAAATGGAAATCCCCATTGGAAGCATAATGTTCCATTAGGGGGCAAGATCATAATATCTTGAGTAACCCCACTATGCTATGGCATGTTTAAGACTATTTAGTAAATCAGCAGTGTCTAAAAGGCCGTACGGTATATGCTGTATGTTTTGGGCACGAGGAGATAATGAGTTATTATGAATGCCGTTTCCTTGTGTATGCTTGCTGTTATTACACCACTATCATTATTCAAGATAATTATAGTTCAATGTTTTGTATTGCCCTGTGTTTACAAAATGAAGATGTTTCCAAGCAACCTTTGTAATGAAATTTACTGGTGTGAAAACAAGTACACTGCCTGACATTGTCACCACCCCAACTATATCTAAATCGTGTGAATTTAAAACCCAAACCGGATTATTTACTAAACAAAGAATTACAGTAAATTGAATGCAATCTTGCTTAAATAGCCAATCTGTGACCTTAGCAGTGATAGACAACCTTCGGCACTCCAGATGTTGTGGACTACATCCCCGTATAATGCTCTTACACCCATAATGCTGGCAAAGCATCATGGGAGGTGTAGTCCAAAACATCTGCAGTGCCAAATGTTGCCTATGCCTGGACTATAGCAAAACTGAAGGGTTGTTTGTTTTTTGTTTTTGTTTTTTGTCTAGGTTTTGTCTTTCAGGGTTTAAATTTACCATAATTTGGATTTCAGTTTAAAAAATAAAATCACAATTGATAACAAAGTATTTAACCAGGAAAGGTATGTTCAGATTACTCTGGTTTCCAAGTTCTTTCTGGGGATATTATTTTTGCTCAACATCCATGGGATGTTATTTAAAGCTTAGTCAAAATGGTAAAACCGATCACTGCAAATACAGCCTACAAAATGTATAAACAAATTTTTTTTGCAGTACGATATGTCTTAACCACAAACAAAATATTGTTTCTGATTGAATAACGTGCACTCCTTTCATAATCATCATCCCTCTGCAGCACCTTCTACTATCTTTACTTACCACCAAATTATCCATCTAGTTCCCTATGTATCTACAGTGTGTACATCTTAATGCATTTCCCTTGAGATCCTTAAAGTAGTTCTATTGTTACTGAACAAAACAAAATCTGGGCTGGCTAATTTAATATTCGATTGTACATGAAACTTCTTGGTCACCTTAATTGGCATTGTATGAAGACTAGGGGTGGTGGGGGGGGGGATATATGAACTGAAACCTTTCTGTTTTGCAAGTACAAAACACAACACAAGCTTAATGACCATTTAAAAGATTAATGTGCCTTCCTAACTTGGGAAAACCTGCATGTCAGCTAATGGAAATAATGAGAGGAAGGTCACAGTTAGATACTTAACCCCATATCCTATATCTCATGTATGGCTTTACTTTTTAATGGTGATCTCAAGGTTTAATCTGCAGATTTAATAAAAAAGCAAAATCTCTAGCCTGTTTTTGGCCTTGCCTTAAACCTTGACACATGCACAGTTAGGAGAATGTACCCATTATATCCCTGCAAATATTTACTGTTTAAGCAGCATGATTCCATTCTGTTTTGACCATTTAATTTACCAATATTTTCTGTATGAAATGCCTTTGTTTTAATGATGCCAACAAATTAATGGATTCATGTTGTCATATCCTTAAAACAATGAATAGGTGCTCACTAAAATAACAATGTGGAAGGCAGCAGTGAACCAGTAAGTATTCACAACCCTTGCTAAGATACAAAAATGTAAAAGATACATTAATGTCGTCATATAGGCATGACGACATTAATGTGGAAGAAAAAGGCTTGGTAAACAGTGCCAAAGCGGAAAGGTGTACAAGACAAATCAGTACATATGCTCCATGTGATCCAATTGTGTCTTTTATTGGGTTTTAAAAGATGTTTGTTTGTTTTTTTGACATATTGCACTATTATCTTTTCCTATCTAATTTTTGTTTTGAGGTCATCATATACCCATCCATCATTGGACCACATATAGTATATGTAGATGTACTGATTTGTCTTGTACACCTTTCCTCTTTGGCGCGGTTTATCAAACCGTTTTCTTCCACATTAATGTTGTCATGCCTATAACCACTTATGTTCTTTTAAACAAGCATAAAATAAGATCTATACATTGTTCTAGCAGATTTTTGTAAATGTATAGATTGGGAGAAAAACCTATTTAAAAATAGGTTTTGTCCCCTGCCTTGCAAACTAACACCCACAATACCTTCAACATAAAGCACCTAGGAAAAACAAAGAGACAAAAGTACGAAAAGCAAAGTACTACAGCTAGCACAGTTACCTTCTTCCCCTCAAACCAATACCTCTGAACTGTTACGAACACTCATTTGTATATACTCACCGGTGTGAAAATTGTATGATATGCAATGTATACGAAACTGCAATGTAGACAAAACTTTGATATAAATAAAGAATTTATATTAAAAAAAGAAATAGGTTTGGTTTCTTTGGGGTTTGTATTTATTTTTCTCCCACCTGTCAGTCAGTCATTCGTCCAAAGAATTGACTGACCAGGGAGAGCAGAAGAGACACCAGATGTAGTAATCTCAGTGTCCCAATGCTGAAGCAATTGATTGGCTAGCTAGGAGATCCTCAGTAATGATATCAGGAGGTGGAGCTTGGATTAGACTTCTTTGTCAGTGTAGAAGGAGAGCAGCATTCTAAACATAATCTTGATACAAATTCAAATTGCCATTGTGCTGCACACATACAGAAATCCTCCAATAGTAGACGTTTAATGAACAAAAATACACAGCTTACAATGTTTGATGCTTTGCTCATTTAATGGCGTTTCTTGCAGATGCTTGGTTTAGTAGTCTCCCTGCAGCTACAGGCAGACCCTCCCTAAGCAGGAAGAGCCACTCCAATCATAATTTTCTGTGTCTAGTAAACTACTGTTAAAACAGATGGTGGCCCTCTTGGATAAAATTAGTATCAGGCAGCCAGAACGGAGCATTCAAACTTCCAGATTGACCGCTCTGAGGCACTGGCCTATGGCTGCAGTGATTTTTCTTTTATAAATTGCTGCAGTTCTAAGCCACCTTTTTAGAGAGTTGGCACAAGGTACTCTCTCAAAAGTTGTTTTTGCAGATGGTGTGACCTCTTTAAAGATTGTTTTTAAGAAAAATATATTGTATTTTCTCGTGTTGATCATTCTGTTTTTTTGTTGATTTTTTTTTTTTTTTTTTAGAGACTTAAAGCTGCTTTGACCCAGCAACACCCTCCGGTAACAAATGGCGACACAGGCAAGGGACAGGCCAGTGCAACTGTAAGATCTCAGCCAGAGGAAACTCATCCACAGTCATTACAGCAGCCTGCTACATCTACCACTGAAACACCGGTAGGAATCATAAAGGAGAGACCACAGTGGCGTTATAAAGGTGCACTCACTCTTGCACAAAGAATGTATCAAAATGAATTGTTTGTACTCTGTGTATGCAGTAGACCATCTTAAAGCATCTTCTATTCGAACCCCAACATCAGTCCAGAATTCTAGTGAACCTGCAACAGCAAATCTAGATTCAACATCGGGACAAAAAAATAAAAAAATCTTGACGAAGTTTGGGATGCTTTTTGCTCTAAAACATACATTGAATTAATACGCTACACACAATATTTAAAGTACATGTTCTGTTTGTGCTTACTATGTATATCTTTAAAAAAAAAAAACCTGACTAGTTCTGCAACTTTAACTTTGCATTTTGACCACTAATTTTGTTTATGGGCAAGAATGAATGCACCTTTTTATTTTAATTTCAGAATTGTGTATGTACCTTGTGTTAGATGAAGTTTGACAAATGGAAGGATACGCAATTTTAGTACAGAGATTTTTATTTATATATATTTTTTTTTTTTCTGGACTAAATTCCATGGCAATTGCTGGACACCCCACATTTTAATATAAAATGATACTAATATGAATTCTGTAAAATACTTCCAGTAGATACACTTTTCAGTGTAAGAAGGGCCTCTGTTGGCTAAAGTAAAGCTCTGATTACTATATAAGTACTGGATGCCAATGAATTGATCAATAGTAGTTACAGGACTCCGTGGAGATGGAACTTGAATAAGAAAACGTACTTATCAAGATATATTGAATAAATAATAGAATATAAATGTATCAGCTAATCATACCATTACCTCCCATATACAGGGGTAGGGAAAATACAAAATAGTAGTCCTGTAACTACTATTGATCAATTCAATAGGCATCCAGTACTTGTTTGTTTTGTAACCGTAGGTGGCGGCTATTTCTACAGTGACACAGTGCTTATGGTAGTCACATTTGGTCTCCTTATCCAACTTTAGAGGTTATTCATCATTGTTTATGGTGTCCACCTATCAAGTTGTGTCTGATTTTCTGATTACTATGTCTGTTACAAACGAAAGATTAATGGGGGGGGGGGGGGGGGAGGGGGGAGACGTTGGGTCAGAAAAAACAAATAAACAAAACAAAACCAAGGAACACCTTAAACTTGATGTATGGTCCTAGTACTTTCAGTAGGGTAACAGTGAAGTCCAACACCTCACTTGACTTCTTTAAACTCCCTAAATATTGTTCTCTTTGGATATATTGTAAAGGGTTCTAGGAGTAGAAATGAACAGGCAGCAATGATTATATATTTTTGTGTCTGCTAATACACTGATGTATCTATAGATTGACAAATTAAACCAAGTATCCATCATATTGCATGGTAGAGACTCTTTTTAAACCTATAAGTATTCATAATATGTTGAATGATCGCATTCTGGTCGTTAATCCTGTTTTAGAATGTGAACAAATGGCACAGGGCTGGTGTGGACAAAATTCCACTCTTGATCAGCCTTGAATTGTGGTCCATGCCACCACTACGAGTTGTTGGCTATCACTTGTATTCCAGATGAACACCCACAGATATCCTACATTTGTCATTACAATTGTTCAACAGCATAAATTTAATTTAATATTGTTGCACAATTATTTGTCTAACTCAATCTGCACTTGCCGTTTGTGATCTATAATTTTCCTTCTCACAATATCTAGAAATTTGACAAACTTTTGTCTTAGAGATATGTATGTAAATTTTACACCAGAATACTATTAACATAATTATATTGCTATATCCATGGTGCATCTACAAGTCACTTTTGTTTTATCCTTGTATCACATTGCTTTTTATTTATCATAAAGGTCTTTGTTTTATTAATTTTTTTTTTTTAACATTCTTCAGGTCTATGATTAGCCTAATAGAGTGAGCATTATTAAAGCATACATTTTATTTTATTAATAATAATAATATATTGTTAAAGGGACTCTCGAGTGCCAGGAAAACAATCCTTTTTCCTGGCACTGCAGTTCCCCTCTCCCTCCCACCACCCATCCCCGGTTGCTGAAGGGGTGAAAACCCCTTCAGTGACTTACGTGAGACCCCCGCCGATGTCCCTTGGCGGTGGTTTTGGGTTGCCGCCGCTCGTCCCCTTCATTACGTCAGCCGGCGGAGGTGACTGATCCCGCCCGCCAGCTGAGGAGACCTAATGCGCATGCGTGGCAATGCTGCGCATGCGCATTAGAGCTCTCCATAGGAAAGCATTGAAAAGCATTTGGCGAATTGAGCGACGCTGGAGGTCCTCACACAGCGTGAGGACGTCCAGCGACGCTCTAGCACAGAAAACCTGGGCTATGAAGCAGGAAGTGCCCTATTGTGGCTGTCTAGTAGACAGCCACTAGGGGAGGACTTAACCCTGCAAGGTAATTATTGCAGTTTATGAAAACTGCAATAATTACAGTTGCAGGGTTAAGGGTAGTGGGAGTTGGCACCCAGATCACTTCAATGGGCAGAAGTGGTCTGGGTGCCTGGAGTGTCCCTTTAAAATAACATATAAGGGTGTCCTGGAGACTGGCTGGGTTTTTTATTATAAAAATTCAAGGTGATTTTAAAATTTTAGGCTAAAGTAATGGAGCTGGACGCATAGCTAACTTTTTTCCAATTCGGCTATTTTGGCCTTAGATTAGAAATTCTCTTCAAATTCTCACTTTAGTGTATAACCATGCCAATCTTCAGAACACCCTTCTGGTCTTGATTTCATGTAATGTGTCAGCCTTTACTACTTTCTGGAAGGCTTTTCCAGTTATCCACTACCTCTTTTACTCTTTCTGTCCTGAATGTGTATAAACTGATTTTTGAATGTTGGCTTGTAACACTCAAATTGGAAGAAGGCAATAATCTTAACCTTTTTATTTGAGGCAATCAATAATCAATTTAAATAAATTGCCATGACATATTAAAAGTAATCATTTTACAGTTAATGTAGTATAGTCAGTTTTGCTATTCACCTGGTGCACTGTTTTTGCAGACTGTAACTTGTAAACTGGTCTTCAACCGTGAGGCACCAACTGTCTCACCCTTGTTTGTTGCAGGCTTCACCAACTCCCCCCACACCACAACCTCAAAGCACAGGGGGGCGCCGGAGGAAAGCAGCAAGCGATGACCCAGATGAAAAGAGGAGAAAGTTTTTAGAACGTAACCGTGCAGCTGCCTCAAGATGCAGACAAAAGAGGAAGGTTTGGGTTCAGTCATTAGAGAAGAAAGCAGAGGATCTGAGTTCATTTAATGTGCAACTACAGGTAGTTTATGTTTTGATTAAAATAAAAAAAATAAACAATTTAAAGCACTAATATCAATTATTCTATTGCAATTTCACCAGTAGATCATATATTCTATATTTTGTAGTCCTCATTTACATTCTTTAACCTGTTCTTTAAACCCTTGAAATCCCTCTATCAACCTCTCCATTTTTATTTATTTATTTTTTTCTTAAATTGTTGGACCAGTTTGGAACTCTAGTGCCTCCTGGGTGTTTCTTGAGTACCGCAATGGGTGAAAAATCTGTGGAACTGTAAATGAATTCCTGTACTATATTCCTATTTCTAAATGCTATTTTATATTTTAAATACTTGCCAATGAGACCATAAGATTGCACTGTGTGGGCTTAAATGCCATTGGGTCCGCTGGATAGGGTGCTGGACTGTGAGGCACGCTCTGGAGGGGGAATATGTGGGTCATAATGGTTATTTTAGTGGGAGCTAGTGGTTGAGAACCATGTACAAGTCCTAAGTGGTCTGTCGGACTAACACTTTTGCATCTGTATCGATCAACAAAATTGGTCTAGAATTGCCTACCTTATTAGGATCCAGTCCATCTTTAGGTAATAATATGATGATGTCCATTGTCCTATATGGTGATAAGAGGTTTGCCTTTCATAGCTGCGTTAAAGAGCGTGGCCAAATGGGGAATGAGTATCCCCAAATGTTTTATAATATACTTGTGGCAGAAATGCCTCTGCCACATGTTCTTGGAGGGGCCTGCTTTCCAGCCTCAGGACTATGGGCCTTGCAATATACCTTGCCAAATGCCCTTTAAAAGTCCCAGTTCATGTTATTTATGTACTTTTGTACTCCAGAGAGAGACTGACAGTTAGCCCTGATTGCATGGAACTGTTTTGGGCATAGGACCATGTCCATGGTCGGTCAAAATTATGACTTCCATGGAAATCTCGAACCGCTGAACCCATCTGGGTGACTTTTGGATATGTTGGTCCCCCAGATCCCCCACTTTTGTGGGGTTTCCATGTGTATTAGGGGTACTTTTGGGGTGTTGTATTGCATGTTTTTACTGAGAGAGAATTTAATTATATGTTTGTGTATTCAAGTAAGTATCCCACATGGGAGGTATTACCCTGTTTTGTGTGGGAGTATCCTGGACCTGAGAGTTTATGTAATTATGTGTATGCTGTACTGTAGTCTCCTCTCAGGTCCAGTGGGGAATGCCCCTGGAATATGTATTAGAAAACCCCTTGCATGGGGATAAACATAAAAGGCTGTGTATGATCCCATTTAAGTCAGTTCCTGTTCTACCCTCAAGCTGTGTGTGTCTGCTGTTCTTAGGGGGAGAGGAACATCTGTGGTTTGGAGGTGGGAAGGTGGTGTTCGGACGGGTGTGCTCAGTTGGGGCACAGGGGACCCATCAGAACACTCAACTGAATCCATCAGGATCTGGGACTTTTTAGTTTAAGGAGGACATTGCTACTGAGATTTCTTCTTCTAATTTCTTTATTCAACTTCTCTAGAATATTACTTGGTATAAAAGGCAGAGATGTTGTATTTAGATATCTCTGCAGTGTATTCTGATGTTCATCATTAGTTAGTTTGTAGGTCAGTGGTTGTATGAGTGCTAATAGTTTTGGAATATGGAGTATATAGCTTCTGATGAATTCACTACTCCACCCCCAGGACTTCTTAATGCGGTTATGGGTATACTCCTGAAGTGTATAGGATCCACTCTTCCACTGAAGATTTGTCCTTCAGTATGGTGACATTGTTTCCTTGACTAAGGTGTTGGAGATAAAAATCCTTTGTGTCATGCTATGTCTGTGTGGTCAGACCAGGGGATGTTATTTATGTCAGATCTTTGTACTAGAGGTATAGTTCTGGGGGATATTAGAAACTTGTCCATACGTGAGTAGGTCCCATTTGGAGCTGAGTAGTGTGTAGTCTGCCATCTTTGGATGTTGGGCTCTTCAGATATAAATTACACCACATGAATCTATACAACATTTTAGTAGTATTTATTTTACATTTAATAAGATAATATTTATTTGTTGATGTGAGAATCCAATATCGGTTGGTCTTTCTTACTATCACCCAACCTGATAGCCTGGGACTATGGCAACATCTCCAGTGCAGTTTCCTGTTGTGAAGGGGATAGGAAAGGGGGAAAACAAAACTATATGACAAACTGTATATACAACAAAATTTGCTTGGTCTCACCCTTTGCCAGGTGATTGTAGGAGTGGCACTACCTCGTTTGCAAAAAATCACTGCCTTCCAGTAGGTGAGAGGTAACTCTGACCTAACTGTGCTTGTAATTATGAAGAACAGCAGTTCTTACGGTTGCATTATTAAGAACAGTATTGCTTTATACATTGAATAGTGTGAATTGATGCCTTTCTCTAGAGAGCAATGGTGTAATCTGTTGGTTCTCTTACTGTGTCTGTACTCATACCCAAGTGAGTCCTGTATTGGGCCCCTTTCAAATAAGTGGCAACTAAACCTTCAAGCTTGTTACTTTTTACAGTATTAATGTTCTTAAGTGATGGTTGTCATTTCATCCTCAGGCTGGATATGTCTTCTTATTGAATAGAAGACCTAGTTCTGATACTTATTGTGACAAACGTCCTTATTCCAGTATCCCCTTAATAGTGTTATGGTTGTTTTGTGGCGTATTTCCCATTATAAACTGCCTTCTCCTTTCCCTTTTGTTACGGGGGTGTGTGTGTGTTCAATATAAGTGGAGTGTACGTTAATGTATGCACTGTAGATATAGGCTAGTGCCCCTTGGGAGTGTCCTAGCTGGTGTGCTGTTTCTTCAGGCTGGGTGTGTAGATGCTGAGGGTTCTCCTGAGCAATACCAGTCCTGTGGTACGTATGACAGGGTCTCTGCAGTTCCTAGCAGTGGAATTTCAATCTCTATATTCACAATGCTTACAGGAAAAACTAGAGACCTCAAAACAACTGTAGCTTAATGAAGCCATTCTGGTGCATAGATCATGCCCCTGTACTGCCTACTCCATTCTCTGCCATTTAGGAGTTGAATCCCGTGTGCTTGTTTATGCAGCCCTAGCCATACTTACCCAAAACCTCTTCAGGTTGGAAAGATGGGAGCTATATGTCTGTTTAACCATAATTTACCTCCTTAATATTGAGTGCACCCATACTTTATTATATATGACTTTTTTCCTTGCGTAAAGTGGCATATTTTAAATGTGCTGGGCCCCCTGCAGAATACAGGTAGCATGAGCTGCACCATTCCTCAGGACCTCCGGCTCCAGCCAATGTGATCTCCCTCCTCCAAGGCCACAGGTGAGATACAGGGAGGGGGGAATAAAACAATACAATTAATGGATGGAGAAAAAAACTGTAGGCTTTTCCCCCCACATTTTGCAGCCCCATACATTTACACACACTATACACAAACATTTACACACACTATTCACTAACATTTACACACACTATTCACTAACATTTACACACACTATATCCTTACACAAACATACACTCTGCAGTCACTACACACACTCTGGAGTCACTACACAAACACACACACTCTGCAGTCACTACACACACTACATCCTTACACGAACACACTCTGCAGTCACTACACACACTACTTCCTAACACAAACACACATTCTGCAGTACCAACACAAACACACACACACTTTGTAGTCACTGCACACACTACATCTACTACACAAACACACAGTGTGCAGTCACTATACACACATTAAATACTTACACAAACACACACTATGTAGTCACTATACACACACTACATCGACCACACAAAGTTACTCTGCATCCACACACTGTATTCACTAAACACTACACATACACACTACATCCACTACACAAACACACACTCTGCATTCACTATACACATCGCATTTAATACACACAAACACTACATCTACTACACAAACACACATACACACTCTGCATTCACTATAAACACACACTACATCCACACTCTGCATCTAATATACACCTCATACATTACACAAATGTACAGTCTGCATCCGCTATACACACTGCATCCATTAAACACACACCGCGTCCACTTAACACACAAACTCTGCATCCACTACACACATTCTACATCCACTATACACACACCAGAATCAGTACAGACACTGCATCCCTGTGGGCGGACTCGGGGGTCGGGGGTAGCACTTTGGGCGGACTCGGGTGCAGGCACCGGGGGGCCCAGACCTTGAGCTGTGTCAGGGGCCCCAAAATTTCTGATGGCAGCCCTGAGAACAGGTACTCTGTGTCACCAGCCCTTCTACTTGGTGGTGAGGTTTTTGAGGTTGGAATTTATATTAAATCTCTCTTGGAAACTTAACCTGTATTGCATGCCTCCTAATTTTAGAAAATTTGTGTTTTTCTTCTCATTTGTCTACAGAATATGTCCAGTCCTGCTTCACCAGATAAAGCTGAGAAAGATAAAATGTCAGCTCCTATCCCTAAAAAGGCCACATGCAAAACGAAACACTTGTGGTGTTCAGAATGTACGGTCCCTGTACCTGACGGGTGTAGGAAAAAGACCTGTAATCAATGCTCGACGGAATTGCCAGACCACACCTTAAAGTCATTTAACGATACAATTAAAAAAGACAGCGGGTCTGTTAATCTTCAAGACAGACAGGAAAAGAAACGAATGAGAGAAAGATCCCCATCCCTGTCTGAGCTCTCATCACGTGAATGTTCATATTCTTCCCTTTTGGAAGTTTCCATTTTGGCCTCAAGTGTGGATGAGGGATTTCCACAAGAGGAATTGAAAAAAGTTATCAGGGAAGTATCGGCGATTTGTTCAGGAAAATTAACCTACCCAAGGGTTATGAAACTACTGCAGAGAGAGTGGACAACCACACTTCAAAAAACTGTTTAAACTACAGACTGAGGAAAAGTGAGAAGTACTTCCAAAAGTTGATATCTAGGTGGCACAATTATCAAAGAAAACCATGATGGTGAGGTTTCTAGTTTAATAGATCCCATGGATCAGCGGGGCCAAAACATTGAGCAGAATATTTCAGGCAGCAGGTTATTAATGCAAAGCCGGAATATATGGTTCAGAAGTTCTAAAAGCCCAAAGGATGTGGTTACAAGCCTTAGAAGAATCCCTTATGGGAAAATCAGAGAGAGACCCAACCCACCTGTTTGTTCTGAAACTTTCTAATGCATTTCTATTGAGTGTCTCTGAGATGCCACGATTATCGGCTTGGATAATGGGTTTATCCTCGTTAGCCAGAAGAGCCTTATGGCTCAGAACATGGACGGCGGATTCAGCTTCAAAATCTGCTTTATGTGAACTACCTTTTCGAGAGGAACAAATTATTTGGCACTCCTCTTGAAGAGATAATAAAACATGTCTGAAACCAAAGATTTTGCCTCAGGATGCCAGATATTCAGGATCTTAATCCAATAAAAGATCTCTGTTCACGGGACAGCGTTTCTTTCGCTACCAGGAACAATTTCCGAGATTTCGCAAACAGAATAGAAACACCAGATTCAGGGATCTCAATAACAAAGACAAATGCCAAATGAGTGGGAGGTCGCCTTCGGTTCTTTTCTCAGATATGGAGGGAGACGACCTCAAACAATTGGATAATAAAGACCATATCAGAGGGTTGCAGGATACGTATTTCAACAATGCCAAACCCATTTTTTCCATCTTTTAAAGTATCCATTTCAAAAGAAATCAGAGGCCCTCCTAGCAGAAGCCCTGCTTCTTTTATGCTAGGACATTATAGAAAAAGTACCCAAATGCCAAGAGGGCGTTTACTCTCTACAAGTGGGTTGTTAGGGTTCTACAGTCCTATCCTAGACCTCAAAGATGTCAATGCATGCATCTCTTATCAGAGGTTCCGTATGGAAAATATCTTGTCAGTCACGCACATCCTGCAGAAGGGGGAATTTATGGCAAAGATAGACTTGAAGGATGCCTACCTCCATGTTCCAATGTCGGTATTTTCTCGGTAGTTCCTAAGGTTTGCAATACTAGCTGGAAAAGGAAAAAGTCTTAATTTTCAGTTCAAGGCCCTACCATTCTGCCAATCAGCCCCTCGTATCTTTACAAAGATCCTGGCTCCTCTAGCAGAAACCTTACGTATAAGAGGTGTGACAATAGTTCCTTACCTAGACGACTGGTTCTTAAAACCAGAATCAGAACTTCTGCTTTTAGACCTCAAAATAACCAGGAGGTTTTTAACAGATCACGGTTGGCTTTTAAACCTACAAAAATCTCAGATTCCTTAATCAATGGAATTCCTGGGACCTTTGGTGGATTTAAGGTTTCTATCTCTCTTTCTTCCTGTGTCAAAGCAAAAAGGAATTAGAAAGGCAGTTTCAAGCTTGCAAAATAAAAATGTTTGCACCATCAGACATGCCATGAGTGTCCTGGGACTTCTCACCTCTGCGATCCCAGCAGTTGGATGGGCAAAAACAGAAATCAGACTTTTACATGGAACACTCTTGCGGAACAGTCAAGAAGAAAGGAAGACTTGGATGCAGTTATCTGCCTGTCAAGCACAGTAAGAAAACTAAATTGGTGGAAAGATGCAAACAACCTTTCCAGAGGCCTTTCATTCGAACAAAATAAATGGATTACCATCACAACAGACGCCTCCCAGACTGGTTGGGGCGCCCATCTAGATTTACCGTTCATTCAGGGGAAATGGACTTTTAAAGAAGCAAGATTCCTCAAACTTCAGAGAGCTGAAGGCAGTTATGAATGCTCTGGTAGCTTTCAGTCCTGTCATTGCAGACCAAGCCATAAGGATTTAGTCAGACAACGCCACCACAGTTGCTTACTTAGATCGTCAAGGAGGCACAAGAGTAAAATCTCTTCAGGATCTATGCTACCATATCATGTCTTGGGCACAGTCAAACGTAAACTCACTCTCAGCAACTCCTATCAGAGGTACTCAGAATGTCATTGCAGACAACCTCAACAGACAACGTTGGTCTCAAGCAGATTGGTCTCTAAAACCCCAGATGTTCTCGAGACTGGTATTCCGATTCGGCTTACCAGACAAATAAAAACAGAAAAGTCCCACTCTTTGCTTCTATCCAGGCACTGGGTTTTCCAGACTTCCTAGACGGCTTGTCCCTCACCTGGAACTTCCACATGGGATACGTTTTCCCTCCGGTAGCCTTGATACCAAGAATAATTCAAAAGATCAGATGGGACAAAGCAAGGGTTCAAGCTGTTGTTCCCTTCTGGCCAAACCAAAGCTGGTTTTCCGAAATAGAGTGTATGACAATTTCATGAGAAATTAATTGAGAATGTGGATCTTCCAGAAGAGACCCTGGAAATGTTAAAATTGACAGCAGGGTTGCTGCAAGGATGATCCTCCATGAGCAAGGGCTTTCAGACAATTTTAAGTGAGGTTATTTTGGCATCTGTCCATTCATCAACATCTAAGATTTATCTTGGATTTGGATAACGTTCCTGAACTGGTGTGTTCTGAAAGGCTGCTGTCCAGATGATCCCTCTATCCCTGATATTCTGTCTTTCCTGCAGGATGGGTTTCTCGGTGTATCAACACTTAAAGTACAGATTTTAGCATTGAGTCACTTCCTTGTGCGGGATCTAGCTTCCAACCTTCTTATCCGCAGATATTTTAAATCAATCTTGCTGAAACGACCTCCTAAGTGTTCAACTTTTCCTTCCTTGGATTTGTCGTTAGTCCTTCAGGCTCTTTGTGAACCTCCATTTGAATCATTACAAGATGTTTCCTTGAAGAAACTTTCACTCAGGACGGTCTTCTTTGTGGCTATCATTTCCGCAAAGAGGATAGGAGTACTACAGGCTTTTTCTTCAGCTTTTGAGTTTACCATTTTCCACCAAGACATGCATCCCAGGCCTTCCTTTTTACCCAAAGTTATTTCAAGGATATCTATGGGCCAACCTATTGTTTTGCCTTCCTTCTGCCAGTCTCAATCTTCGGAGGTGGAAAGAAAGTGACATCTTCTAGATGTTAAGAGCTTTGGAAATCTATCTTCGGAGGTCACAGGACTTTAGAATCTCAGATCACCTCTTTGTCACATTTCAAGGCTCTTGTAAAGGTAGAGAAGCCTCCAGACCTACAATTGCCAGGTGGCTAACAGAAGCTATTAAAAGCACACTCTGTGATGGCTACCTCCTGGGCAGAAAGATCTGCAGCTTCTCCAGAAGACATCTGTAAGGCAGCTACTTGGTCTTTATTCCATACCTTCATAAAGCATTATAGGCTGGACATATTCTCTCCCTCCTGAACCAGCTTTTGGGCGAAAGGTGCTTCAAGCAGTAGCCTACTGAATTCCCACCCTATTTTGTTGCAGGGACCTTGCTATATTCCACCTGTTTGCAGTACTGCCACTATACGTGAAGAAAACCAGTAATTTTACTTACCGTAAATTCCTACTTCCTTAGTGTAGTGGGGGGGAAGCTTCTTTTTCACAGAAGAAGGTATAACCCACTTGTTTGCAGTACTGCCACTAAACGAAGGAAAAAGTAAATTACGGTAAGTAAAATTACTGTTTTTGATCACTTTTTTTTAGATTTTCTGAGAGCACGAGATATTAAGATATTTTATTTTTCAAGATCTGCCAGGCATCTTTACTGAATGTCATAATACTGTTAGTTTTTACTGCAATAAAATACACATTTATGTTCATTTATGTTCAGTGATTTCTCAGGGGTACTACAGTAACCACCGTGTACAAGTTTTATTGGGCTTTGAAAAGTTACAGGGTTAAATATAGGGCTTTCCACTTTTTAGTCTATATACCTTAAATGTTGACAGATTGGCAAAAGGTCCAAATTGTAATTTAATAAAATCACATAATTATGTAAAAAGATTACATATATATATATATATATATATATATATATTAATATTATATAGAATTGTATTTATTTTGTGTGTGTGTGTGTGAATTTATGTATGTATTACCCCCACAATGTGTGGGGACTGCTTGGGTTGTAAGTTGTAAGGCAGTCTCCCCAACCAGGATCGCTGGGGTAGGTTAGTATAAGGATCCGCAAACTGCTACAGAGTGCTATGCCACAGTAATGGGTTTTAAGCCACTTGTTGCAGGGTGGCATAGTACAGTGTTAAGTAAGTGTTTAGGAAATCTTACTGATCCCAGCATGTTCTGGCTGCTTAAGAGTGGTTTGAGTCTGACTGCTTACAGGAAACAGCCAATACATGCTGGGAACTCACTGATCCCAGTTTGTATAGTGCTGTTACTGATAGGAGTGTGATTGCAGACAGCTATCACTCTGTCAGCCAACCCAGTACATTACAGTAAATTATTCGCTGTTTCACCTGCATTCAGCTGAGCCCCGCATGTGGGGACTTACAGAAAGGGGTGACATGAGGCCACAAAGTGCCACTTCACTAGCTGGCAGCGAGAGTTTCCAGATGCAGAAGACTGCATGTAGTGAGAGGTGAGTAAATTACAAGGCTGATGCAGACTATCAGCTCTAATATTAGGCTCTATACCTAATGGCATGTTCTTGCCATCGGGCTGCAAACTCAGAACATATCTTACATTCTAAAGGTACTAGGATGTTGCGGTCTTCCTTGCCCCTTCCTCAAGATTGTAATGTGACTATGGTATCTCAAGATACTTGTAGCTGTTCTTTACATCTCCTGTTGGGCCTTCTGGCACTTCGACTATTTTAGTCCTGATAATCTTCCCTCTTTTTCTTATCATCTGCCCACACTTTAGTCCAAACGACATTTCAATGTCATTGCTGTACATGCTAGCTAGGTGGATCAGTGAGTCTATGCCCTTCTTACTCTTAACATACAGCTTGATGCCCTCTATATAGAGCAGATGGCTGATGGTAGCTCCACTCTTGAACTGTATCCATATACAATCTTCAAGATAATCTGATTGTGGCAAAAAAAACATTGGGGATAGCACATCACCTTGGTATATGCCACATGTTGTGTTCACTTGTGCAATTGTTCTGGAGTTGGCATCTAGATTTGTTCTCCACTTGCCCATAGTTATTTATGAAGGCTCATATTCTCTTGTTGACCTTTTATAGAACCAAGCATACCAGTTTCTGTATGGGGCATTGTCATGTGCTTTCTTGTAGTCAATCCAAGCTGTAGACCTACTGGTCTGTCTGGTCTTTGAATCCTATGTGACTGCTTGGTCCAACAGTAGCCGTGTTCTGTGCCTTAGAAGGGGACTGGAAACACCAGAGTATTGCTCGTGTACTGACTCACATGCCCATCAGTCTTGAAAGCTATGATCCCTGACAGAACCGTTCCTGTTGTGGTAAGAGCAGGTGATAGGTCTAATTATATTGCGGTGTTCCCTTCTAAGGGTCCCTAATGACCATTATTGTTCTGCTTTGTGTTAGCCAGTCAGGATGGCTGCCTGTTTCTAGTAGGTGACTAGTGCTGCTAGACAGTCATGCAGCGTTGTTGAATTATTTATTCAGTAGGTGTGGCTCCTGTCAGGTCCTGGTGCTTAACCACACTTCATGTGGGCTACACATTGTTGGATATCTCCGACTATGAGCATGCATTGGTCTTTTTTTCTGGTCTAGTAGCCACTTGTTGTTGCTTTTCCCTCCGACCTGTTCCTCCAGTACCATTCTGTCTCGTCTCTGGGTGGATCTTGAGTGACTTTGCTGTTACCCTGCAGCTGTGCCGGGTAGATGGAGAATTCTCTTAGCTTCTGCTTTTCTGCAGTATCTACTCAGACTGGTTGCCAGTGCTGTCAGCCTTTGCTTAGCTATTTCTAGAGCCTCAGATATGGATATACCCTTGAATAGCCAGGACCTACCCTTGAGCATTCCATATCTGTGAAGTTGATCCAGCTTACTAGCTTCCATATGTGAGACTTGTCTTCCAGTCTGTCTCTTTGGTGGGCATGGTTTCTCTTTCAACACAAGTATGTAGTCCCGCTATTGGAGGACCACAAGTGCTGTGGCATGTATGAGCTTGTTGGTCTCTGTGACGGTGTTGAATGGGATTGTAGATAGTGCCTCATTATCTGCTGCTAGCATACTGTCTGGTGACTCCAGTGATCTTTTGTAGTATTGTCCGGTGGTCAAGGACTGCTAAGTTTTCTGTGATGAGTTTGATGTTATGTCCTCTTGGGACACATATGCAGGTGGCAGCCTTCTGTAGGTATGAAAGTCTCTTCCTCCTCATGTCCTCATGAGTGTATGTATGTAATGGATATAGAAAGCGAGAGTACACTCTTTGAATTCTATCATTTTACATATCAATACCTAACAATCAGGTTTTTTGGGGGGGGGTTTGACGGTGTTAAAATTGGGTAAATACAACTTCGAATGAACAATAACGCATGACATTACACAATGTCATGATTGTCACATCATGCCTTGTTCTGGTGATGGGTTCATTCCATTATTCTGTACCTGGAATTCCCAGTCTCCTGGATTCATTTATATGTTTGTTTTATGTAAGTGCTATTGTGGTTTAGTATGGTTCTTTTAGCGAACATTAGGCAGTGTAGGACCTGCCGAATATGGGTTACATTGGTGTTGTGGCAGGCTTATGTAATGTATGATCATATAATGTAACTAAATCCCCATACTTTTCATATATAGTGCTTAGTTATGTCTCCTCTTGTTTTGCCTATTATATCTTGTCTTGTTTTATTTTGTTTATCCCAGTTCATGTACAGTCCTGTCCTGCCCTGTTCTTGTTTTCCTCATGTCTTGTGTACATGTTCTGGGTTCTGCTTTCTGTCCTGCTCTGGTTCTGGGTTCTATTAGTTCTGTCTTGTTTTCATGTTTGGTGACTATCCTAACCTTGCCTTGTTTCAGTACTGGATACATCTTAGCATTCATCTGCTCTGGCTTCCACTAAGCTGCAACAGGGTCTTGGTTTGTGGCCGCACAAATGCTGGTGCTCAACACCAGGGGGCGTGCGGTTACCCTGCACCGAGCCCTGTAATCCACTTCCACCCTGAAGACTCCCACTTCTCATCAGGCACTCAGGGGTCCCGGTTTCCGTACCGCCACCCGTGACAATGATTTAACAAAAATATAGCCAAAATGGAGAAGCCGTGTGTACAAAAAGACCACCTTATGATTTTATAGCTTGTAGAATGACCTGAATAGCAATAACTTGTAGTAGTAATTTTCTGTATGACTGTCAGTCTCACATCTTTGTATTGGAATTTTGGCCCACTCTTCTTTACAACGTTGCTTCAGTTCATTGAGGTTTGCTGTCATTTGTTATGCACAGCAGTTTTAAGGTCCCGCCATAGCATTTCAGTCGTCTTGAGGTCTGGTCTTTGACTGGGCCATTGCAACACCTTGATTTACTATTCCTTTCAAGCGATTTGCTGGTGTGCTTTGGATCATTGTCCTATTGCATGACCCAATTTCGGCCAAGCTTCAGCTGTTGAACAGATGACCTCACATTTGATTCTAGAATACTTTGGTATACAGAGGAGTTCATGGTCACTCAATGACTGCAATGTTCCCTAGTCCTGTGATTACAAAACAAACCAAAATCATCACCCCTCTACCACCGTGCTTGACATTTTACGAGGTGTTTGCTGATATGCTGTGTTTTGTATTTTTGTGTATTGTGCATTATGGCCAGATATCTCCACTTTGGTCTAGTCTGTCCATAAGCCCTTTTTCCAGAGGTATTGTTTGTCCAGATGCAACTTTGCAAACTTAAGCCATGCTGCTTTTTAGAGTGAATAGGCTTTCTCCCGGTAACCCTTCCAAACAAACCATACTTGTTCAGTCTTTTTCTAATTGTACTGTCTTTAACATTTAACATGTTAACTGAAACCTGTAGAGTCTGAGATGTAACTCTTGGGTTTTTTTGCAATTTCTCTGAGCATTGCACAGTCTGATCTTGGGGTGAATTTGCTGAGACATCCACTCCTTGGAAGATTGGCAACTGTCTGGAATGTTTTTTTTGTTGTTGTTGTTGTTTCACTTTTGAATAATCTTCTCACTGTAGAATGATGGCCTTCAAAAATTTGTTTGGAAATGGCCTTATAGCCAATTCCATTTTGATGGGAAGCAACAATTGCCTCTCTAATATCTTCGTGATTTCTTTCCTACTTGGCATCTGAATGCTCCTGACCAGCAAACTGCTAAACATTTGGCTTTTATAGAGGTGGTCACACTTGCTGATTGATCAAGGGCATTTTTGATTAGCAGCACCTGTCTGCTACTTAGCCTCTCAGGAGGCAGAAAGGGTTTACTTAGTTTTTTCACACATGGCTTCTTTATTTTTGTTAAATCATGGCATATGGTAATATGTCACATTTTGTTCATTTGAGGTTGAATTTACCTAATTTTAAGTCCTACTAAGGAGCTGATTATTCTGTCCTGATATGTAAAACCATAGAATTCAAAAAGGGTGTACTTTCTTTTTCCCATGACTGTGTATACTTGAATCCGGCGCAACCGTGCCATATGGTAGTGCGAGGGGTTAATCACACCGAGTGTTGTGGCTCTTGCCTTTCTCCAGTTTGACTCTGCCCCCAAGAGATGAGGTGTATGTATTAGCCGGTGTGCAAACTATTCTCGTGAATGACCCTTGAGAGAGCAAGGGCTGCTCTGATCACATACCTTCTTCTTGGGAGGCTGGAAAATTCTTAAGGGAGACTAGAACTTTTTAATTTGAACCTTGTGGTTTTAAGGCATAACAAACCGTAAGGAGAAAAACAGACAAGCTGCTGCCAATAAAATTTCTAGCACAATGTGGAAATCATGTTAAAGCCATATGGCTACTTAAATTCTCTAATAATATTAACCCTAACATTCCAGTATCTGCATCTCCTCTTCTTATAGGTTTCTAATGTATTTTTAAGACCTTTTTATATCTTCCTAGCAGGATATATCTTTAACTGATTAGTACCTAAACCCCAGGTTGACATGAAAAGGAAAAAACACATGTCAACTTGAGGGCTACTATTGACCATAGTTCCATGCAAATCTTTTTTGTGGCTTTTGCGTTCTTAAATTGTATGCAACGCACCTCAAATTTGGTTGTCGAATACTTTGGTTATTTTAATACTTCATGCTTGTATTAATTTATAGTAGTGATATTTTTTTTATTTATTTAAAGATTGGCACTGTGTACATTTGAAAACTACATTCCCTATAAATTTTTGCCAGGTTTTAAGTCCTTTGTCAGTACCTCGACTTTTTAGTAGCTTGAGGTTTTTAAGCTGGGCAACCATTATCGGAAAAAGTAATTACAAGAGTAATTATCTGTGTCATAGATCTAGACTTTTATTATAATTAAGATGAGTATTCATAGCAAGCTTGAATATTTTAGGGGAAAAAGTAAAGGAAAACTGGGGGGAGTGGGATCTAATGTTAATATTGTTTTTATTTATTTTTTAATGCTAAAATATACTTAAAATGGCAACTGCCATGGAACACAGACAGGAAAAGACTTTGTGCTGAAAAGGAGGTATGATATTTCGTCCGATTTGGTCAGAAGCAATGAAGACCATGTGTAATTGGACCAACTATAAGCAACCTGAATTTATTTTTTGAGATGTTTGAGAGTTTCACATGATGCCAGTATGTGTAAATGAGCACTGTACATTACCACTACAAGCACCAATTCAGCTTTAGCTTAGTGGTATGGTTTTGGTATGTAGTCTCATTGCTTAATTATCTACCATTTAGGAGTTAAATAACTTTGTTCATACAGCCTTTCCCACACCTCGCTGCATGTGACTTGCACAACCTTCCTAAACAATCCTTAAAAATTTCCTATATATTAGATTCCCTTATAGCACAGTCTCTTTAATTTAGAATTCTTATCTTCTGCTCTGTTAATAGCTTGTTAATAGAGCCTTCTGTGTGTGATTAAAGTTCAATTTACAGAGCATGAGAAAATCTTTTAATGTCCCCACTGAGCAATATATTCTTTAGATTTACAACTGTTTAGTCATGTATGGATTGTGTGTATGTGTGTATATATTATAGTGAGATGGTTGTGGATGGGGAAATTTATTCCCCCTTTTAAATTTTTCTTCTGTATCCTTAACCCTGTTTTTTTTTTTTTCCCCAAAATGTTTTTATTTTATTATGTTCCACAATTTTTAGTCAACATTTTAATGAATTTTTTTCAAAATATTGTCTGTGTAGCATTTAATACCTATAATAATTTGTCAATTTTGGATTTACTACGTTTTTCATAAATCTTCAACACTTTTGGGGAAAACTTGAATTATTAAAAGTTTACACGTTAGTTACTGAAATCAATATAAAAAAAAATTCAGTTCTGTGTAAATAAACAAACTTTTATTTTTTAAAGGTGTGCTTTTGCTTTTTTTTTTTTTTTCCTCTGTTCATGTTTGTAACGGACCGTTTCTCTCAAACAGGGATAAAATCCGTTTAGGCGATAATCCCCTTTCCCATAGACCAGCAGCTATTGCAATCACCAACCTCCCGAACTCCAAACTGTACGAATCCCCAACTCACGAACAAGAAATACACGAACTCTGGAAGCAGCCGAACAGGAAAAGCAATACAACGGCTTACACTCCTGGCAGTCAGCACACAATCCAATTCCCCCAATAACGAGACGACACTTCGTTTTGAGGGTTAAGCAGAATCTAAGGATTTATTCACACAGCCTCCTTTTAAGACATTCTCCCATGCAAGGGAGGGATCCACAACAATTAGTACCCCAGCCAATAATGTACCAGTTACCTCCCACACATCTCCTCCCCTTAGTGTGACACATAATCCCATTAGTACAGACACAAATTCCCTGGGATACTGGATGTACCCCTAAACATAGGAATACCCCTTTAAATGTTACATCCCCTGGTAACCCTGATCTGGGTGAGACACATATCCAAAAATCACCCAGATCGGACCAGGGGTTCAGGAATTAGAAAGGGTTAAAGTTTTGACCGACTGCATGGCAAAAGTATCCGAAAATAGTTCCATGTATTTTGGCCCTGCAGTCGGTCACAGAAAAGGGAATCAAACACACGAATGGCCTGTGTTACAGAGCTTGGGGAGGATTCGTATGAATCCCCCTGTTCGTGGGATCCTTTCTACCGAACGGCGGGCCGTTCGGTAGTTTCTGCACGAATTGCTGGAAGTCTGGAGGTCTCAGCGGTGTTTGCTTAGTCAAGTGTCCGATTTTAGTTCCAGACACTCGACGGCAAAACACCGCTGTTCGGGAGTTTAAGATGGCCGCCACCACGTGTTCGTTTCCCGAATGGCGGCCACCCAGAGGACACAACACATAGTACACATATAGCCAATTACCCATTTGCAACATTGTTGCAAACGGTAATTGGAGGCACACTTACTCCCGGGTGGTCTGGTTGTTCGGTAGTTTCACCCAATATAATGAATGAAGTGGTTCTACCGAACAATCAGGGGAATGCTGCATTCACATAACACTTTATACCGAACACATAATATTAAATACAGCCTGAATGCAATTTGCTACACAGTCTTAAAAAGGCATTATTCCTAACAGGCAGAATATGTTCACGGAGGGCCCTTAAAGGGCCAGTAGCAGCAATATAAAAATGTCACATGCCCAAATATTGCATACAAAAGTACGAATTCACAAGGGGGCCATAGTCAGATGGCAGGAGGCTGGCAACCAGGCTTCTCCAGGGCATAGTGGCGAGGTTGGTTTCGCCACACTTCTCCCCTTTACCACTCAGACTAACAGGGTATCTGACCTCCTGCCGGTCAGTGCCCTTGTTAGTCCAGCAGCCCACCCACAAAACACAATCCGTAATACAGCCCACCCACAATAACTGGCTACTACACCAGGGTAGAGTAGAACTTTGTCCGTGTCCAGGTGCCTCACCCTGGCTGCGTGGGGGACTGGTCAGCGTACTGGGTGGGTTGCTGAGTGTACAGAGACCAGCGGTACTCTGTCCTGGTGCCAGCACTACCCTGGGAGCAGTCTGGTTGGAGCCTGGTTGCTGGAGAAGAAGGCAGACTGTCTCCCCTTTGCCTAAACAGTCCTGCTGCTGGGTGACAGGGCCGACTGTCCCTACCCCCGGTGGTGCATGTGCAGCGACTACTGTCCCATCTGCACTGTTGTGGAGATTACTGTCTCCCCTTGGTGGGTTAAGCTGCCGCTGGGGAGAGAGTGTAACAAGCTCCTCTCCCATACATACTTTCAGCCGCTGGGGAGAGGGGATAACAAGCTCCTCTCCCTGACACACTCTCTGCTGTTGAAGGGGGAGACCGACTGTCTCCCCTTTCAATAATTCGTCCTGTTGCTGGAGAAAGGTGATAACTGGTTCCTCTCCCTGGAACACTCTCTGCTGTTGGAGAGGGGGACCAACTGTCTCCCCTTTTAATATATTGTCCTGCTGCTGGGGAGCTAGACCGACTGTCTCCGCTTCCTGCAGGACACACTGCCGCTGGGGAGGAAGGACGGCACCTTCGGCTCCCTGGGGTACACACTGCCGCTGGGGAGGAAGGACTGCACCTTCAGCTCCCTGGGGTATATGCTGCCGCTGGGGAGGAAGGACTGCACCTTCTGCTCCCTGGGGTACACACTGCCGCTGAGGAGGAAGGACGGTACCTTCTGCTCCCTGGGACACACACTGCCGCTGGGGAGGAAGGACGACACCTTCTGCTCCCTGGGACACACCTATGAGTCCCCGTAACGCACTCTGCCTCCGGATAGGGCGGCTGATACCTTTGGCTGGATCTGCCATGAACTCCAGGTACTCGACTACCTGGCTCCTTACAAACTGCACGTATTTCTCTGGGGGGTTGGGTCCAAAGAAAGCCAGCCGCATAGCAAACTCTCTGTCATACTGCTCCTGAGTGTAGCTAGGTGCCATGCTTGCGCTGCTGAATTTGGTTCTTTCGTCGATAGGGTCGCTGTACGTGTACTGGCGTTGCCCTCACTTTGTAATCCAAGGAATGGTGTTGCCCTGTAGCTGTCTTTCTGGTTGTAGGAACGATCCCACCGCTGCCACCAATTGTAACGGACCGTTTCTCTCAAACAGGGATAAAATCCGTTTAGGCGATAATCCCCTTTCCCATAGACCAGCAGCTATTGCAATCACCAACCTCCCGAACTCCAAACTGTACGAATCCCCAACTCACGAACAAGAAATACACGAACTCTGGAAGCAGCCGAACAGGAAAAGCAATACGAGCGGCTTACACTCCTGGCAGTCAGCACACAATCCAATTCCCCCAATAACGAGACGACACTTCGTTTTGAGGGTTAAGCAGAATCTAAGGATTTATTCACACAGCCTCCTTTTAAGACATTCTCCCATGCAAGGGAGGGATCCACAACAATTAGTACCCCAGCCAATAATGTACCAGTTACCTCCCACACCTCTCCTCCCCTTAGTGTGACACATAATCCCATTAGTACAGACACAAATTCCCTGGGATACTGGATGTACCCCTAAACATAGGAATACCCCGTTAAATGTTACATCCCCTGGTAACCCTGATCTGGGTGAGACACATATCCAAAAATCACCCAGATCGGACCAGGGGTTCAGGAATTATAAAGGGTTAAAGTTTTGACCGACTGCATGGCAAAAGTATCCGAAAATAGTTCCATGTATTTTGGCCCTGCAGCCGGTCACAGAAAAGGGAATCAAACACACGAATGGCCTGTGTTACAGAGCTTGGGGAGGATTCGTATGAATCCCCCTGTTCGTGGGATCCTTTCTACCGAACGGCGGGCCGTTCGGTAGTTTCTGCATGAATTGCTGGAAGTCTGGAGGTCTCAGCGGTGTTTGCTTAGTCAAGTGTCCGATTTTAGTTCCAGACACTCGACGGCAAAACACCGCTGTTCGGGAGTTTAAGATGGCCGCCACCACGTGTTCGTTTCCCGAATGGCGGCCACCCAGAGGACACAACACATAGTACACATATAGCCAATTACCCATTTGCAACATTGTTGCAAACGGTAATTGGAGGCACACTTACTCCCGGGTGGTCTGGTTGTTCGGTAGTTTCACCCAATATAATGAATGAAGTGGTTCTACCGAACAATCAGGGGAATGCTGCATTCACATAACACTTTATACCGAACACATAATATTAAATACAGCCTGAATGCAATTTGCTACACAGTCTTAAAAAGGCATTATTCCTAACAGGCAGAATATGTTCACGGAGGGCCCTTAAAGGGCCAGTAGCAGCAATATAAAAATGTCACATGCCCAAATATTGCATACAAAAGTACGAATTCACAAGGGGGCCATAGTCAGATGGCAGGAGGCTGGCAACCAGGCTTCTCCAGTGCATAGTGGCGAGGTTGGTTTCGCCACAATGTTGAATTGGCTAAATACCATAAAGAGTTAAAATGCCCACATGAGGGGTGATTTCAGGAGAACAAAATTTCTTTCTGTCTGCCAACTGCAAAATCGTTGGCTGTGAAGAACAGAATGACTTGCGAAGAAAATTGAATGTCAAAGAAATAATTAAAGCGTTCTTTATGTGAGCACATTAATCAATCCTGCGTTTTCCTTAATAACTCTTCACTTGACATGCTGGCAAAGCTGATCAGCATAGTGGGCAGTAATGACCCATGATTACTTTTACGTTACATTTAATAGTAAAAGTAATACGTTTGGAGGACTGCCTTTTGCACGGCAGCTTAGTCCACAAACAAATTGGGAGTTGCTCCTATTGCCCATTATAGCAAAATGTTGATCTATTCTATATGAACAGAAAGGGAAAGGCTCCAAAAAATATTATGCACTGCTTATCTACTAAAAAATTAGTAGATGCTAAACATTTATTATGTTTTAATGTATGTGTACGATGCAGATGAAAATGAAAGAAAGGGGCCTCGGGTAAAAGGTCAAATGAGTCGTTTGTTACATGTGATTTTACAGAGGAAGAGGTTCTATTTCAAGTGTCAAAAGTAAAGACAAATAAGTCAATGGGACCTGATGGAATACACCCAAAGTTATTAAAAGAGCTTACTGGTGTACTAGCAAAACTATTAACAGATTTATTTAACCAATCATTGTTAACAGTAGTAGTCCCAGAAGATTGGAATGTTGTGCCCATTCACAAGAAAGGTAGTAGGGAGGAGTCGGGCAACTATAGGCCAGTAAGCCTTACTTCAGTAGTGGGGAAAGTAATGGAAACCATGTTAAAGGGTCGGATTGTTGAACATCGAAAAACACATGGATTTCAAGATCAGAGACAACATGGGTTTACTTCAGGGAGATCATGCCAATCTAATCTTATTGATTTTTTTCATTGAGCAACTAAAATAATAGATCAGGGTGGTGCAGTAGACATTGCTTACCTAGATTTCAGTAAGGCTTTTGACACTGTTGCACATAGAAGGCTTATTAATAAACTGTAATCTTTAAGTTTGGATTCCAATATTGTTAAATGAGTAAGGCATTGGCTGAATGACAGGCAACAGAGGGTTGTAGTCAATGGAGTATATTCAAAGCATGGTACAGTAAAGGAGGAGACTATGTATTTAAAAGAAGAAAAACTACCACAACAAGAGGACATAGTCTTAAATTAGAGGGGCAAAGGTTTAAAAATATCAGGAAGTATTACTTTACTAAGAGGGTAGTGGACGCATGGAATAGGCTTCCAGCTGAAGTGGTAGAGGTTAACACAGTGAGAGAGTTTAAGCATGCGTGGGATAGGCATAAGGCTATCCTAACTATAAGATAAGGCCAGGGACTAATGAAAGTATTTAGAAAATTGGGCAGACTAGATGGGTCGAATGGTTCTTATCCGCCTTCGCATTCTATGTTTACATTTTTTTATTTTTATTTTTTGTAATGTCTTCCCTGCTTTCTACTTTTGGAACTTCCAAAAGGCTGTGTCTTCTCCCATCACTGTTTCCCCAAATGATGTGGTGTGTGTTTTTGTTTTGTTTTTGTTTTCTTCAATAAGCAGTTGGTGGTGTTCATGTAACTTCTCTAAGGTAATGAAAACTGTATTGTTGCTTTCGAAGACAACTTTGTTCAGTATATTTTGTCTATACTAAACAGCTCTTTGTTATGCTGGATCGGGACATGAAAAGTCTTGAAATAAATGGGTGAACACTAATGGCTACACACATTGTGCAGATCTATAGTTGAAGAGATGCTGGAGTTTATTCAATAAACTGTGAATTAAAAACAGGATTGCAAATTTTAGGCCAAAATAGGCGACTTTGAAAAATGTTCCAACTCATAGTCCTGATTTGATAATGTGGGCCGAATTTTGCAATTCAGTTTTCTGTTCACCACTGTAAAGTAAATTAACCATTCTATCTTGAAAAGGTTTTTATTATTAAAGTTAAAATTCAGTAATACTCCAGATTAGCCCATATACATGTTGTATGTTTTAAATTGCTAACATTTTTCTGTACAGCCAATATGTGAGGTTTTGGATTTATTATATATCTGCCTAGAAGTCCTTATGCCCATGGTCAGTATAAAGTGTTTAATTTATCAGTTTAGAATGGGAGGGAAACCTGGAAAAATGCTTTCTTAAAGGAGCACTATAGGGTCAGGAACACAAACCTGTATTCCTATAGGGTTAAAACCACCATCTAGCCACCCTGGTCCCCTCATGCCTCCCTAAATATAGTAAAATCTTACTTGTATTAAAGTCTGGAGCTGTTGGCTTTGTCCCTGTTTCCTTTTGACCTGCCTGCTGACATCATCAGAAATATTGTTCTGAGCCAATCGCAATGCTTCCCCATAGGATTGGCTGAGACCGACAAAGAGGCAGATCAGGGGCAGAGCCAGCATGATTCAAACACAGCCCTGTCCAATCAGCATGTCCTCATAGAGATTAATTGAATCAATGAATCTCTATGAGGAAAGTTCAGTGTCTGCATGCAGAGGGAGGAGATAATGAATGTTTGGATGCATTTTAGGCAGCCATGACCCAGGAAGGATATCTAACAGCCATCTAAGGAGTGGCCAGTGACGTTATCAGTGGGCTGTAATGTAAACACTGCATTTTCTCTGAAAAGGCTTGTTTACAGCAAAAAGTCTGAAGTTAATGATTCTAAACACCAGAACAAATTCAATAAGCTGTAGTTGTTCTGGTGACTATAGTGTCCCTTTAAGCAAACCGGTGTATATACATCCCTCTGCTATCCGCAAGCATGCCTTAGTGTGCTCTTTTTAGTTTTGAAAGCTTTCAAGTCACCCTATCGGTTCATTGCCTCTAGTGTCTCAAGTATTGTGTGCACATGGCTGTTGGAGGAAAAAAAGCCCATGATCTTTGAACATTCTAAATGTATCTCCCCTTCACCCAAACTTTTTTTTTTTTTTTTTTTTTTTATATAGAATTTTAAAAATATTCAGCCTGTCATTGTCATCTGGCCTATGGGCTATGGCACACGAAGACTTATGACAGTGTCCCATGTTCTGAGCTTAGAATGCCCCTTTTACAAGTTTAGAATTGTACATTAGTCTCCTATTTCCTTAATAAAGTAACCTTATTAACAATTTCTGCTTAAACATGTATGTAAATATACATTCTATTAGGTTTTTTTTAAATTTATTTTTTATATAAATTTTTTTTCATAAATTACTTAAAGAAAAAAAAAATCTGAGGTTTACGGTCTATTCTCCTTTCAACATATTTGCCATTTTCAGTAATGATTTACCTTGAGTTTGCTGCCAGTTCTCAACAGCTCATAAAGGTTTTATGGGAGAATTAACCCATTGGAGTAATGCCATAATTACTCTGTTAAGAAAATATACATTTTCTTTGAAAACTTTTCTATTAATTGAATTGCAATGTGTTCTGTGCTTACTTGTAAGCGTTGCATGGAATTTATTTAGTGGTTGTGTGAAAAATGATAATTTGAAGTACTAGTAATTTAAAATAAAGTGGGTGTTCAGAATCATGTGTATGTAATCATTTCAATTTCCTTTTTATATAGAACTATGCAGTATCAGCAAAGTGATGTTTCCATTTCTTTTCCAAAAATTTCTAGTATGTATGTTTATATATTATTTTTTTTGGCTATTGTAAATGATTTTATTTTTGGTTTGGTTTTGTTATGATCGTATACCCTCCTGGGAGATGCTGGCATTCATGCCATTGAAGAGATGAAGAGAGATCAAATACGTTATTCACAATCCAAGTTTGTAGGGGTTAATCATTAAAATGTGAATTGCTCAGAAATTTATCAAGCAAATGCAAATATAAGATCAACATAGCAGTTTTTAGGGTGGGCTTCTGTGTGTTTTTCTTTTATTTATATTTATATTTTGGTGGAGGGGGGTGTCTCCTTGTGAATTTTTGGCATTTGATAAACATAGGTAGGGGTTCACTGCTACTTCTGTTACAATTTAGGCACATACAGATTTTTTTATTTTATTCTCTTTAATCTAATGCCTACCGGTTTGTGAATTTCTTTCTATTGTAATAAAATCAATATTTCAGATAAATACTGGTTTGGGGGGGTGACGACAAATCATGCTTTGGACAGTACCTATTTAACGTACGCAGCTCTGCACACTACCTACAACTGATGAAATTCCATGCCATAAAGGGGGCTTAGATTAGTATGACTGCATTGATAGTCAATGGCCTTTAGCAGGTTAATGGATGCTTTCTGAATTCAAGTTTAGTTCCAGAAGAGAGCTGCTGAGTAAACGGATGTTAGCACTTTACTGTGAACTTTGAGGACTTGTTCCATTTGGTTCTAAAGAGAAACTTTCCCCTTTACCTCCAGAATGAAGTCACCCTGCTGAGAAATGAAGTGGCGCAGCTGAAACAGCTTCTTCTGGCTCATAAAGATTGCCCTGTAACCGCCATGCAGAAGAAATCTGGCTATCATAGTGAGTAATGTTCCATTACCCATGGCCTTGGGCTACATCAGTGAAATACTGCCAAAAAAAAACGCGCTACCATTAATACAGGAGACTCGCACACTCCCACTTCTAGTGTTAGCATTAAATATTGAAAATAAGGCACGGTTACTGCTGGGTAAGTTTTAAATGTTATTTGATTAGGGTTATTTTCCACTTTGTGAAATATGACTTTGTTTATTAAGGTGCTTAAGTTCTTTGCAAGTCCTTCTGACACTTAAGAGATTAAAAGTGATTTTTCAGTTAAAATAATATAGATTTGAAGGGATGAATTCAAATAAATATTTACTTTCACTCACAATTTTTTTTAGTGGGAGACTAAACCCCTTGATGATCTTTAAGACTGCAATATTATGGTCGCTTACATTTTGCGGTTTGCTACAAAGCCATCACATGGCCGTTTTCCCTCAGTGTCCTGTACTGTATGTTCATCACTGACTCAATTACAGATTTTATTACGTCTGTGCACAATCTGATTACCATAAATCAGCCTGCTAGTTGCAATATGTATCTGTGTGTGTTTTACACACACAATTTATAAGAACTCTGGCAACCTCATAGTAAACCACTATATTGAAGGTCTAGTGGTTTTTGAATGTCTGCAGAACCCCGAGATGACATCCTCTCAATTAATACAAGCTTCAGCTTTATGTATCCATTTTTTATTTATTTCTTTTCATATTTTTATTGCATTTGTTTTTAATATACTTTTTATTTTCATGTATTTTTTTTTTTATTTTTTTTTAAAGGCTAAGGTTTCTTTAATCTTGGTGCAACACTGGTCCATACAGCCTCTGGCCTGAGAGTGTAACTTCCACAAGGGTTGTGTATGCCTGCACTGATATAAGGGTACCTAGATTATACAAATCATTCACCCCATGTAATGTGTTTTTATTGCATAGTCTGTCACCCATTGTACAGTCCAGAATATGCAGCCACCATCAAGCAATCCTGCTAATCTCATTCAATTGTATTTGCAAAGCAAAATTATTATCCTTTTACATATTTAAAGGATGGGTGCCACGTAAAAACCTTGCTGTGAGATGGGACTGTAAGGGTTTGCATGTGGTATTTTCATAGGTTCCAGGTGTTTTTTTTTTTTTGGGCCATCTAATGGGGGAAATAGTCATGCATCAGTTGCATAGCGATGGCCTGGTTCCCCTCCTTGGTGTGCAAATAAATAAGCTTAGGGGAGTAAAGTGATTCTGGGGGTCAACATTCTGTATGTATGATGCATCCCTATTGGATTGCCACCTAACAGACAATATCCACAATGCTTTGCAAGTCAATCCAGATTGCTGATTAAAACATAGCATTACAAATCTGATCCAAATTTCACATAACACTACTGACTTCTATTGCTGGTGACTTACAGTATAAAGATAACTTGAAGTCACTTACCTGTATATTTTCCCCTACACATTCATATATAATATTAATGTAGACGCCCCCAGTTACATTAATCTAAGTAAACTGCCTGGTAGTAAAAGATTGCATGCAGTCAAATTTAATCAATATTTCAAGGCATTTATATAATTCAGGAACTCAATTTTTGCTTTTTTTATGCTGAAAGTAAATATGAAAATATTGTCTTGTATTGAACTCTAACTTTGTTTTTATATGAAATGTGTGTTCATGTTTATGCTTAAAGGAACACTTTAGTCACCTAAATTACTTTAGCTAATTAAAGCAGTTTTAGTGTATAGATCATTCCCCTGCAATTTCACTGCTCAATTCACTGTCATTTAGGAGTTAAATCACTTTGTTTCTGTTTATGCAGCCCTAGCCACACCTCCCCTGGCTATGATTGACAGAGCCTGCATGAAACAAAAACTGGTTTCACTTTCAAACAGATGTATTTTACCTTAAATAACTGTATCTCAATCTCTAAATTGAACTTTAATCACATACAGGAGGTTCTTGCAGGGTCTAGCAAGGGGATAAGAAAATCTTAATTAAACAGAACTTGCAATAAAGAAAGCCTAAATAGGGCTCTCTTTACAGGATGTGTTTATGGAAGACTGTGCAAGTCACATGCAGGGAGGTGTGACTAGGGTTCATAAACAAATTGATTTAACTCCTAAATGGCAGAGGATTGAGCAGTGAGGCTGCAGGGGCATGTTCTATACACCAAAACTGCTTCATTAAGCTAAAGTTGTTCAGGTGACTATAGTGTCCCTTTAAATATGACAATCTAGTTTTTATTTATTTTTTATTTCATGGGGTCACGTTCAGTCACACTCAGATTCATTCTCTAAACTCAGAATTGTAGCTAGTTTAATTCTAAAGGACGGTTTTAGATTAAAATAGTTGATCTGGAAAAAAACTTGAAATTTCCACTTCTGAATTATCCCGTAGGATTTTTTATTTATTTTTCTAAAATTTTTGTTTTTGTTTTTTGTCCTATACATACAGCTCACAAGTATTGTGAATTCAGAAATGTGTTCCTGTAGAGTTGCCTCTTGGGTACAGTTAAATGGCAAGTGTGCCTCAAAATTATCTTTTTGGTATCCTTCAGCCATCCTTCATGCACCTTGGGTCAGACAGTATTTGAAAACTGACAGTCTCTATGACCTTCTCTGCTTCACTCCCTGCACAGAAGCAGGAAAGACCGTAGAGACTGTCCGTTTTTAAACAGTTTTATATATGTTATATATATTTATTTTTTTATTTTTTAAAATAATTTATTAACGTGCAAAACTTGAAGAGATAATGTATGGGTTTCATATGGGCGTTAAGTCTACTTTATTCCATGTTTTTATCTAAAAATTCTTTTTTATAGCTCCAAAAAATCCAAAGGTATTAACAATCACTACCAAAGCAAACAGATGCAATAGATTTTGAGATCTTGAAAGCTTGCAGTCCATAGCATGTGGTAGAGGAAGATATCATTTTTTCAAAGTGATGTTTCTATTCACCTCCTCAGCATTGTAAAGGTTAATTATTGTTCAGTCTCTCCTTCCGTCTCGCTGGCTATGATATAGAATTTACCAACCAGCTGCTGCTGTAGAATAAATGGCCAATTTCGTCCCTCGTACACATATTTGTAACAAATAGCAAAACTGTGAATCCATTAGGCAGCATTCATAATATATAACCCACAGCTTTCTCTTTTATGATTTAATGGTATTCCAGGATATTTGTAAATGTGAAGATTGTTTCTGCCATATGCAGCCACTTCATTTTAATTTGCCAGTGTCAGTAATTCAGGAGGATAAAGAAACATTTTGAATTGCATGCGAACAGTTCCTCAGGTGCATGCGATAAAATTTAATAGCCCCCATTTTACTTGTAGTCATTTTAAGCTGTTTTATCAGATCAGGCAATATTTTTTCATTTAAAAGAATTGAGAGGTAAACACAACTTTCTATTGCCATATATATTTAGAACACTGATTTTTGTCATTTTTGAGCTGATAAATCTTACTCCACAGATGCACAGTCATTTGACAGGGGTAGAGAATAACATTTTGCAGTAAATTGGAACAGCATAGGCATTTGCTAGAAATGGGTATTAACAATGATCACAGCAAGGATGAGCCCATTATACCTCCCATCTGATAAATCCACATAATGTCTGCCACAAGCAACTGCAATGTAAGCATGGTTTACCCAAACTATTTCTTATAAGGATTTTTGCTATCCCTCCAGACATAATTAGAATGTACTCATCCTCATGCTAAGCTTGTGTCTTCTGTTTTGCAGGAATGTAGACAAATGTTCCATAGTATTAAGAAATGGGACATGAGCAGAACCGGATAAGACTATAAGGTGTACAATATTGTAAATTGTATTCACATAGTATTCTATAATGTACATTTTATACCTTGTGAAATTGGCCATTATATGACACTATATAATACAAGACGTTGTACAATATTGTAAATTGTAGAACACAATGTGATATTCAGAAAACCAATATTCCTAAATATATCTGTAAAAATGTGTGATCTATAGATTTCCGCAGGAATTATCCGTGCAAGCTGCAGTGTTTATTTGCCTCTTCTAAATAGAATATATATATATATATATATATATATATATATATATATATATAATCTTTATTTTATTTTTTTCTAAATCTAACATTTTCCATTAATTACTTTATTGATTGAGGATGTTACATGGTGGTTGGAGGTATCAAAATATTTGTGTTTTTTTTTTGTTTTTTTTTTACTGGCCTCATTTGTTTTTTTAAAAATAAATAATTTTTAAAAAATAAATTACTTTCCTTTAATCCAGCACCAAGACAGTCTTTTTTCCAACCCAATCCACGTAGTGTGAGATAACCGATCCAATGAGATGGTATTGAGGACCTACATTGCAGGCATAGTCATTTCTGCAATCCGTCCTTTTGGTTCTCACAGAGAAGCACTGAATCTAATTCTTTATGAGAAGTGTTAGCGATGCTTTGGCAACTTGATGCTATCGATGACCCCAAAATGAACTTTTTTTATTTATTTTTATTGAAGATGGTAAGGAGGACATGCATTACAGCCCTTCGTTCTGGCCAGTCTCAGGATAAAAATAAGCTGAATTTTCATAGTGTAGACAAATTAGAACTCGCATGAAACATAGACTATTGTAGTTGGGTCAGATGTTCAGTTTTATGTGCATTCAAGTTTGTCTGATCATTTATATGCTTACCATAGGCAAACTACACCAGGTTTCAGTCTATGGGGGTGACCTATCAAGGCAAAAACATTTGTTTTGGGATTTTTTGGAAGATGGTGGAGGAAAGTAACTAAATAAGGAGTAACATGGAAACAATGAATACATGAATGGTTAGGCACTGTTTTGCCATATTAAGTATTCCTTTATTTCTTTTCCGTCAAGTGTCATTTGGAAGTAAGTGAAGCACATCTTTTCAATCCAGTCCAGGACACACTTTTTTGTGTGTGTTGGATGTGTGTAGGGAACCATCTTTGGGTTATAATATATCATCATCTATACACCAGCTGTCAGTTTCCCCAGCACAATGTGTAGATCTATACCTACTTGAAGGTAAACTTGTCATCCACACAATCTCCAGGTGAAGTTTAATCATCTGAGCAACTAGAAGATTCTAGTGTGAAAAAGTTATAGTGTTATAGAAAAGCAAAAAGTAATCACTGCATTTGAGAGCGCATATTTTAACATGCATTACAAGGAATACTCCAAGCACCAAAACCACTACAGCATGTTTTAGTGGTTATGGTGTCAGGACTGCTCCAGCCAACCATTGGAAGGAATCAACCCAGTTTAGAATGACTTGATGTCTTACCTGGGGGTATTAAGCACCCCCCCCTGCTTTCACTTCCTTTCATGGAGAAACTGATACTCCCTCTATGTGATTTAACTCTTGCAGTGCATGGGCATAGATGTACTTCTGTCATCCCCTGGTGCAGGGATAGGCAACCTTTGGCACTCCAGATGTTATAGACTACATTCCCCATTGTGCTCTTACACCCATAATGCTGGCAAAGCATCATGGGTGGTGTAGTCCAAAACATCTGGAGTGCCAAAGTTTGCCTATGCCTGCCCTAGAGCTTCTTAAAGGGACTCTCCAGTGCCCCTCTCCCTCCCACCCCCCATCCCAGGTTGCTGAAGGGGTTAAAACCCCTTCAGTGACTTACCTGTATCCAGCGCCGATGTCCCTCGGCGCTGGTTCAGGGTCCGCACACGCTCCTCCCCCGCCGACTTTGTCTGGCGGGGGAGAACTAATGCGCATGCGCGGCAATGCCACGCACACACATTAGAACTCCCCATAGGAAAGCATTAAAAAACATAGCGTGAGGACGTCCAGCGACGCTATTGCACAGAAAATCTGTGCTATAAACCCGGAAGTGCCTCTGTGCTATAAACCCGGACGTGCCCTCTAGACAGCCACTAGAGGAGGAGTTAACCCTGCAAGGTAAATATTGCAGTTTATGAAAACTGCAATAATTACACTTGCAGGGTTAAGGGTAGTGGGAGTTGGCACCCAGACCACTCCAATGGGCAGAAGTGGTCCGGGTGCCTGGAGTGTCCCTTTAATGACTCCGCATATCACAACCAGGGCACTGTCATTACATGCGCTCTGGAACTATGAGAGAGCTCTTGGTGGTCTGCACTCGATATTTGTGCAGATTGCAATGCTCTCCTCACCAGGTCACCAAGGAAAGGTTAGTCGGAGTGGAGCAAAACACACACAACTCATCCACGCTCAGACTCTTCTACACACATCTCTAAGCCTCCTTCTCACACACATCTCATAGGCTGAGCGTGATCAACTGATCCGCTCAGCCAATGAGCAAGCCCTACATGACTAAGCACATGTACATGACAAGCCCTACATGACTCAGGATAAACAACTGAAGCCCCTTGGCTTAGGAGCTACCAACTCTCCATAGGAACTGGTGGAGATAGGAGCGGCACCCAGTGAACAACAGGTAAGAAGTCAAGCAGTAATGAAATGGTTTGACTCCTTACAATGGTGGGGGTAGGCATTGGGATACTCCTGGCACCATAACATCATCTTTACTTTGATGGGAAATACATATTAAGTGTTCTAATATGTAGAATTTGTATGGTGCAGAAATGAAGACGTGTTGTAATTAAACTTTACTGCTACATATAAATGCTATATACTAGAAGTCAGTACTTTTATTTTGCTATGAACTGTCGAAAAGAAGTGATACAGTTTAGACTTTAAGCTCATATTTGCATTTCCCTCTTAACCTACTGTTCCTGGATGTCAAATATGCACAATATGTTGTCACTATATAAATAATTGTAATTATGGATCCATGAAAACACTGTAGATCAAGCAAGCTTTGACAGGTCAGGAACACTGAACATCAAAAAAAATAAAAAATAATTAAAAGTATCTGCATAGACATACATTTCTAAGCTGTTATTAGTTGGCATTATTTGATGTAAACATGCCGCAGGGCAGCACGTTTCAAGTGATGACCATCAACATGGTTCAGAAAAACCTGACTCCAAAACCCTAGTCCTTCTTCTCCTCCCCAGAAATAGGATTTGTCTAGTCCTGTAAAATATTTAGCAGACCTAGCTTCCTTTTTAAATGGGAAAAAAATACTTGTCCTGTGTGTAGAAGACAGACAAACATTCCACCAATTAGTACCTCGTTTGAATATCAGTCACTAAATAGGGTGTTACACACTCTGTACTTAAACCATCACCTCTTGAACATATGGATTCCAGGATTACACATTTTCCACCTAGTTAAATCTTGGAATGAGAGATTTCTTAGGGGGGCAACTTGTAAAATAGCACGGCTTTTTTTTTTTTTTGGGAAAACACATTTCTGCTCTTAATCTTTATTCGCATTTTGTGTGTATATATTATTAAACATACAATGTTTGTCTAATATACTGGGTTATTCTTTCCATTATATTCTTTCAATCTACTTTCTTTCTTTTTTTTTTTATTTTCTTTTTTTTACTTTAAGTGGTTAATGTAAAGCAATAGTATCTAGTGTCCGATCCCCAGCTGCCATTGGATTGTGGGGAGCACTGAGCAGCTGGAGAACAAGGATTAGACACCCTGATATGTAACAAATCTCTGGTGAGCGAACTGTTATTTCAGGTCTCTGTACAGCACTGCAGCAATCAGACTTAAGTCTTTTATGCAATAAAATATCATTATCATTATCTTCATCTAAAAAAATTGTTAGTGGGGCAAAACGCACATTTGCAGTATACCATTTACAGTGATCTATAGTCATGGGCTTTTTAATTCTGTTCAGAATGACTGAATTATTAGTCAGATTCCGTAAGTGAAGAAGTTGATTTTCTGTGCCTTGAGCCCAATTAATTTGTGCATCGCTAGAACAGCTGGTGGCATTTAGACTCTAAGTGTTGCTTACTCTCCTGAGTGAACATCATTAGAGTCAGGTGTTAGACTCATCCACTGCTGCCGTTAATGGAAAAGCAGGCAGATTCATTTGAAAACTAATCTTTATTTGCCAAAGGAAGCTTTTCAAGATATGTTTACATCACATCTTATAATAATATTGCATTAGTTAATTTACAATGTGCTTACTAAAAATAGTCATGCTCAAAGTTGTATCCACTCGTGTGAAATGACAACCCTGTTGTTCGTTTCTTAAGAGAATGCTCTTTTTTTAAAACTTATTTTGAATAGGATTACGTATCTTCGAAAATGAAACGTGTAGCCTGTCACACTTGCAAATTGCCTGAATGATAAACAAAATCCAAAATACCTTTTCTCTCTCCTCAGAAGAGCCAGGATTTGTTGTGAGCTGATTTTTAGTAGAGATCTAATAGGGTTTTGAGATCAACAGATGCTTTAGGGACATCTCTAAAAATTGAATACTTTAGGGCTTTATCTTAACCAATACAGCCCTTAGCTAGGCATTTATTTGAAGACCATTCTAAATCCGATTGCAATATGGCATCTACAATGAATGAAATATGATGACTTTTTTTTTTTAATTACGTAGTTAAGGTTATGGGATGTAAGATACATTTGCTGTTTACAAAAATGAGGACTGCTACCTCAGCAAACATAATTTTGTTTTGTGATCTGCTCCAAAGATCACATTCCTAAGCATCATAATGCCTTTAAATTCCAGTAAACAAATCTATTTACATCACTCCCACCCTATATATCCCTTAACCTGTCAGAATCCACTCAAACCCAAAGTCAAAACCGCATTACCTCATCCCCGTACACCTCTAATCAGCCCCAGCTACAACCATATTACCCTATCTGCTTCAATTGCAATACACCGATCTCTGCACTCTCGTGATTACCCCTAACCCCATTCCCCTCTTACAAACCATTACCCCAGCTTTATAATCTAGTCACTCCTAGTCTTGTATTATTCCAGTCTACTAACACCATTACATCTCCACTGCAATAAATCCCAGATAGACAGGGTCCTCAGCCCTCCAGGCATATTTATCCCACACAGACAGTGCCCTCACATAGCTCACAGCCAGATAATGCCCTTACACCTCCCAATCACATGAATCCCAGCCAGTTGTTGTCCTCACACTCCATTCCAGACAGAAAATGCCTTCAAACCCCCAATCACATCCAAGCAATGTATTCAGTCCACAATCGAATCAATCCCAGCCAGAGATTGCCCACCACTCACATAATTCCTTATGCTCTCATATCCATCCCCCTGCCTGACAGTGCCCTCAGCACCAAGTTTTATATATATATCCGACAGATTGTGCCCTTATTCCGGTCTCCCTCGTAACCGGTGGTCTAATGGAGCAGTCTGCTACAGCAACAGGTTCTTCCCTGGCTCGACACAAACCCCTCTTTCACATACACACCACAGGCAGAGAGAACTGTGCAGTTCTGTTTTCATTTTTTTTCCAAGTTACTACAGTTGTGTTTGTGAATAAACCACTAAGTGAACACACAACCTTGAACATGAACAGAACTTGTGGCATTAGGGTTTTCATGCCACCTGTGAGCTGCATGAAAATAGCAGAAGGTGTCCCCCCCCCCCCCACACACACTTTCAGTCCTGTCTACTTTCCCTGTTATACAAGCTAATAAAGGCTGGAAAGATAATCTGATCTTTTAATATCTTTCAAGTTACAACTTTGGGAGATGTATTAAAATGCTATAACTCATGGGTTGTCAGTGAATTCCATTCATAACATTTCAACATCTACGGGATGCACTCGGAGTACGCTACTCTAACATAATGACTTTTCATTGCATTATCTTTCTCTAGTGTCCTCGTATCCCCTTGATCAGAGGTCTTCGGCTGGCAAGCTCGTTTTCTACCCAGATATCTATAGTTTATGCCAGTGGTTATTGGTCACTGCAAATTATACCCTAACACACAGTACTTGAAGTGTATTGTCTGTCCTTAGAATCGCTTAATGTTAGCAAAAAGGTATTGAACACAAGAATGGTCTGAGACAGGCCAAGGTCAATGGACACCAGCGTTCAGACACAATGGAAAAATCAGCTGGCTCAGATCGGGAGAGTCCAAACTAAGCTGCATGAATAACAGGAATAGATTGCAACCACAAGGAACGTGCTATTGTGATTACCAGGGAATAAAACAAAGATAATCTTGTAATAATTCAAGGGCAAACTGATCACTAAAGCGGCAGTTGGCGCTGGTCGTCTTGATTTTATGTGAGCTTAACTTGTATTGGCTGTAATAATGTTTTTAAATTGGTTTCACACAATGTAGTATTCCTGTTTTTTATATGCCCACTGAGAGCCTTTCTTTTTATGCTGGTTTGCAACGCAAGTTTGCGGTTTCTAGGTCCAGTTTTAAATACAGAGGGCAGACCTTTTCATGTACCTCGCAACTATTGCAGTGGCAAGATTCTCTAAATTGGAAGGTACTGGCAGTATTTTTTTGGAAATCATTTTTCAAGTGAATCTAATATGGTGGACCTGATAAGTGTTCACTTATTTAGTGGTTTTCTATTTTTCTTGTTCTACCACTGCAAGTTTTACTTTGTGTTTTTTATTTTTTTTCTGTAACATTTTATTTCACCCCACTTTTATTGCTTGATTACTCTGAGAAGAAGAGAGATTTTTATTTAGTGCAGTTTATCATTTCTATTGGAGAGTAATTGGTGTTTACAGCAGCACATGTGCTCAAAATGAATGATTTACAAACCAGTTCTCCATTTAGGAATTTTCCAATTCTGTTTGCGCGGGTATTCCAAAACTCAGTCCTTACAATGCACAAGGAAACACTGTACTTTTTTATAAATGATTGTTTGTACATTTTGCCTAGGTGAAATTAATGTTTAGATATTTACCACAGGAATAGTTAGGACTAAAGGAAAAAACAAAACTGTAGCAATATTTTTTTTCCAAATATTCAAAGTAACACAGAAAAGCAAAACATTTTATTGAAGAGCACTGTTTGCTTAGCAAACCACATTTATTGCCATTATGGGTTTTGGAATGTTACCACAACGCCACTGGCCGTGCAGACCGGAGTGTAGCTAGTGTTTAATAACATTTTGATGGACGACACTTGTGCTTATTGACTAAACTTGGATTTATCACGAATAGTCCAATTTTGAGCCACAAAAGCCAAGTTGGAAAATTAGTAAAGGGTTGAGAATGTTTTCCAAATCTGCCATTTTGGTGTATAATTTATGAGGACATTATAGTTTTCCACAATTCCTGGGTTTAGTGAATAAACCGCTCAGAGCGTAACTGAATATATATATATATATATATATATATATATATATATACATATATATATATTAAAAACAGTGGAGGGTAGAGGAGGGTGGATTTGGAGAAGGATTTTCTTACTTTATCATTTTCTGCAGGGGGGACTTTTTTTTTTATATAAATATATAGATATAGAGAGAGAGAGTTGATGTTCCCCTATAAAATTCTTCTTAAAGAAACCCTATAGCATTGGGAATACAAACCTGTATTCCTAACACTGTAGTGCCCTTGTCTCTAGTTAGATTTGGGACTTCCCTCCTCCCCATTTGAAAGAAAATAGTTTTTACTTGCCTTTTTCCAGCACTTAGATTACCTTGACGCTTCTGGCCTATCTGCCTCTCGCTATGTCATAGAGGAGACGTTTCTCCCTCCTTCGTTGCTCCAACCCAATACTCCTCATAGAGGAGCGTTTGGGACCTGATGCGCGTGTGCATTGAACACCTTATATACATCCAATGCTTATCCGGGAAAGCATTGAATCCAGTGCTTTCATATCAGCTGCAATATCACATCACCAAGTTTTACTTGGTCGGTGCAGCAGTAGCACCTCTAGTGGATATCAGCATGGCAACCACTACAGACTTGTTTAACCCTTCAAGGTACAACACTGTCGTTTTTTGCAGAAATGGCAATGCTTTACCTTGAAGGATTAAACCTACAGGACTTCTGAGATTAAGTGGTCTGGGTGACTTTAGTGGTCCTTTAACTAGTGCGTGACTGGAATTTTATATCACAGACCATACCCAGTTCTCCTTTTATTGCAACTTGGAATGTACAATTTACACATCTTAAAATTATTTGTTGCATGCTACCTTAAACAGATGCACATGTCAACCATTTAACGTCATTCTTGGCTGTGCTGTGCATACCCTTTGACTGTACAGCTGTCCACTTTTTGATAATGCCTGTACACTTCCTGTTTGAATTAAGTGCAGGGGTGGCGCTTTGACAAGCTGTTACCTTTTTCTGTTCTCTTTTTTTCCCCTTATAAATGAAACCTGCTTCAGCATGCACACAATTGTGGGTGATGGATTCTCTTTGATGTGCGTATTTATTCTTGCTTCATGGAATAGCCATGTTAACTGTAAATTCCATTAATAACATTTTATACCAGAGTTGGCTTAATAAAGTTCTCTAAATAGGAATAGAATTATCTTGATAAATGCAAAAGTGTGAATGCCTATTGTGGTACTATATTATTGTTGTGATATTTATAAAGCATATGTAATAAATATATATATATTATTTTTTTTAATATCAGATGCAGAGAAAGATGAGAGTTCTGAAGACATTTCGTTGCCTAGCAGTCCGCAGACTGAAGCGATACAACACAGTTCAATTAGTACTTCTAATGGAGTCAGTTCCACGTCTGTGGCAGAAGCAATAGCAACATCTGTTCTCACCCAAATGGCAGATCAAAGTACAGAGCCAGCTGTTGCACATGTTATGGCTCCGCCTCCTGCGCAGTCATCTGGAAGTTGATTAAAATCGTCTGTGACGCAGTAGGACTTAGTAACAATTGCTGACTTTGAAGGGAAAATCATTGACCGGCCAGTCTTAATTTAGGAGAATAAAGTAGCTCAAAATCATAATTTAATTTACAAAAAAAGTAGCCCACCATTGTTTTACTCTGGTTAAGGATTTCTTTTTTTCCATTAATATTTAATTCTTATTTTGGAGGGGATGGTTGCATTTAATTTCTCCTTTAAGCATATATGATATGCACGAATATGGTTTAAAAACTTTACTTTGATATTTTTGTTTTAAGAGATATCAGGATGACCTTTCAAATTGAAATATTAGGTATATGGTGGTAATGATTAGTCTGCAGCATTTATACCAAAGTTCTGCATAGTTCCTTTTGACTTTGAGTGTCAAGGTCATAATGCACTAGGCATGAGAAAGAAAGACAAGGTCGGTTTGCTTTTAATCTTTTTGCCTTTTTATTTTGCACATTCAAAGGGGGGAGAATATTGGGAGAAAGTCTATCGATTTTTGTTTTATGTAGGTTATTTCGGCTTTTTAATCATTTTATTTTAAATTGAACATACTACTTGACATAAAGATAAAATGACAACCTTTGTAGTGATCAAAATCGCATCATTTTAGATGTATTTTAAAATACTTTTTCTGTAGTTGAAGTGCAGTTATTTAGTTTTAATGTTTTTCTTGGGAAGCTTACTAAAATCGTACAAACCATTCCGTGGAGTGTTAGTTTATTAGTAATACGTAGAATGGTTTTTGAAATTCCACATCTACATGTAATATCATGACGTTGACGTATACCATGATTATGACTACCAGAAAAAGCCTAAAAACCTACATCGGACAATTCGGAAAAACTATTTTTGTCATTGTATTCGCAAGCTAACGTTATTAATTATTGTGTAAGCACTGTCATCTTCCTAGTAGCAAACTTTTGATACATTTCTTGTGGATAAACAAATCGGTATCAAGATACTTTTGGAGATGTTACTGTGATGTTCTGAGTGTATGAGTAGGGGGGGAGGGGGTAGTTGGGGAATGATGGAGGTATGAATGAATCTGTAGATTCGTGCCAGCAAAGTATGCTTGAATGTTTAAAGATGCCTTCAATATATGCTGGCTCATACAAGATTGCAGGTGAATTAAACCATTGTGTATTTAACTAACATTCCATGACGTAACTTGTTTTGGAGGCGATGATTGTAAAAGTACGCATTCTCACTATCCAGTTGTCTGTCGGATATTGAGTTATCTCAATGTGCCATTATCTACTCTGATTCACAATGCAATATTTCAGTAAATCAATGTGTTTACATGGATATAAAGAAGCATCTGTTTGCAGAAACCTGCTCTCTAAATTCTGGATTCATCAGTAGCTTTTCTGCAACCGGTAGTGCTAATTTTATACATTCTATAATCCATATCTGTCATGCACCCCATCATGAATATATATATTTTAAACTTAGTAAATTGTTTAAAGATTAATTTAGGACAAACTCTAAATGCAAATCAGTTGGAATCCGATTTTTAGAGGGACTGTTTTAGTGCAACACAATGCAAAGTATCATTTTTAATCATCTATAAATTGTGCATGTGTACAGACTGTTTGCAATGCATGCTGGGTTTAGTCCACATGCCCGCAGACTGTAGCTGTAGCGCTCATGGTAAGGTGTTCCAGTTATTTAAAAAACACTTACACCTCTACATTTGCTGGCCATTTGGAAATGAGTGTAGATGATAAAAATGGATCTCTGTCACAGTTCGCATGACAGGTCCCTTTAAAGAAAATGCACTACATGATATATGGGTATATTTTATTATTTGATAGTGGATGGGGCATGCAGTATATCATTTCCCATATTATGCTGTTAGAACCTCCATGGAAAAAATGTGAATTCTGCAGGAAAGCTTTAGATTTAATTTCAATGACATCTTTGCAATTACACGTCATTAGTGAAATAGTGTTTATCCTTGAGTAATACAGACGCGTTTTCACCTTATTTATACATTTCAATTACTTTTCTTTTGTATTCTTAAATTGTAAATGAAAAGAACATCTTGTAAGTATGAAGAGAAATTGTACTTGGTGAATGGTGTTCCGGTATTAGAAATGCGCATCTGTGTTCTGCCACTAGAAAAAAAATAGCTCTAAAGTCCTTTTCATAACTTGTCACTATGTCTGTACTTAACAATTTTGAATCTCTGACATTTCACAAACTGTACTTTTCACTCTTAGTACAGTTTGCATGAGTAAATTATGTACAAATAAAAAATAAAAAAAAATCTATCATTTAATTGTGTTCTTGGTTTTAAGTGGTGAAAATAAACCCATATTCACTTGGGATTGGCATGTATTCATCCAAAGAGTAAGAACATTTAGAAAAGATGTTCTGACACTAAGAAGTGACAAAATAGTCCATTGTCCCCATAATATAATTCAAAATTACATTCACACACATATATTTAACAGAACCTCCTATTAATAGCACTGATAGAAAAACAGCACTTCTGGACATTAAATCATTGAATAAAACATGGAAAACTTTACTTATTTTATTTGTTTGTAGATGTTATTTTATTTTTAAAGGGTAAAGGTGAGTACAGCGGTCTGGATTTTTACATTGAAATGTAAAAAGGCGGGGTTGTTTTTTTTTTTTTTGTACCATTCAAATATCTTTGTTACACAAAAGTGATACACATATATAATATTAAAATTTACTAAAGATGACTGTCCACTTTTAAATTCAAGGAAATCTTTCCTGGTTATTAATAAACTTTTTCAATTATAAAATTGTCAATCGGTAGGTCAGTTCACATTACAGAAAAACTATACTGCCAGCATTCAAAGTGTTTGGATGTATGTATTTTTTTATTTTATTTATCAAAGTTTTTTGATGAAAGACTGTAAAATCAAATAATATATAAAGAAATGCTAACAAATTATAGAGAAAACGTTTTCTGTTTAATACAGTACCAAAAATGTATTTTATCTTAAGCAAAGACATTATATTTTTAGTGTTCAATAACACAAAATTAGTGACAGTTTTAAATTGCCACGCTTTTAAATTAATGTCATTATAGTCTGGTGAGTAAAAGTTAGACTGCACTTGATTGACAGCTAATAAATGGCTGCTACCATCTCAGCTCATTAAGACGCGAATCAAGGTCCCCAGTGATCACCTTAAAAGCAAACTGTGCGTGGCTACTCGAGTTTTCTGGTTCTTAAGAAAATCTATAGTTTTCCTTAACCACACCCTCCCCAGGGTTTTATTGCAGGCATTCAAGTGAAGCACAAGAGCGGTATTTCACATGAATGACTATTAGCATGGGTGCATAATACACAGCAGTGAAACTATTTTGATAGGAAGAAAGTTAGAGAAAATATAGTACCTGGAATATAGAAGTTTTAAAGACTGAAATTATGATAGTATTATTTTTTGATAGCGCACAGTTTTTTCTGACCGTGTGAATACAGATCACCAGAAAAATACATTGATACTTCTATGAAACCATTTTTATGTTAATATTCTATATTGTTTTTAACTAATATGAGTTGTTAAATATAAAGAGCATTTCAAATTTGAAGCCAAAATAAAAGAAACACTGCTGACTCCCTGTGGCAGTGTATCGTAAATATACTGGTCTATGCCAAACAATTACTTTCTCCTAAAACAATTACTTTGAATGATCTATTACCTTATAAATCATGATCAGTCGCACTAATAACTATACAATATACTTTATTTCATCAAACAAACAAAAAATCACTAGTGCTGAAATATATTCTTGGATAACTGAAAGACAATAGACTAAAATACAGAGTGCATCATGATTGATGAAATGCAAAACAAAAATGAGTGATTATAGTTAGATACATTGTCTAGAAAGATTGGGTATTACTATTGTAATTGCAAGTAAAATTATAATATGGGGTGTTTAAAGGGACACTACTGCCCAAATATCACTGTTAAGTAGATACACAGATGAGCCAAAACATTAAAACCACCTGCCTAATATTGTGCAGGTCCCTCTGAGGCTGCCAAAACACTGATGGATAGAGGCACGAACTCTGAATTTGTCCTTTGGTATGTGGCACCAAGACATTGGCAGCAGATCCCTTAAGTCCTACAAGTTGCGAGGTGGGGCCTCCATGAATTGGATCTGTTGTTCCAGCACATCCCACAGATGCTCAATCTGATTGAAACTAGGGGATTTTGAAGGCAAATGCAATACCTTGAAATCTGTCTTGTTCCTCAAACTATTCCTGAACAACTTTTGCAGGGTGCGTTATCCTGCTGAAAGAGGCCACTGCAATCAGTGAACACCATTGCCATGAAGGGGTGTGCGTGATCTGCAACAATCTCTAGGTAGGTGGTACTTGTCAAAGTAACAATCACACGAATGCCAGGATCCAAGGTTTCCCAGCAAAATGTTGCCTCCGCCAGCTTGCCTTCTTTGCATAGTGCATCCTGCTGCCATCTCTTCCCCAGGTAAAGGATGCACACGCACGTGGCCATCCATCTGATCCAAAGAGATCAGATCAGACAACCTTCTCAGTGGTGTCTCCAGGCTTCATGTTTAGGGCGGGAGGGGCACATGAGGCCAAGGACAAAAGTAGGGGGGCAATTCTAAAACGTGTGTGTATATATATATATATATATATATATATATATATATATATATATATATATTATTTGAGCTCATTTGTATATGCCTACCGAACCTCTTGTAGTAGTGAAAGCACTGTTAAAGTGAGATTTCTGTGGGGGGAAAAAAGTCTTATGGCTTGACTGGTGTGTGTATTTGTGTTTAGCAAGGTATTAACTATCCACTTACGTCAGGTGGAAGGGGTTTTCATCCACACTTTTTTCCCCACCACAACTCATTGTGTGTGTGTGTATATATATATATATATATATATATATATATATATATATTATATATATATATATATATATAATATATATATATATATACACACACACACAAAAGGTTAT